TTGATCTTCAGGGTACTCGCGTGAAACCCGATACATATTAATATAATCTTATATTATGTACCATCTGGTTATTTAACATAGCCATGGAAAATCACCATTTTTAAGAACGGTAAACCATCTATAAGCCATCTATACCATGGCTATGTTAGTCATAACCATTTCGGGTATATAAAAACAAAAAACACGGGAAGAAACATGAAAAACTCCCGCAATCTCCCGCACTCTTTGTTTCAGGCCTAAATCTTCATTTGGGTCATGTGCCATCCATGAGATAGATCTGGCTAGTTCGGCCATAATGACCATCACAAAAACCTGAATTGAATTAAGCCAAGGCCAGCTATGGGGATGGATGATTTCCCTATTAAAAAAAAAAAACATGGAATTTCCAGGGTTAAGGGGAGAACCCTGGTGAGGTCGTGATGAGTCTTTTACCCAGATGGTGATAGATGTCCATCAAGTTCCAGATGAGGACCAAAACAAGACCAGCAAACGCTTCTCAGCATCGGTCGGTGCCAAGCAATATGACCCTGTTGCAGTGCTCGTGCCATTTCGAAAACCAAGGCTACGGCACAATCTGAACCACCCTGACCCTGAAAAATACCCGCAGAAATTGGCAAACGTACCTCAAAATGTTTCACCATGAAAACGGCCTAAAAAGGGGCCACGTTTGTTTTAGGTTCTCAATTGGCTCTTGACACTGCAAACACTTTAAAATTGGGTTGTGTTGGGCCTTGGGGAATTTGCCATGGCGCACGAATTTACGCAGCCACGCGCATTCCTTCAGCCCAAATTCTGTGGTGCGCAGGGATACGTCTCCTCTGCGACCCCTTTACGTTGGGCCATTCGGCAATTGGGCAACCGGGGTTGATGATCTGCTTGGAAAAAAAATGATCAAAGGGTTCAAACTTTGCTGTACCCAGGTAGCTATAGTACCTATGAGACCTATGGATACCTATGGTACCTTCTCTCAAACACGGCAATGGCTGAAACTCCAAGTTTGCAAGAAGCTCCCACTGAAAATGATGATTTCCATTCCATTTGCAGATTCTCCTGTGGGGTGCCCTTGCCTGATCAACGATGGGAAAGTTGTGACCCCCAGTTACACCTCGCATCCCAGGGATGTCATGGTTGAACAACAGGACTCCTGTTGGTACTTTAAGTCATAACTCACCTATAATGACAGGCTTATTCAGCTGAAAGGGATAGTTTTGTGGTCAACTGATTTCTAGTATATGCTGAAGTATATGGATGAAACTGGATTGAAACCCTGGATCGCTACCGGTAATCAAACATGGCAATGGAAAATCATGGAACATCTTCCATTTATAGATTATTTTCCCATTAACGCCCCTTATTTCTAGGGATTTTTCCGATAGTTCGTAGTTATGGATGTGCATCCCCCAAATATGGATGTTTCATATCTGTTGATCTATATCTATCATTGGCTTAGTATGGGAAAAATCGAAACCGGAAAACCCCCATATCTTTTGGAGAAATAAAAACATGGTTTCCGGTCAAGATGTTTCCTTGAACCAGCCTATTGAATCGACGTTTTCACATGTTTTCATATATGGGTGTGTCTGAAAATAGAGTATACATTCCTGCTGGTAATTTGAATGGGGAAAATATATTCGGAACAACCCCAATGTGGATTTAGCATGATTTCGCGGCTTCTTCCATGGACAAAAACCTGATTTTCAGAGTGCCATATGTTTTCTATTCGTTCTCCCAGTTCCCACCTTGGCCCTGCAACTTCGGATTTTGGACGCGTCACGGATTATGGAAGACGTGGCACCTGGGCGCGTCTTCCCCAGGCTTTTTTAATGGGACCAGGGGAGATTTTCAAAAGTGCTCATGATTCACCAGTGAATGGAATGGGGAGTAATTACCTACCTAATGTTAGACAAATCCACATAGAAAGTTGGCTTTCGATGATGGGAATGCATTCTTAGAAAGTTGGATATCTCAGTTGTTTTCTTTCAGACAAGCCCCGCGTCATGTTTTTTCACACCCTGCGAGAAAAAAATAAAGCACGAGCGAAGCCTGATGAAATCATCCCGGCCTGAAAAAAACATACCATTGGTTGGTAATATACTGTTAATATATGGTTAATATTAGTGGTTATTATATGGTTAATGATGGTTAATATATGTACCTAGTTGGTGGTTTCAATCCCTCTGAAAAATATGAAAGTCAGATTGGATCATCATCCCAACTATTGGGGAAAATAAAGCATGTTCCAAACCACCAACCAGATACAAATGCGATATCTGGTTTGGTGGTATACCCACCCCTCTGAAAAATGATGGAGTGAAAATCAGTTGGGGTTATGAAATTCCCAATATTCATGGAAAAAAAGTCATAAAAACATATAAAAGCAATGTTCCAAAGCACCAACCAGGAGATAATACGAGTATTTGGAGCTGGCAATGGAAAATGGTGAAATCTTGGTGTCCTCATGGGGTGTTCCACCCCCCTTTCCACGTTTTTCGCCCAAATCCAGGGAGTCAACGGCATGTGGCTTGGATGGGATTGTCATGTTCCAATACCATTCATTTGGAGGTGATTTTTTCATTTCAGAGGGATGGGATTACATTAGCTGGATGTATTACATTAAACCAATGTTGGTTAATAATGATACAATAATTAATTATTACATTACAATAATGTATTACAATAATGTATTCCAATAATTATTATTACATTCCCTAATTGGTATCATTGGTTTAATAATTAATGATGTATTTCAATAATTGGAATTATTCGTTGGGATTAGTTACATTACATTAATTGGAATTCATTGGATAATAATAACGAATGTTGGTTGTTTTAAACCACGTTTATCTCATTTTGATTTTTTTTTTGCTTCGCCACGAGAAGCAAAATGTTCGAGGCAACTCTCCGCCACGGGCCTTTCTGATTGTTGCAGCCATCGTTAAATTCCCATCCTGGAAAAACCCAACTTCTTGCGATTTCTTTGTTGGTATATCTGGAGATCAATCCACAAATAAACCATCCAACAAATTGCAGCTGAAACGGGTGGTATATATATATACATATATATACCCTCTGGTTATGACTAACAGTTTGCCATGTTTTTTTGGTGGCCCTAATCGAAATAGATGGTTTACCGTTCTTAAACATGGTGGATCTTTCCATGGCTATGTTAGTCATAACCAGATGGTATAATGCTATAAATAGCATCCAAAATGTTGAGCTTGAAATGTGCTACTGCTATTGGATTTACCACTTTTTAGCACCCAAAGATCGGTGCGTTGGGTGGATGATTTTAGACATGTTTTTTTCCCCTCTGGTTATGTCAAAATTGAAAATGACCATTTATAGTGGATTTTCCCATTGAAAACTGTGATTTTCCATAGCTATGTTAAATTACCAGAGGGTTCCCATTCTAGAGCTGGGTTTATCTTGAAATTTTCATCTAAAAGCATCAACTTTTTTGTTCTGCCTTGGCGTTGGTTTTCAAAAAACTCCCTTGAAATGGAAAGGTGTCATTCCTGTTGGGCGAACATACTTCAACAGGAATAGAATGGGAATGTAGGAAAGAATGTATCTGAATACATTGGAATCTATTTAAGTATATTAATGTAATATAATGTAATCGTTGTGTATAGTCGTATTATAATGTTATAATTAGTATCTATTTCCCCTGCTGGGAAGGATTTCATTAAATGGTATACCATGACCAAATACTTCACTTATGAATGCTTCTTCTCAACATTTAGCACCAAAATGGCCAAGTTATGTAGACAACTATGAGCATCTATCATAATTTACCTAATGGATCTTTAAGAATGGGGGCAGCCTCTTCTCTATTCCCCCATCCTTCCTACCCGCGCTCTGAAACTGAGGGACTTATGCCCAATCGATGGCAGTTACCAGTAGATTTAGGAGTGTTGTCATCATTTTCAGGTATGTCAAACCGATAGATCGCGTAGTGTTGGTTACAAACGGCATGACATCTCCCGTTCTATCCCCAAATGTTAGTAGTTAGTGTTGGCTACCCCCCGGTAATTTGATTTCACATAGATATATGGAAAATTACATTTTTGATGTTTGATGAGATACCCTCTGGTAAATTAACATAGACCCTGAAAATCAGCAATTTTTAGTGGAAACCAGTCTTCCAACCCCTATCTGCCAGGGTCTATGTTAATTTACCGGAGGGTAAATCGATAAATAATTGAACTAAATGTGCCATGGCTTCCAAAGCTATCTGACATAAGCAGAGTAAAAACAGTCCCATCTCCATATCAAACACGCCCCAGAAGCAATGGTTTGGTAGGAGATTGACAAATATTTCAATGGATTGGTTTAAGGGAAAATCGAAGCTGGAAACCATAGATTTTCCCAGTAAACATAGGGTTTTCCTGTCAGTTTTTCCCTTAAACCAATCCATTGAAATATTTGGAACCACACAATGGGGATGATTAATGTTAGGGGAATGGGAGTAATTGTATAATGATCTAATCCTGGTTAATTAGGCGACGATGGAAAATCAGTTAAATTCTAGGAAAATCACCTATAGGTCATCCATATTATATATCAGGTCATATTCCATATGTACCTATAGGTACAATTAGACCATATTCTATGAAAAACATATATTACACCTACATCATTTATTGTATATATTATATCATAAATTATGTAGGTGAAACATATTTATATAATACACTTATAATATAATATCATATCTATCATCATATATGTATATTATATACGGATACCATCTGGTTATGACTAACATAGCCATGGACAGATCCACCATGTTTAAGAACGGTAAACCATCTATTTCGATTAGGGCCACCAAAAAAACATGGCAAACTGTTAGTCATAACCAGAGGGTATATCATATTAAATCCCATCAAACCACCATAAAATCCCATTAAATCCCATTATTATCTCATGAATTATCCCATGAATCAAATCAAATATATCAATCATGTTCCCCAACGACTTGTCCCTTCCCTTGTCGCACCTCAGAGGCGCACAGCTGGAGGCCGTTCCACCTTCTCGATCTTGTCCACGCCTCGATTTTTCGTTGCAGCGTTGCAGGTGTCCCGGGTTAAAAAACCACCGATGGCCATGAAAAACCATGAAAAATGGATGGAAAATGGCCATCAAAGGCCATGGAAATGAGTTGAAATCATAGATCAGCCGCAGAAATGGCGAATGTTTCGAAAACTGTGAAATTACTAGAGGTTAATGGAGTTCAGCCGCCACAAATCTGGGTAACTTAGGAGTCAAATGAACACATCTAAATTGTCACCAGCCCAAAAAGAATTTACACGATGAAGAGTGGATTTTGGTGTCTCTGAAATTGGAACGTCGGGATTTACCTTCGAAAAAAAATAGAGAATTCATCCAAAATAGGTGTGATGCTGGCAAAGAAAAATGTGGATTTCACCTGCAAGAGACATAGTTTTATCTGTTTAATCAGCACACAATCACTTTCACCCGGCAGAAATGATCAGCCAGAAGTTGGCCCCACATCCACTTGGAACCCCCCACTGGACGCCAAGGGTTCTTTGGCTTCCTTGGAACTGCTTTCTGCCTCCACCACCTGTCACGAGAGTTTCCAGGTCCAAGACATCGTCAACCAAAACAGGAACCGATTGAGGACGGAGGTACCGATTCCATAACTAAGGCCTATAGGATCCTGAAATTCCCATTGATATAGGATATGAATGAAGGTGGGTATGACTATGAGGCTTAAAAGATCTTAAAAGTATACCATTACATAACTGGGCTATGAAAGGCGCACTCAAATCGGAAAGCCACAGCATTGTTGCAGAATACTGTCCCTGTCGGCCTCGTAAACATCCGATGATTGAAAGCCTCATGTGCCCCGAATATCATTGGCCCCGTCCATCCTTCCGATTAAAGCCATATCATCTTGTTGGGTACACACACACATTAATTGAATATACCCTCTGGTAAACTAACATAGCTATTGAAAATGGCCCAGTCGAAATAGTTGATTTACCCATTAAAATCATGGTGGATCTTTCCATAGTTATGTAAACGTTTACCAGAGGGTAAATCCTGTTAAATCCCATTAGATCCCATTAAACCACCATAAAACCCATTAGATCCCATTAAACCACCATAAAATCCCATAAAATCCCCTAGTTTCAGCCCCTGTCAATGCCATGAAATCCTTCCTCTGGCTTTCTACTACAACTTTTGTAGCTGAAAATTCATCACCCTGAAACGATGGATTTTGGAGTCGAAAATGACCGTCTATGGTCGCCAACCTTCATGGCCAGTGTGTTTTGGGTTTTCCTACCCGCATTTTTGTTGGTAAAAGATAAGTAATAATAATGTTCACCACTTATACACCATTTTTGTTTGTTAAATGCGCATTATTTCATAGTATATCCCATAAAAAACACACCACATATCCCCGGAAATATCCCATTGATAATTGACACATCCCAGTCTTTCTCGTTAAATCTGGAGGCTTCAAGCCCTTGGAACAGAAAGAACATGAAAAATTCTTGTCTCAGCTAGGATGGCAAATAAACTCTAAATCATCATTGGTTACGTACGAGATGTCTTTTCGTATAACGAGAATTCACCCATGAAATCTATCAGAATATTTCACCAATAAGTTTGATAAGAAACAACTATAACATATATGTATTTATATATATAAATGATATAGCCGATGATGATATTGTTTTATAAATGTGATATACCAATGGTATAACTATAAAACATTATAAATATATATGGTGTATATATATATATCCCAAAAGATATATATTGTTGTCCATTGTTAGTGTATAGCATTGTTATCAGACCTTAAATATAGGTTTATATAAATAAATTAAATGTAGTTTCCTAAAATAGGTGTACCCCGAAAACATCCAAGTCATCAGACCAGTGTAGTATTTTTCAAACCCCTGGTGACTCCATCGATCTCGCGGGCTGAAAGCCTTTTTGGGGCTAGCCATTTCGGCTTCCAACTGGCGATGTCGAGAAAAACTTGGGCGGTTTCTTGGGAACATGATATGGAAGCTTGGGAAAATATGGGAAGCATTCAGAAAAGATGGGAAACACCACTATAAATGCAGGTTTTGTTGGGAAGATTATAGGGAACTATTCGATTATAGCTGGGGAAAACCACGAAATTCATGGATGTTTACTTGGGAGAATGATAGGAAAATAAGGAACAATCCACTATACATGGAGGTTTATGAGTAAATGGGTGATCAATATTAGCCCCAAAGATTCCAAACACCGTGTTAAAAAAAACAAAAAACAATCTTTGGGGCTGGTTTTTTGGTGTCACAGCTTTTCAGTTTCAGTTTTTGGAGCACATAAATTACTGATCAAGAACAGGAAGTAAATTAACAAGGGTGGCAACTCCACTACAAACAGCAGTTCAGCAACAGGAGCGGGAGTTGCGGGCCAAGAAATTTGGATACTGGGTTTTAAAAAAGGATGACTTTTGGTGATTTGGAGGTGCAGTTGGGCTAAGTGGATATTTCACAATATTTTCAGGGGCTATATCATGTTATATTATATTCCAACTTATGGGGGTGACTACACCAGCAACATCTGTGTATTGTCTGGTCTGTTAATATGAATACACTGGTTGCATTGAGCATATGGTGTGACACTGTCCCACTGGTAACAATGCTATTTTCTCAGGCTGTGTGAATCATCTTACGGAAATCAATGTGCCATGGCTGCCATAGCATGTTGTTAAACTACCAAAGGGTATCTATCATATAATTCTGGTAGTAAAATCACATGTATATACATGTGTGTATATATATATTAAGAGAGATTCCCAAATATGTAGTGGTTTAACCAACTGGATTTTGTTCTAAATATCTTCAGCAACTCCAGGGACCTATCATGCATGATAATTATATTGCTATCCCCAGAATTTTCGGGGATTGACCCGCCTTATGAGTTTTATAGTAAAAATGAAGGTTAGATCACCTATGGAAGTCATAGCCTATGTAGCTTAAAATATGTCCCATTATATAATCTCCCAATTACATCCCAACAATCATATCCCACCAATACCCACGTTTAAAGGGTTAAAACCTGTGGCTTAGCCACTGTAAGGATCATGATAAAATGACCTACTGGTGCTAAACGTAGGGAATGAGGGAATGATCCACAATAACTATCAATAATCATCCCAGCAACCCCCATTCCCATCCATTCCCTGCTAAGTACCAGTAAGATGATGGACATGAACTGGTTGGTGGTTTTTCGCCACCCCTCTGAAAAATATGAGTTCGGCAGTTGGGATGATGACGTTCCCAATTAATATGGAAAGTCATTATCAAGCCATGTTCCAAACCACCAACCAGTCATTAATCATCATTAACCAACATCATTAACCATTATTATCCATGATTAACCACTGCTAAACACTATTAACCGTTATTAACATGTATTAATAACATGTATTAACCATCATCATCCATGATTAACCATCATTAACCATCATTAATCACCAACCAGTGAAGGTTGGATCCCACACATCCAATGTAGCTATAACACCTTGGCCGCATTCTCAGCTTCCTTCTTCGCCAGCCTCAAAGGCGGTTTTTTCAACAAAAAAAGGACCCAACATGATACCAGAACTTTATATAAGATTTGAATGGATGTATATATATATATATATCATTATATGGGGATGTGTCAAAACCTTGTACCCCTGGTGAACCCCAAAATAGCTGGTAAATGGATGTTCATCCCACTAAAAATGTATCTATAGGTATTGACCCATACCTCGAAGGTCTGCGCCAAGGTACTTTCTCGTTTGTGGTCTTGCTCAGGTCAAGTGTCTGTCTCAAGGATCCCCATTGAAACACGACGAAAGACGACAAAGAGAAAAAAACGAGCAAAAGGGTTTCAAGGGTTCCTCTACGGGACCTCCGGGGGAAGAAATTCCAAGGGTTCCTCTCCGGGACCTCCGGGGAGAAAAAATAAAAATATTTTTTTAAAAAAAATTAAGACGGGCACATACCATTGAGAAAAACACATAGCATGTTTTATGCATATTTGCAATGTTCGGTCGCAAGTGTTCTTCCCCGGGGTATGGGTTTGTCTCCGGGATTTTATTTTATTTTTTATTTTTTTGGCAGCCTTGAGCACGAACCTTCACTGTGGGAAAACACTTGGCCTTGAGAAATCCTTCGAACATGGGAAAATTTTCCGGGAATACGGTTGGGAAACCAGGACCTTTGAGGAGGGGAAAAAGAAAGCACCTTTGATACAGGGAGGAGGGTTGAGACAGGCACATACCATTGAGAAGGTAGAAAACCCTTCGTCCAGACTTTTGAATACCCATATATCTATTTGCAGAAATCTCCAATTATGAATTATGAATTAATTCATCGAAGTTGTTGGGCTCTTTTTGGGCTCTTTCCTCTGAGCTACGACCGTTAACTTTCCAATTTTGGCCCACGGGACCACGGAGAGGACCTGATGGAAATGAAGATTCCGGCCACCAAGTACCCTCCGGTAATTTAACATAGCTATTGAAAATGGCCATTTATAGTTGATTTACCCATGAAAAATGGTGATTTTCCATAGCTATGTTAAATTACCAGAGGGTATGGGCATTGCCAACAAACATGGGGATTTCAATAGGATTTTAACAAACCAACATTAAAGTTGGGCCAAAATCATCCAAAATCATCCAAGGTTTGGACTGGTCGACTTTCAGAATTCCGGATTTGCAACCCGCCATCTGGCTGGTTTTCCAAAATGGTCATTCCTTTGGGACAATATAACCACATTCTTTTCTGAGTTCCATATGGAAGATCAGCATTTGTTGTACTATCCACTGACCTGAAATAAGGCCAGGAAAAAAACCGACGCTCACCAGTATTCCAGGCTTCGGGAGAACAGGCTTCGGTCGTTAGAATTCACTGACTGCGATGCACATCCAAGTATACTCTGACCCATTTCGGAACATCTTTGTATCCACATGGGTGAAGACTTGTTTTCCTCAAGTCGTTCATGTTTGTTCCAGAAAAATAGGAAAGGGTCACTTGCGATAGTACAAAAAAAGGAACTGGTTGGTGGTTTTCACCCATCCAAACATCTTTGTCATCTCAGCCAATCATCTTTTTTCTTGTATGGTTTTAAAGACAATAAATGTGTGAACCCCATGTGCCCAGGAAACAGGATCATGTGGCAGTGTGTCAAAACCTTGTACCCCTGGTGAACATCAAAATAGCTGGTAAATGGATGTTCATTCCCCTAAAAATGGTATTAATAGGTATTGACCCATAGCCATGTGGTGCTAAGCCAATGCCCAAAAAAATAAACACCTGTCATTTGGGATCTGCAACGGAATCGCCAATCAAATGGTCACATGTGATTGGCTTTCCCCATAGGCCACATGTTATTGATACGCCTTTTTGTGGGTCCATACGCCTTAGGGCAGGTACCCAATACCACAGAGAATTCCTTGGAAGAACCAGCTACCGCATTGACCCCTCGGTTGACGCCAGACTCCTGCTGAGTCTCCCCACCATCTCTGGTAACTCTTCATCTGGTAGTGAGTAATCACCTACTCACGACACGAAAGGCGAAGGTTGGAGGTGTCCCAAACTAGGGCTACCATGGGCTACCCCCATGATCCACAAAAAAGAAACTGGGATTTTCCATGATAAACCATCCATTTTGGGGTACCATTTGAGGAGACCCCCAAATCGCGAAGTTTCGCTTGGTGTAGCAGTGTAGCTTAGATCTACATCCAGCTTTGCTTCGATCACCTTCTACCTTCAGCCCCAAGCGAACCATGTGGAAATTGGGCCTCCTGTTGAAGCGTTCCAAAAAATATATTACTCCAATCCAATGTAAAAGTCATTCATCGAAGTTAATTCACCTAAAACCCGACTAATGTCGCTTCAATACCAATAGTTGATGGAATCGATTCATCCAAACCCCAACTCTTGCAAACCAACAAAAAACATCAATGTTCGCTTTCCGACCCCTTGGTTTGTCCGAAAAAATAGTGTACCTCAAAATTCAGTGGTTTAGACATTTAGCCTCATGTTTCCCATTGGAATTGCCACACATTCAGTGTAAATCCAATACTTCCAGCTAAACTAATGTTGGTTGAAATAAACCCGTGATACTCCCTGTTTAATCATGTTGATGATACCGTTTGTGACTTGCCCCAATAATCCCAATATATAGGATTTTCTTATAATGGTGGTACCCACAAATCATACGAAATTAGACGATGTTTCCAGACTTAGTGTTAAGCTGTGTTAAGACAAATGGGTGTGTGGTACCCCCCAATGTTGAGAAACTGCGGCTACAAAAATCCTTATCCATTTATCCCCCTGTAAAAAAAATGACCAGGTTTCAATAGTCCGATGTTAATTGATACTGTCCCTTATTATACCAATATATTATAATATATATATATATCCTCTGGTTATTTAACATAGCCATGGTATAGATGGCCCATTTATAGATGGTTTACCTATTAAAAATGGGTGGATTTTCCATGGCTATGTTAGTCATAACCAGATGGTATATATTGATATTCATATTCCCTACTCCCGATCAATCCCTAGCCCCAAGTTGCGCATCTGTTTTTTGTAGATCAACAACTGCCTTTTTATCCGTCATGTACCCCCAAAAAAACATGGTCACGCTCTGGTAATCTAACAGCGCTGGGGACAATCACCCTCTTTACTAATCAAATCATCGATTCTTTTTCTTGTGCCATAGCTTCCAGTTCGCAAACTCCAGCAAATTACCAGAGGGTAGTAGACTGTCCGTTATCAGAATTTCATGGGGATTTCCTAAAATAGGGGTACCTCCAAATCATCCAAAATTATATCATTTTAGTATTGAAACCCATGGTACCCCATGGGGTACCCCCATTTTAGGAAACATTCATGTAAGTATATCGAAGTATATTACTATTCGCATATTTTTGGTGGTTAAAACCCCTGCAAGTACCGACAAAATGAAGATTAGATCATGGCCTCTTTAGCAGAAGGTAGACTCCCAGGTAGACTATGAATATCCCATTGATATACCAACGGTCTCCCATAAAATCCCATGAATATCATCGTTCATGTCCATTAAAAAGCCCATTCAAATCCCATTAAAATCCCATTAAAATCAGCCCATCAAGTCCAACAAGTCCCCATGAAATCCCCATAGAAATATCCATGTTTGGGGGGGTTAAAACCGATGAACCCCTCATTCAAATCCCAAAACCATCATTTAATCAACTATATCCCCATAACAATCAGAATAATTGCTGATGGATTGAACCCCATGAAAAACCATGGTTCAAAACAATAATGTGAAATCATAAGATATATTATATATCAAATCCCATTGACATTACAAAATCCCATTGAAATTCATTAAAATCAGAAAATAATGATGGTTCAATCCCGGTTCAACGGTATGAATTTTCCCATGAATTCCCCGTTTGTTAAATCTCCGGCCTTGCTGAGTTCGCAAAGGATCAAGGTGCCGCAGGGTCCGATCACAGCGAGAGCCCAGCCTTCAGCGTTGAGCCAAACATGTTTCTTAACCATGAAAACACGTGAGAACTGTTGTTTTTGTTGACAAAAACGGTGGTTGAGCTTATAACAATGATGGATTCACTGTGAAACAGTGATATAACATGTGGATATCACTTGATAATATCGTTGTAATTCTTATCCTGCAAAACATAAATTCCTTAGCTGGTCAGATATATATATATATATGTATTCATCAAAAATTGCACAACATGAACGTAGATCTCAGTAGCCACAATCCAAGATTGATGGGTACATGATGACATGTTCAAACAAACCCAGTTGAAGTTGCTAAATAACGAACATGATTAGTTGACTTGACTTTAAAACAAAAACAATGATTAGTGGGTAGAACAATAAAAATTCCATACCCCAAATGACCATTTTTGTAGGTTGTGTAAACCATTCCCAGTCATGGGTGGTTTATAACATGGAGTGTTACCCACAATGGCAAGTCAGAGTTGGGCCAGTTGGGGGTGACCTGAGTAATCAAATGGGGCATGTTTCATAAGAAACCGGACTCGATATATTAAAATTTCAGAGGTAAATCATCTAGTTAATGGTAATTTAACATGGCAAAATTAGTTAGAACTCTTAAATTACCAGATGCAAATCATCTAAGTCCAGTAAGAGTCCGAAATTTCCATGTTTAAAATCATGCGATAAAGCCAAGAAACATTGAACGGTGCTGTGGACCACATCCAAATCTAACATTTGGGTAGTGTGTGAACCATTACATGTGTTCATCCAAATTTCAAGGGAAATTGTAAACTCAATATAAGTTCTTTTCTTGAAGGCAACAGCGTCTGTTTTCAATTTAGGGATTGCTGTAGAAACCTTAACCTTAGACAATGTTGGGCTTGTTTTTTTGGGGCTGACAAATGGGTTTAGACAATCAATTTTTCAAACCAGGCCTCATTTTTTTTTAAACCCCAAAATCCCATAAAAAAAAATCTTGACAAAATCCTCATAAAAAAACAGGTTATGTTTTGGGGTGTTCTCCAAGTTAAGACAAACCGACATCATATTGCATCTTGTTGGGTATATGTGCATTGCATCTCCGAATCTCCGCAATCGTTGACTTTAGACCTTCCATCTCCAAATAAATTCGGCATTACATGGTGTGAGTCACACATGAATTGAGACAACATGATGCCAACATGCCAAATCTTTCTTTGTATATGCCAAATCTTTGTATCTGCCAAATCATTTGAATGGCAATGGTTTTCTATATCTATATATCTGTATATACACGTATAATATACATATAATATATATATATATATAATACATATATATATATAATACATATATATATACGCGTATATATATATATACGCATATATATATATATAAATACTATATACGCATACATATGGTGCAGCGTTGGCCACCACCCCCCCCCACCAATGGGTATGGGTCTACAGTATCCTCTGGTTCTTCTGGTCCCCCCCCCCCCCCCTGTGGCCTGTGGTGGTCCCCCGCCCTGTGGACTGTGCTGGTGGTATGTATCTATCTTTCTATCGATCTATCTATCTTTCTTTCTTTCTAATGTATGTATGTATGTAATGTATGTATGGTATGTAATGTAATGTAATGTATGTAATGTAGTGTAATGTTATGTAATGTTATGATATGTTATGTTATGTTATGTATGTATGTTATGTATGTTATGTATGTTATGTATGTATGTATGTTATGTATGTTATGTATGTATGTATGTATGTATGTCTGTCTGTCTGTCTGTCTGTCTGTCTGTCTGTCTGTCTGTCTGTATGTATGTATGTATGTATTGTATCTATGTATGTGTCTTCTGGTCCCCCCCCCCCCCCCCCTGTGGCCTGTGGTGGTCCCCCCCCCCCTGTGGCCTGTGCTGGTGGTATGTATCTATCTTTCTTTCTATCTATCTATCTTTCTATCTATGTATGTATGTACGTATGTATGTATGTATTGTGTATGTGTTCTTCTGGTCCCCCCCCCCCCCCCTGTGGCCTGTGGTGGTCCCCCCCCCCCTGTGGCCTGTGCTGGTGGTATGTATCTATCTTTCTTTCTATCTATCTATCTTTCTATCTATGTATGTATGTACGTATGTATGTATGTATGTATGTTTGTATGTACATACATACATACATACATACATACATACATACATCATCATACATCATCATACATCATCATACATCATCATACATCCACAGGGGGTATCATACCCCCCCCATCCCATGGGGGGGTGGGAACACGGGACACGGGACCATATATATATAATACATATATATATATATATATATATATATATACGCATATATATATAATTATATATACTACTATATACTCATATAAATCATATAATATTACGATTATGCTCCCACTAGGTGGTTTTGGTGCTGGTTAAATTTTTGATCCCAGTCGTCCCATCCCAACCAGTGGTTGGTTTCCATGGTTTTTTTCATGGCTATACCGTTGGTGCCTTAACCCCATGTTTCACCAAGATTTTGTTGGTTTCATATAGTGATTTTGACTAGGACAGGCCCAATAAATAATATAAATATATACATCTTTGGCTATAGTTACCCTCCAGCAAACTAACATATCTAACATGCACAATAAATATATTTAAAAAAAAACATAGTTAGACAAGGAACAACGGTCTATGGTGGCAATTCCATACTGCCATGGAAAAACCGCCATATTCATCAACCCATTTTCATAAGGATCTAGATACACGTAATTATGAGGATTCCTATTATGAGATGGATGATGAGAAGCCATACCATATACATCCATGTGCCATCTTTTGCCCATGAAACACATATCATAGAAATCCATGGGTTTTCCTGCTATCTCCCATCAAAAATTCCCATGATCCTCACAAAATGGTCCCTGACCTTCTCCTCCAATGTCTTTCCCGCGAAGAACCAAGATCTGGGCGCTTGGCAGGAGCGAAATCATCGAGAAACCGGCAATATTGCTGAGAAAAAAAGATGTAAAAACGGGGGAAATGAACATATTAACTTGGGAAACAAATAAACAATCAACATATTATAGGATGCTTATGATATTCTATCATATTCTATCATAGTTCGTCCAATTCATTGGCATGATTCGCATCGAAGGGCTAACTTTTTGGCACCAGGAATAATCAACCGCTGGACTGACCACTCGTCAATTGATCTTTAACACTCTGGTTCTACTTTCTTAGTTTCCATATTAATAAGCAGAGTGTTAAAGATCAATTAATCACTGCGACCTCGCTGGAATCATGATTAATAAAATTAATAAGGGGAATCATCCCAAAATGGCCCAACATTTCAGCTTAGTGATTTTTGTTAATCATTTGCACAGAAGTTAATTCTTCAACAGCAGCTGTTCATTGTGGCTAGTTCATCTCCAGCTATTCATGTTGCAATTATAATAAGCCATCCCCAAATCACCATAAATAGTTATAGTTGGTATAAACATGGTATAAACCATTCCCAGTCATGGGTGGTTTGTGGCATTGTTTTACCCACATTTGTGGCTATTTCATCTCCAGTCAGTCATTCGTCGAAGCCTTGTCCGAGAGGAAAGGGATGAAGACTGCAGAGTACAAGGCGATCTGAGCCAAGACGATGGCATACCTAGGGGTCACTTCGAGGAAGGTCAAAAAAAGGGGAGTATAAAATGGGGATAAAATTGGGATTAAAATGTGACTTAAATGGGATTCAAATAGGTTTTTATTAGATTTTATGAGATTCTATGGGATTTAATCTGTTTTTCATTGGGTTGGACGAGTCGATTTACCTCAACGATCCTCAATGTTCGGACACACTCTTTAAGGGAAAGGCTTCTGGCTTTGTCTGAAAATATACTATAGAAGGATAGTGTTTGATGAAAATCTAATGTATATATTAACATGTATATATATATATATTATAGTATACATGTTTGGGATCAAAAATATACTATAGAAGGCATCGGGATATTACCATCATTTATCATCAATAGATTTAATTTTGAGGGATGCAGCTGGATGAAGCATTCACAAAGATGTGGACATGCCAGCCGGAACAGGGCATTAAAAACCACAGAGATGGGGATTTGACAAACATCTGAGAAACATAAATTTGTTGATCTGAACAACAAAAAAGGTGATTTAAACAACGGATCACATATTTCAACAAGAAGGGTATGACCCAAAGCCGCTTTTGGGTCTGTAATCCCCAACGAACCACCGTCCGGAAAAACATCCCCAATTCCCATCCCATTTTACTAGTTCGTGAATGGATAGGGCACTGTATCGTTTTTATACCCAATAAAACAGGTACTGGGTTCTTGGGATTGTTGGATTAATAATATCAATATGGATTAATATATTATTAAACAGGTACTGTAGGTTAATAGGGCTATCCGCCGGTAATCCTTTACATTGCTATACAGCATTTTGAATAAGTAGATCATGTCGAAAGTGCCATTCTCGATAGTGATACTATCATATACGCTCTGGAAATTTGAAATAAATAACTATTGAAGATTAACATTTATAGGTAATTTACTGTAAATTACCCATCAAAAAAGGATGATTTTCCCAGACTGTTAGTTTACCAGAGGGTAATGGCTCAGGCAGGTCAAAAATATTCCCCCCCCCCCCCGCGTTCACAACCCAATGAACTCAGGTTTTTCCCAGAAATTTCCGGGAAAAACAACCAAAAAAACAACCAGTTCCAATGATTCCCTTAACCTATCAATAATTACCAGAAATTGCACAGGTTCTTCGTTTAAAATCTGTGAACCATTCTGTGACCATCAAGCAGTACCAACATGTTTTTGGTTGAGGAAAACACATTGAAATGCAACACAAAATTGCAAATAGGGATCTTGAAACTAGCACAAAGCAGCAAGTGACACCTTCACAGCAACAACCCACTATTTGTCAAATCAAAGAGGAAACGGAAAAAAATTGTTTGCAAACATCGTTCCATGATCCATGACGTTGGCAAAGGGCACATTTTGAGAGGCAATGACCCTGGTTTGTACCCGGTGGGTTGCTGGACATCTTTGATCCGCTATGGGATTGGTTCAAATCAATGAACCCCTCCACCAACGTGCTGTTGTGATGCTGCATCATTCGGTTGCCGCACAAGTTGACGTAGAAGGGTTTGTCAAAGGATCTGCACAGGGAACGCCGTTGAATGTGGCACCCGCCCGAGACAGGAGATTGCATTTTTTGAATTGGGCGGCATGTGTTGTTCAGTGGATGTTCCGCATGATTTTTTCACCCACCAAATGTATACATAGTCATCGCAAACAGTGTTGGCAAGGGCAAAAAATGCATTAAGTCTAGATTAATTACTTTAATTGCAATGCACAACCGGTCACTGAAACTGACATAAACAACAATAAACAAAAACACGCTAAAACATCAGACTCGAAGCAAAAATAAATACTGACATCGTCAGCCCAGACCGCAGTTATTGTATGTTATTGTGCGAATTGTTGGTGCATTTCCCCATCTGCAGGTGCTATTGTGTCGCCCAGGTGTTTAAGGTGTGAATGGGTGTCCAGGCAGCTGCTAGCAAACCTAAAGTGTCTTGGCCTTGGCCGCAGCCTTGATTTCCTTGCTGAAGCACTTGGTTCAAACCACGGCCAATCACTAAAGTCCAACCAACAGTTGGCACAGATTAACCATTGCAATTTGTAGCAAACAACGTGTGACCAAATGTGACATAAACCCCACGCAGCAACCAACCAAGACGTCATGCCCTGCCTTGCAATGTAGCTTCGGACGTTCTCTGACCAAACCAAGGAAATGAAGGTCACAGTTCTGGCCTTCCGTGCTCAATTCCACATGCGCCGGAAACCGAAATTTGGTAGCGAACACCTTTACTAAACCAGTTTCTACTTCGAATTTAGCCTGGTCCTTGCAGCCTGGACTTTCAACATCAACCAAAGCTGCCAGGGGCTTGTGAAAGTGGATTTTGATGTAGGTTGCAGCAATGTAGCCGACGCGGCTCATTGCATAAATGCCTTGGCTACGCAAGGCGACTTGAACCAAGGCATCAAAAGAGCTGATGACCTAGAATGTTGAAAGACTGTACATTCAGCAACCGCATCAACAAACGACCTAACTTATGATGGAGAAAAGAAACCTTGATGCAATCTGGCAAGCGTGGGATTAACTTGCAGCGCGCTGAAGCCTGCTGTACACGTGGAAGCATGTTTAATTACTCCATTGTTGGTCATGGAAGCAGCCGTGCACCAAAGGCGTCTGTGTCGTGATTTCCAGTATGGGCCTGTATACGTGCAACGGGATATGCTTTTGGCCCCGTCTTTACCGCAGCTGATTGAAAGGATCACTGGTTCTTCTGACTACTGCTCCTACTGCGCATACTGCTACTATTGCTCTTGGTGCTACTGATGCTACTGTTGCTGCTGTTGCTGCTGCTGCTACTGCTGCTATTGCTGCTATTTATTGTTGCTACTGATGCTATTGCTGCTACTGCTGCTACTGCTCCTGCTCCTTCCTCCTACTCTTCCTACTGCTACTACCACTACCACTGCTACTACTACTACTGCTACTACTACTACTACTACTACTATTGCTACTACTTCTACTACTGCTACTACTGCTACTGCTGCTACTGCTACCGCTCCGGCTCCGGCTCCTACTCCTGCTGCTGCTGCTGCTACTGCTGCTACTGCTGCTGCTGCTGCTTTCTGTCCTTTTTTTTTGCTTTGAGGAGGAGCCGCTGCCCCCTTTTCTCCAGGGCCACGAAATCCACACTTTATTACTTGGACCTGGACAGCCACATACCAATTGCAACCAAACTGCAAACAACAAACAAGATCTGGTTTGCCTCAGGGAAAGGCGGCAGTGGAACTGCTACAAAACAGACAAATCAACGAAGACCAGGCAATTACACACTCCAACTGTTGGCAAAAAAAAGCTGCTGTGGCTTGGGCGACCTACAGTGCATCCCATGAAAGGCATCTTCAATTCAAGAACATTGCTCGCTTGAGTCTGACACCGGGCCAGTCTGAAAATTGGCTAACCCTCCCCTCCCCCTAAAAAAACATTGTTTTTCATCAGTTTCCGCATGAAATGGCCATAACTGGTGGGTATACCTCATTTTCAAACAAACCCACATGGGTATGGGTCAAAATTAGGTACCCCAATAATTGGATGGTTAATACTAAACTAGACTAACATCTGTGGTCCCCTAGGTCTTCCATTTTGACCCACATCCACATCAAACCATTTAGGTGGTATAAATTGAGCGAACAGGATCTCACGGATCTGATTTCTGGTTCCGGACTGAACGGACGGTGATGAGGCCAACTGCTCTTGGCTACACTGGGTCCCTGAACTTGGCAGGTTCACTTTGCATGTCTTTTTCAAAGAGATCAATATGATGTGTATCTGAAAATGGTTAGTATACCCCAATTTATGCAGTTCTAGCAGGCAATGTGGTGATTCACCATCAAATTTAGGGGGGCTCTTAACATATCCAGCCACAAAACCCGTGAGTTTTGGTGGTTTAATACATAACTTAATAACCCCTCATGTTTTGGTATTCCAGAACTCTTGACATGCTGAAACAACTGTTCGATCCTTTCGAGGCTTCTATCCAGGGTTGCTTCCAACACCCCGGAAACAATGGGTGGCAATTGGCTGAATAGTAAAGAGGTAAAATCACAACTTTTCGCCCCTTGCAGCATCATTTAACATTACTTAATTACTGCTTGGAGCAACCCGAAAAAACTCTTGGTTCTCAGCTCCCCTGCGAAAGGTATAACTTCCAGTTTTGTTGTGTAATGTATGTATACATGGAGGCTTCTTAAAATGGGGATACCCCCAAATCATCCATTTTAGTGAGATGTTCCTTTATATACCATCCATTTGGGGGTTCCTCTATTTATATGGAAACCCCTACATGATCCTTGTCCCCAAAAAAGCTACGAGTCAAAGGGAATGGCTGGGAACCGCCATGTAACGATGACCTTGGTGGACTACCCCCCACTTCAGCGATCATCTGAAGATGCTGCTGCTGTTGTTCACGACCAATCTTTATTATGTTGCAAGAAATCGCTGATTCAAAATACCATCTGGTAATCAATATAGTTCGGGAAAATGATTTGTCATAGGTATACTGTAAATCATCCAACTAAATCAAATGGGCAAGTTTCTATCTTAAATCGCCGGAGCTTGTATATATATATATATATATATATGTAGCACGCCAAAGAGAGAGAGAGAGAGAGAGAGGAGTAAATTCCTAAACAATGTCACTGTTCTATCTTGTTGGGGGCTACTATATACTGTATATCATAATATATCCGTGTGTAGCCGTGTTTGTCGCAGTATCAAGTTGCCCAGCCCAGGTTCACCCAGTTGTTGCTGCTCTGTTTTCACAGCATTGCTGCTACAATAACTTGCATTCCCGCTCACCATTGCAGTTGAGGTCCGGCGGAAGAGGAGAAGGAGGAGAAGAAGGAGAAGGCGGGACAGCTGACATAAAATCTAACAACCCTCACCTGACAGGTGGGAAAAAAAACACAAACAGCCTTGCAAGCACCCACATAATGAGCATGTAGTTGGCAAACTCAATTCCTAGTTCCAACTGGTTCCCCATTTTCTTAAAGGGAATCTGGATACCCCGAATGCTCCGAACCGCTCCCTCCTAATCACTGAATAGATAAACACCTGCAACAAGGACTTGATGGCTTAGGACAGGGTTCCCGAGGTTCCCAAGCACTGGCTGAGAGTAATCCCCACGAACACAACCCACAAGAAGCATGAACCAACCATCATTGATTTGATGATATCTATCACTAGATAATCACCGTAAAATACATGTGCAGTTTCTATACACCCCCCCATAGATGATTGCAACATCGACATGAAACAAGCATCAACCAACAATCAATCTCAGATTGCTGGATTGACAAAGAAACATCTTGAAAAAAAAAACATACCATTCAAGCTTATTTATCATTTCAATAAAACCTCTCAAGCCCTATACCATTACCCTCTGGCAATTTAACATAGCTATTGAAAATTGCCCATAGAAGTAGTTGATTTACCCATGAATCATGGTGATTTTCCATAGCTATGTAAACGTTTACCAGAGGGTAAATCCTATTATATAAATCCCATTAGATCCCATTAAACCACCATTAAATCACCACAAATTTGGGGGTATAACATCATCCCATTTAAGTGGGGATATTCCCTTAATCTAACTCTTGGTATAATCCATTTAATTAATCCATATATCCCATAATATAACCCATTAAAAATACCATTAAATCCCATTAAGATCCCATGTTTTGTGGGGGGATACACCCATGATTTTCTTACGGCAGCGAGCCTTGGACAATTGCAGGGTGGAATCCTCGATCGTTGCGATCTCTGCCTACGCTCGGGGGATGTCAAAATTACTCAGTTCCCAATTCCGTTGAGGCAGAAATCACTTGAGCTGAGTGTTTTTTTTAACAGGTATGTGTTTGATATATATTATATATATTATATCATAAGATACTATATATATATACCTGGAAAGCCATAATCCCATTTTTTTTTGGTCAAACGGCCTTGACCATTTTTTTTGGTCATTACGGCTTTGAGCGTCTGGAACCACTTGTGTGAGAGTTGCTACGGCTTTTTACGGCCTTTTTTCAACAAAATGTCGAAAAAATACGGTTTTGCTACGGGTAGGCTTGTGTGAGAGCTGCTACGGGTTTTTACGGCTTTTTTCAACAAAATGTTGAAAAAATACGGTTTTGCTACGGGTAGGACTGCAATGTTCTTTTGATTTGACCATTTTTTTTGGTCATTACGGGTAACAACAATATTTTACCAAAAAAAAAAGTTCATTACGGCTTTTTCCCATAATGACCAGAAAATATTGTGTTTTTGGCTTTCCAGGTATATTATAATTATACATTATTATTTATTATTGTTTTTATTATATGTACGTCTATATATATATATATACATATATATATATGATTCATTATTCCCTTAGCAAGACATCGTAAAGTACATGGGTAGCCAAGATCTACCCAGGGGCCCAGTGTTCCTCTTGGAGGCCGCTAAGTCACAACATACGCCACCCTGCTTCAGCAGTGGCGGCAGTGGGGGTTGGCAGCGGGTTTTCAGTGGCGTCAATGACATTTGGTAATAAAATGCAATAAGCAAAAAATCATGCATTTGTTTATCATGACCATATCCAATCAACATCAACAAACTATTAGTAGTATTGGTTTAGTAAAAAATAGTGGTAATTTTATTGAAAACGGTTTTCTGGTTTGACGCCGTCAGCGTGAACAAAACATCAAGAATCCCTTCCAATCATTCAGCATTTGCAGGGACATGTTTCCAGATCATCTCCGTGCTCAAAACTGGAACAGATTTTTCCGGCAACGTTAACACCGTGTGTTTGTGATCCCTGAATCATCGACCAACTTGACCCAGCGGAATCACCGGCGCCTGCAAGATTTCACCACAGTAGTACACCAATGCGGCAATGTAGACTCCGATCTGAGCTCCAAAACGTCGGTACGTCGTGGGGCCACGTAAAAAATGGAAACATAGATGGAAACCTATGGAAACCCATTTACTGAAAAACATAGTTTAACAGACTTGTTGGATGATCTACCAACTATGTGTATGGTGATTTGGCGTAGCTGTCTTAAAGTACCAAAAGGTAACTTTAAGTTGGTTTATGAACTTGGTTCACGGATGGGTGTGTGATGGATATACAAAGGGTACCTAAGTTGTTTTATAAAATTTGCTTACGGATGGTTTTGTGATGTATATATATATATATCATTAGCATTCCATTAATGTTCCACTAATAATATTTCATTAACATTCCAGTAGTAGTCCAATAGTATTCTATTATTAATAGTCCATTAATATTCCATTAATATCTCATCAATGTCTCTTGGGGAATGTTATAGAATATCTAAATCTGTACACCCATACTTAGACAGGGTTAAAAACCAACGTTGTAGTTTAGGGACCCTGAACCTGTAAGGTTTTCTTGGTCGATTCATGGGATAGAACTCCGCTCCACTCTAGTAAATCAACGATGATTAAATAAATGTGGATCGAGTTGATACTCTAGAGATTTCTAGAGTGGATAATAACTTTCCAATTTACTAATTACAGTATGAAGTATTCTCAACTGGCATGATCCTCCGTGTTTGAGGATGGAGAATGAATAAGGAACCAGTTCAAACTAGTTCAAAGTTTGAACCAGTGACTGGTAACTCATGGTGGTGAATCAAATATAACTCTCCATTTTCTGTATCTCAAAACGCTGGGCCCCAACAAACGTGGCCCACCAAAAGATAGAAAGCGGTTCCACACCGTGGGATTTCCAGCCTGGTTTACCATCCATATTATCCATGGCACATTGCTGACATCAGCCTACTGTCATCTTACCCTCTGGTAATTTAACATAGCTATTGAAAATGGCCATAGAAATAGTGGATTTACCTATTAAAAATGATGATTTTCTATAGCTATGTTAGTTTACCAGAGGGTAGTTTTCATGGTGAAAATGGTGATTTTCCCAAAGAAACATGTCCCATCGCCCCCAGCAACCCAGCAACCCATCGACTCACCAACGACAAGCTGTCTTCCCGAGGAGCAATGACCAGTGAGAGCACCGCACCGTTGAGAATCATGGAAAACCACATCCATCCCAAGACCTCCGGGGAAAAACACGGAAAAACGCCCAGCGACTGGACCTGGGGATAACTGGACCTGATTTTTTTCGACCTTTCCGAATTACGACCTTTCCGAATTGATGGAGAATGACATAGAATGGAATAATGAATGATATACATGGAATAATGATATAGTTGATGATGATTGATGATGTATAGTTCTATGGATAATAATTTGGATACTTTACCATAACTTCAGTGTTCTCCAGCCAAGAATAGATTCATCAGCCAGGATGTGGCTGGCGCCAGCAACAGAAAGGTTAAACTCTAGCAGAGTAAAACCCTCATTTGTTGCTCAAAGGCCCAAACCTGTTGAATGGTTCCAATTGTGTGGACATTCCCCAATAAATCATAGTTTCTAGGAGCTGCTTAATATATTTTAATATTAGGGGGAAGGGATTGTTCCCCCATGTGTGCTTGGATGCTCCAGGATGCCTGGTCATCTAACCATTCATCATTTGGCGACGAGGTGAACATTGTTAGTGCTGTCATGGCCTAACAAAATCTTGTCCCCAAGGGCCCCATTCTCGAGAGGTAGGGTACCCTCTGGTAATGACTAACATAGCTTTGGAAAATCCCCATTTTTGATGGGTAAATCCACTATTTCTATGGCCATTTTCAATAGCAAACTGTTAGTTTGCCAGAGGGTACCCCATTAAAACCCCATGGTTTATCATCATTTCCCCCATTACACAATATTACACACAAGATCAGCAAAATGTTCTTGCATACCGGTATACCCAACTACTAAAAAAAACAATGTACTATTCATTGCTTAAATCATCTGAAATCCTCAGTGTTGATGCTGAAATCCCGAATGATCCATTGATCTTAAAAAATCTATCGCTGGGCTCAAAACATATAGTGCTCCCTAGTAGAATGTAGAGATGTTGTTACTATCCCTGAGTAATTTAGCAGGTGAAATAATCCTTCCAACTGGTATTAAACATATTAAACTATTCTATACCACCCAAACAAAAAGAATTGGCTATTGGCCCTATTCTGGCCCTATATCTTCACGGCCTCATTCTGGTCCAATTCAAATCGGGGTGAGGTTCTCCCCGAGGCAGCCCCGCCGAGGGACAATGGGCTCTGTCTTGGGTCGAGGGCGCCTCAAAAGTCTCTATGCTGAGCTGGAAATAGAGACTGAAATATTGAACATCTATGCAATCTATGGATATGTCCTGGAATTTCTCTGTATATTTCAACATCTGTCTGGATATATTTGGACATAAAATGATGTGTATCTGGAATATATATGTGTTTTTTTCCGAGTAAGTATGTCTCCATTCATAAAAAAAAATCAGGCAGTGTGGAATCTTTGTTTCATCCTCTAGTGCCTAGCTGAAACTGCATCATCTATGGGGCTTCTCGGAGAGGGTGAGCAACCGGGCCGCACCCGGGCCGGTTCAGTGAGATCCTTCGAATGGGTATCCCAAAAGCCATCCTGGATCACCGTTTTTGGTTGGTGGTTGACTTATTTCTCTGAAAAATGATGGACTTCGTGAAATGATTTTTTATTGTTCAATTCCCAATATGAATGGAAAGTCATAATCCATCCATGTTCCAAAGCACCAAGCAGGTGTCAATTTATGTTGCGCTGATTTTGTGGGTTTTTCCTGGGAAATTGGACCAATAGGTTTGTCGATTCCCAATGATCTGGGCTACAAATACATCAAGCTCCATCTATGGAATATAATGTATTCCACAATTGTCTACTTCAGAATTATCTATACAAAAAAAGTCCATAAGGGATCTATGATGATCTATGTATGTGTACCTGGAACCCAAATGACATGATCTTGATTTATTTTGCTTCATAAAGCCTCCATTTGACGTCCCAGTGTGGCCCTGAAAAATGCCCTCTGGCCCTTCCCATTCAAAAGATCGCCAATTTCCCATGATCTTAATGGGAAGATCGATGGTTTCCGGCTTCGAAATTTTCCCGACTAAACCATACCAAACCAATCCATTGAAACTTGGCCATTGTTATCAGATCATATCAGATCCCTATCCCAAGAATCTTGCTGAAATATTCTCCAAATGAGCAGTGTGTGTGAAAAACACCCCTCTGTCATTCCATTTAATCCTGGTTGGTTAAGAACGGGATTCCCCGTTCTTGGATTAATCCCCAATGACTATTGGGTAGTATGATCCTCCAACTAATCATCAACCAACAGGGGTTTTGAACATCAAATCTCATTAAATTCCATAAGATCACCATGAAATCCCATTATATCACCATTGAATTCCATAAAATCACTGCTCAAATGTTGGCTTCAGCCCCATCGCCCATCCAAGGCACAGCTTCAGGATGCCAGGCTCGCCAGGCTCCATGCCCAAGGCGATGGAGGGCGGCAGGTCCGTCACCAGGATTAAGAACAGGATCTGCAGAGGGGTCCTGTCCGACGCCGAGTCCCCTGAAAAACCACCGGGGATTTTTCCGGAAACCTGGGGAAAAACCGGGAGTTTCCCATGGGTTTTACATGTCCTGGAGACGACGGAGTCACTGGGAAAAAGCTGTCCAGGTGTCCGACATGGAAAATGTCGGAATCGAACTGGGGAAACACAGATGGAGGTGTCCATTCCATGGAAGAAAACCCCAACAGCTGGAAGGTTTATTTCATGGAAAATCTCAGCAAAAAATCAATGATCCAGGATGATTCGGGGGTACCACCCTATGGGAAAACCAAGGAAACATGGGGAAACATATTGGGAACAAACTATGGGGACGTGGTACCTGGTAAATAAAAATTGGATATCTAAATAGCATCAAATAGCTAACTATTTCTGTGGAAAATAAACCATGGGAATTAGAAGATGTTTCTATAGGTAAAATACCTACAGAGGTGTCCTAGGAGGAATTTGGAGACATATTTCTCAATGGTGTTCTCTTTTGTATAGGAAACAAGGAAACATAGGGATTATGCATCATATAGTATCAAGGTCTAAATCCAAAGTATCTGTTTGGGGATGAATTACCAGACATGGTGTTAATAATTAATAAGGATTATCTACAAAAGGGATATTAATGGTGATTAGTAGGGGGTATAATTGATGGGACACTAATATCCTTTAAATAAAAATTGGATGGTATCAGATAGGAAGTCTTCAACTGTCTTTACCAATTCCGCCTGTTCTCTCATTGCGCCGGTCTCAACTCCAAATTCTGAGGCGGCTTTCCCATACGCCAAGGCCTTTTGGATACGACGTTGACCCCATCACCCCACGTCACATGTGGATCTCCACGTCCATCCGTGGATCTTCATCGGCTGGCAGACATGGCCACCAAGGATGGCTATTCTGAGTTCATTCCACACATTTTTTTTACCTTAACCTTAAACAGCCTGATTCATCAGCTGTAGTTGAGAAGAAAAACATGTGTAAACAAGCGTAGCCAATTATTAGGTTCATTAGAGCTAATAATCGATAGTCATTGCTAATTATTGGCCAATTACATGTTAACTACATGTTTGGAAATAGGTGCTCCAACAAGCATCACACCACACCCTTTCGTGGAGGTTTCGCTGTTTTTTTCCATTGTGTTTTCCTATGATTTGTCTGGTAATAACCAAAAAGGGAAGTGATTTATCACTATTGCGATCAAGGATGATTTTGCTTGTTTGTATGTTTGATTCTTTTGAAGATGGTTTCTGTAACCATAGAGAACTGATCTTAATGTTAGTAAAGCATGTCATAAACCACTTATTTTTCACGATTCAAAAACCACCCATAAAAATGCTAAAATTGGGGATGGTGGATGGTTTTCTACTGCTTTACAAACATTATTATCCTACGATATCTATTATCCTATTCTAAACTATATATTGTGGTGAATCCTATGAATTGTTATTATATACATTTATATATACAAATGGAGGATACCTACAGTTACCTACATATATCATTATTTATATTACCTTCTGGTTGGTGGTTTCAACCCCTGTGAAAAATATTAGTCAGTTGGGATGATTATTCCCAATATATGGAAAAATAAAAAATGTTCCAAATCACCAACCAGTATATCATTATAGATTACCTACAGTTACAATTGTTGGTGAGTCTCCGGGTCCTCATCACAGGGATGCCTGCCACAATGCACACGAAGATCTGCATCACCTGCGAGGCATTTCAGCAGCAAACATGTCGGAAAACCGGGGACTCAGCATAGAACAAATGTGATTTATAACTAACTGATGTGGGGTGATATACCATGATATACCTATGTATTATTGATGTGATTTATAATGATTTATAACTAAAAAATGTGAGCTAAGCTGGTTTGCAACTTCAGTAATTGTTGGGTTTATGTGTGATATATCTATGATTGATGTGGGTTACAAAGAAACACACCTAACCGGGGGGGCACTGGTCTTCTGAGAGTCTGGGAGTCTTATGAATCAAAACTGGGGATTCAGAGATCCAAAATGATCTAAACATATACCCGGCCTGGTAAACTAACAGTTTGCTATTGAAAATGGCCATAGAAATAGTTGATTTACCTATTTGAAATGGTGATTTTCCATAGTTATGTTGTTAGTTTACCAGAGGGTAAAACCTACAAAGGGTGGGAATGACCCAACATAGTCATCTGACCTGGGTCTTTGTTGCTGCAACTCGTAAACTGGAAATGTCGGTCAGCTTCATTGAGGTTGGTCAAAGATGTTCAAGTTTAAGCAACAAAAACAATGTTTTTTTGGTCAAACTGTTGGGGGACAATCCACCGTACCCGGTATCCTCTGGTAAACTAGTACTATGGAACATTGCCATTTAATGATAATGCCATTCAGTTCGTTGATGTACCTAGCTATAAAAGGGTGACATGTTCCAGTTTGCAAACTCTTAAAGTTTACCGGATACATCGTAACATGAACAATTTGACAGTTATTACCATCTGGTTATTCAACATAGCCATGGAAAGATCCACCATTTTTAATAGGTAAACCCAGGTAAACCATCTATTTCTATGGGCCATGGCTTAACCATGGCTATGTTAGTCATAACCAGAGGGTAAATGTTATTAACAACTATTGATCACTAATAAATCATTCTACCGTAACACATAGAAAATATCCACCATGGGAATCCAAAAAAAACACCATGGGACCATGAAAGAACTTTCCAAGCCTCAGCGATGTGGACGGACATGATGAAGGCCACCTGAAAAAAAGGCGTGCACCGGGATACCATGGGTATATCATTTTTTAAAAAATGGACTATATCTATTTTTTGTATATTTGTGTATGATATTGGGGCTGGAATCTCGGGATTGTGGGGATATATGGGGATATGAATGGATATGATATACATTGATATACCCTGCCAACTAAGAAGTCGACCATGCCATGAGTTTTTCATGGATCAGGTCCAAGGCGTCGCCTGAAAAACGACGGCACCTTTACGACAGCACGAATGATAAAAATATGTTATAGATTCAGCACTTTGAGTCTGAGACAGGAAATATCTGGAATCTTGGGTATATCATGGTATATCATGGTATATCATGGTATATCATGGTATATCATGGTACATCGTCATGCTGTTTCCTGCTTGTTGGTGAACTCACAAGAGTTCCAAAGCTTTGTTGGCTCAACATCTAAGTTCATCTGATCTATACCGTCACATGAGCAATCTCGGAAACTCCAGGTTCACGGAAAGGACATCCAGAAATTGGAAAGGTCCCATCGCTTACCTGTTTGCACAAGAATGATGTATGTCAAACTTGGGGGTAATCGCTTAAAGGACAATTACGTACATGCACAGTTATGATACAACCTTCCAAGGGGGTATCGCTATTTTGAAAGGGCCCATCGTCACTACGGAAATCCCAATGTTCACCCTCCATGGTTCCAAGCTTGAAAAATGCAACATCTCCCAAAGAACATACGTGAATAATTTAATTGTAGTAAATGGCATGACCCCTCAATATGTTTTATTCAATCTTATTCATTCTCCATGTTTGACCCCAATTTTACTGATAAAATCCATTCAGTTCTGTCTGAAAATGGGGAAACTCCCTACAAAAATAACCCTTATATCCTTATAGCCTTTTCATACGGAACATTATGATGAACATTGATGAACTATAGTCTTATTTTGCCACATGTTCGCATTATAGATGGTTTTTCTTAGCGTTTTCTTTGCCATATCGCCACATCGACTCGCCACGTCTCCTCGCGTTACCTGGGACTCCCCGACAAACTTCTGGATGCCCGAGTAGATGGCGCGCCCCTTCTCCACCGCCGAGACAATGGAACCTCGGAGTTACGTACGCCGGAGCCCGGGATGTACCGCTTTTTAGGGTTTTTTGGTGTCCCAAAATCAGAAAGCTGAGGGAAAACAATGGGAAATGGTTTTGATTCGTGGGTATGGGTCAATGATGCTGAATATTAGGAGCTGGTTGAACCATCAACAACTTCGAATTTCATGGAGCTTCACCTAGGATTCGATGGGATAAGATCTAGCAGGAACTCAGGCGATGGCTTGGGATCATTCTCCCATTGAGTAAAGGGGCCGGCAAACACAACATGTCTAAAACCACCCGTATTTGTGTCTGCAGGTTTAATGATCATGTTGTCCTCAAAAGGGCAGACTCTGGATTATTGTGTCCAAAAAAAGAAACATTTACAGTAATAAAAATGATATTCCCCTTAAACACCTCCATTTGGTTCGGGGATGTCGCTATGTCTGATTGCGGAAGGCTACTGATTGGTGGTTGATCATGGTTGATCCATCCATCATCAGGTCACAAAATCATCAGCGGCTTTTCCGCGCCGCTGCCGGTCTCGCAAACTGCGACGGAAACGGTGAGACGCGTCTCGTTTTTTACGGCGCTGCTGGGACGGTGCTGATCTGCTCTTGAGGTCAATCTGTCTGATACCCTCAGGTAAACAAACAGTTTGCTATTGAAATGGCCATAGAAATAGTGAATGTTCCCATGAAACATGGTGATTTTCCATAGTTTTTTGTATGTTTACCAGGCCGGGTAACCAACCAAAATCATCCAAAATGGTTGGACGAGCTGGGTGAAGTTTCTAGTAAGTAATCCTTCCGCTGCAGCAATATAAAATACCACCCGAACAAAAACATGGTGACATGCATGTGGAGGATAGAAAATATAGTTGGTGGAGACTTGCGACAAAAAAGAAACATCGACCTTACACCACCATGAGCTATCCTGCGTTCAGGGTCTTCACTTCAATATCGTTTCTTCATGTTATGAAGCTGTGTCAAATTCATCCAACGGAATGGAAATATCCAGTTAGTGTTTCTTGGCTTGGCAAAAAACACAGCCATCTGCATTGAAATCATTGCATATCATTGCAACACTTGCTGGCATCTCGCCATTTTTTCCTGCCTGAAAGAAATAACCTGTTATTATGCCACCATGTTTCATGGAATTCATCCCATATTATCACTGTTCTTCACGAAAACCAACTGCTCTTCCAACTGCTTCACCATCACCCTGCGCCAGCAGCCGCCGCAGGGCGGAAGCGGCTGGCGGTGCGCTGCAATTGAGCTTCGATGGTCCTGAGGGTATGGGTCACAAAGGACTTGAGGGACCACAGATTTTTAAGTCTAGTTTTTGGAAATATATATATACCGGTATATATATATATATATCTGGTTGGTGGTATACCTACCCCTCTGAAAAATATGAAAGTCAGCTGGGGTTATGAAATTCCCAATATATGGAAAAATAAAAGCCAAGTTCCAAACCACCAACCAGATATCCAAGTATTGGGGTACCCAATTTTGATCCATACCTGAGGATATGCATGGGGACAATTGGTATCAACTTGGGGAGCCCAAAATATAAATGAACATGAAATTCGGTACTGAATACGGATGTGAATGGGGCAGCTCCACATCCCAGTTACAACTGAACAACAATATGGGGATAAAATATCATAGAATGTTGATACTTATGGGGATAGAAGCGACAATATCATATGCGGCTGTGCCTGAAAATGGGATATACTGATATACCTCCAAAATGGCAGAGGAAAAAGACGTGATACCCACCATTATAATTAAAAAGACGAAAAAGACGTGATACCCACCAGTAATTCAACATAGCGAACATGCCCCATACATCGTTGATTTACGTAATTGAAATGGTTGGAATCGAAGAAAATGGGGGATGTAAACATCTAATGGGTCAACGCGAAAAAACTGGGGCTTCTGCTTTGGGGAGAGGTATTTTTAGACACTCTGCATGTTCAATTTACCCATATTATGGGTTTCCGCTATGGTACCCTTAATTTGAATGATATACTTACATCTTCCCTACTAAAATTGCTTACTTGGTGGTGGTGTATCCCATCAGACACACCCTTAAATATGATTTTGTTGGCATATTCCTATCATATCCCCATCATTTCCAACATTAGCGAAAATGAGCAAATTTTGATAACCAAAACCACGATAGACTTGGCTGCAGCCTCGAACTTGTGGTTTGTTCTATATCAATGATTAAAGCTATATATATATATATTATGTGTTATTTTATGGTATAATGTTATAGACGGTATAGATGGTATAGATGGTATAGATGGTATTTCCAACATGTAATACATGTTATATATACTATAATATGGATGGTCTAGATGTTATGTATAGATCATACATGGTATGGATATTGAGCATATTTTTGATGTTATAGATCTTGTAGACTAGGTCGTACAGGTGGTATAGATGTTATAGATGTTATAGATGTGATAGAGGTTATAGACGTTATAGATGTTATAGCGGTTAAACATGGTATATATGGTATAGATGGTACACATGTTATAGATGATATATGGTATAGCTGGTGTAGCTGGTGTAGCTGGTGTAGCTGGTGTATATATATATATGCTACATAGGTTATAGATGTCATGGAACTTATGTGAATGTTACTTGAAAGCTCACAATGAACAACTTAAGGGTAATCAAATAGTCGTTGTTTCTTAAAACATCACCATGTTAGGCCGAGCAGCCGCAGGTGTTCTGCGGAAAGACCGTAGCGCTTTGAGACACCTCACTGATGGCTGAAACGATGGAGGATCTACCATGTTCCATATATCTATATATGTACATAACATATGCAACGTTGTATGTACAAATATATATATATATAATAGTAGTACAGTGTATGAAATAAAATAAACAAATATATATGTATATATATATATTATTATTATCATAAATTTGGATGTCGTTGTATAAACCAAACAATATGCATAAACTATTGGTATAAAGATGGCCGGGAAACCCGGAGATGCGGAAAAAACAGGTGAGTTCAAGTGCAAATGGATAATCACTGGTGAGTGTCCATTGCCATTTTTGATTGCCAGAGGGTAGCTCATGGAAAACAAACTGAGCATGCAAATCTTGAAAATGTGGTTCCTGCCAGATGCAGCTGGTCCATTAAGTTTTACCAACCTGTTCCCGATCAGCATAAGCAAATATGGCTGGCAGAATTGGGGTATTTTAACCCAATTGATCAGGGACGTTAATCCTATTCAATTGATTATTTGAGATAATTCAACTGATGGTCATCTAATTCATAGATGTTCAATCAAATTCATTGGGGAATTTTCAACTGTTCTTATCATTCTTCTCATTCGTTTTCACCATTTAGGTCAAAAAGAACGTACCCCAAATGTGATGGTTGATCGTTGGTTTCCTTATATTTTAATGGCCATGAATCGAGGTGTTCCCTATTGTCAGCTAAATCATATTTATATATATAATATATATACATATATATATATATATGATATTATATTGCAATATATTATTGTTATTATTATTGTTATCATTATTATTGTTATTATATATATATGTATGATTAAATATACCATACCCCATACCTCTATTCTACCCGCATTATATCCCCGTATCAACCGGTTATTGGCACAACCGTCCAACCCTCGCAGCGTGCAGCGCCGCCTTGGGCTTCCTTTCGCCACGCCCCGCGGCTCGGGGAGGCTTTGGGCTTAGCTTTGGCCTTGCTGTCGGCAATCCTTGGGACGACAGAATGACGAAAAGTGGATTGATTTGTATCCATTACTATGTATATATTTATAATTTACAATCATATATATATACTATATATCAACACACTATATCTATAGTTACGATAATTGATAGTTTATAGTGTCATAGTCAATATATTAGCACAATATATTGCTACTTTGATCAATAGCTGTAGCAATCTGTTTCTGTCATGTCTTGTTAGTATCTATACACATGGGAAATGTACATTGGGTATCAATAATATACTGACAATATGTGATATAGATACTATCTATGAATGGTAATATATACACGTACAGTATTCATATCATAGGAACTATCTATACAATATGTGATATGGATGTCAACACATACTGCACATACTGGAAAATATCTATTCTTATAGTATCATTTATAGATAATTTACAAGTCTATAGACTATTCTATACGGAATCACATGTCATACAATAAATTCTATGTACAATAACTTGTTTAATTCTAACAATAACGCACTTTAAAGATTTTAAAGTAAACCGGTTAGGTACAAACGATTCACTGTAGAATATACTCATCATGATCAAACTGTAGGATTGACTCCAAGAAACTGAATATCTTCAGTCGAAAAAAAACAAAAAACATCCAAGAAGCGAAGCCGCCGATTGTGTACCCTCTGGTAAACATACAAAAAGCTATTGAAAATGGTCATAGAAATAGTTGATATTCCCATTAAAAATGGTGATTTTCCATTGTTTTTTGTATGTTTACCAGGCCGGGTAACTCAGAAATACCCCGGAATCATTCCAAGGGTCTCTGTCTCCCCAAACTTCGCAGCGCTGCAGTTTCTCCAGATTTTTCGACTGGAAATTCATCCATTTATGGCACTGTGTTCAGCGGAATACTGCAGTATACTGCAGTATACCTATATGAAAATACGCACGTATACACATATTCATACATGTGTATACAATTAAATTGCACATTAATACAGACGTTGCGAAATTGTGGTAAATTTAATTGGCATACCAATATCAAAATTGTTTCCCATATATATATACATATAAATATAATATACACATGCCACTCAACATGACTAAACAATTATCCGTGAAACTTCCCTTCATCAGGTGCAACACCCTTTGGTGCATTTCCTTAAGGACCCCTCCCCCCCAAAAAAAACTGTAGATTTTCTACATGGAATATGTCCCATTGGGAAAGTAAAAAGTCATCAGCAATCAAAGTATATCCCATTATACCATATTATACCCCGTTATCCCATTCTATTATATTCCTATTAATGTGGGTAAAATAATAATAAACCATCCCCCAAGTCACCATTTTTATAGGTGGTATAAACTTACCATTCCCAGTCATTTTTGTGGTTTTATGGCATTGTTTTACCCACATGATATCCCAACGATGGTTGATCCCATTCAACCGACCAAGGGGCATTTTTCCAAGGCGCATTTGCAAGATGGGTCGCGGTTGATCATGAGCTTTCGGCGCCATAAAGGGTCGTTGTTCCAGACAATCCTGGATATACAGGATGGCTGGTGAAACAACATTTAAACAAAAAGCCTTAGCCCAAGAAACACGATATGATGATTCAAATGAGATAATTTTTTTGGATAAAAGTTGATCATCTTTTTCATAGCCAATCTTAGATGAGCAAAACCGTCCAGGGTTGACCAAGTAATCCTGAGGTCATCATGGGGGCTGAAAACGCCGCGTCCTCCTGTTCTTGGAGCTTTGCTTCCACCTCCAATCCTTGATCCATGAAGATTGCCAGGTTCCGAAAACAAGGTGCCCGGTCCAAATCAAGTGGTTTATCATGGTTTATCATGGTTTATCATCCTTTTCCCCGTTAAAACTGCCAAAACTTGAGGTTCTCATTCTTGGATCTTGGAGAAATCCAGTTCATGTTGCTGTTCTCTGATGTTCTCTGTATCTATATCCCCATTTGGAGGTACCCCCAAATCATCCAAGATTAGACTTTTTTGATGTTAAGACCTATGGTTTTGGAGGTACCCCCATTTTAAGAAACCTCCATTTCATAATTTCTTTCTGGAGCATCTGAATCGGCCGAGTCGCGCTTTAGAGGTGGATGTTCGTTCCTCCGCTCCTCCTCCGCCAGAGCATTCAGCAGCGCTTCCTTCTGCTGGGCCAAGCGCTTCTTTCCTTCGCGGAAGCTTCGCCGGGACGACATGGGGACATGGGCGTCGACCAGAAAATGGAAAATGTGGAGAGAATCCATCATCATTGGATGATATTGGTGGAACTAGAATGAATTGTTTCAAATTTCGGTATACCCAGAGTTTTTTGTTGTGGTTTTAATAGAGAAAACCCATGGATAAACAATGGATAAAGCAACACATTTGGGGGTCACATTTGGCGGTCCGCTGGTCCGATCTCCAAAGTCCAACGACTGAGGTGTGCGATGTACGCTGGGACCGCGTGCGTTTTACGTAGGGTTGCTGGATGGGTCGGGTTGCCGGGGGTTGCTGGGATGATGACATTGATACTTAGCCAGTGGATCATTCCCGAAAATTCCCTGCGTTTAGCAAGCACCAGTTTGGCGCTTGCATCCATTGAATCGCACCAGTCATTCCCCAGCAACTGACAAGGAACCCCAAACTGACAGGAAATTGCCATTTGTATCCATTTCTGGGGTTCCATTTTATAGGGTTTTGGTAATTTAATAATAGCTAAATATGGAGAATCTATTTCTATCATGAATATTAATCATATCTAGATTCATAATGCTGGTTTAATAATAGCTAAATAAATATGAATATAATAACCTCTATATACTTCTATCATCTATTTCTTTTGGCAGCGGCTTCCATGGCTATGCTAATAACCAAAGGGTACAGCAGCTGGTGAAGCCCACATGAACGATGGCTGGCCTGAAGCCACGTGTTGCTTCGACATGTTTCCTTGCCAAAGTACATCTCAGCTAGTCTGAAATCTCACATTTATGGCTACAGTAGCAATTCTGACATTTGAGCAGTGTTCAGAAACCTTATTGTTGGTCCCTCTATGCTGTTTTTCGATAGGGATTCCTCTAATGGATTATAATGGAGTGTCATATTCCCCCTTACATATGTATATAATTATATGCATAAATATGTATATATATATATATGTGTGTGTTTATCATTTATATGTAAAAAATGTATTGGTTAGATTTGGTATAATCCCCGAACTAATCATCAACCAACAGGAGTGGATCGCAGCCACTGCAAAGTTTGAAACTCAGTTGACCCATCTACCACACAAGGGTTAGATGCTACTTTCGATAAATGAAATCCTGCACCAGTTGGTAGATGGTTTATCCATATGTATCCTCTTATATAATCCCATGATTTACAGTGTTTCACAAAAATCACAATAGGAATCCCAACTGCAGGATTTCGCAACCATCTACAGGTATCTACAAATTTTCGTCCCAGCAGCTCGCACGTTCCATGGGGTCTTGAAAGAAGTCATCGCTGCTCATTTCAGCTTGCCACTGCTCCTTGCGCTGGTGATTACTGTCAAGGATGGGGGTTGAATCAACGGAATGGGGACTGAACCAAGGTATAGGTTCTAAACAACAAGAGATCGGGTGTTTGACAAACATATCATATGTATGTGTATGTATGTATATATATATATACGTATATATATATTACTTTTTGTGGCTTCACCGACAACAGCAAGCTGCTAGATGCAAATGTGCCAAGACGCACCTGGCAATGCTGGAAGGTGAGGGATTGAATAAGATGAAACAGATCATACATGTAAAATATACCGTATACCAGTCATATATACCAAATATATTGACTATAACCTGCATATAACCACCATATAACCACCATTTAGCCATTCATAAAATTTCTGGCACATTTTTTTCTTAACTTTCACCGCCGAGCGGCGACCTTTTCCTTTTGGGCCTTGTAGTAGCGCTGGAGCTTCTCCTGATCGGCTCGCCATGTGGCCCTCACGGAAATGATCTAAAATGATCTAAATATGGGTGGTTTATAGTGGAAAATCCTATTCAAATCATTAAAAATGGATGATTTGGGAGTACCCCATTGTAGGAAATCCCTGTATATCTAAATGTCGATTGATTCGTAGCGCAGATGCTGCCGGTCCTTCTCCTTCTTCTCCAAATCTTTTTGTCTCTTGTCCTTGGCAGGTGTGTCGACTCCGGATGAATCTTATGTAACTGTTAATGTGGGTAAAACAATGCCATAAACCACAAAAATGACTGGGAATGGTAAGTTTATACCACCTAATTAAAATGGTGATTTGGGACAATGGTGATTGTTTTACCCACATTAGTTGGTGTTCATGAAAATAACCATAAATAACCATTCAGGTTTAATAACCATTAATATCCATTCATTAGTAACCATTAATATCCATTATATGGAATCCCCAATATGTGGAAAAAAACATGTTTGAAACCACCAACCAGGTGTTTAATAACCATTCATATCCATTATATGTTGTTCAATAAGCATTAACGCATGGTGGTTTCACCCTGAAAAATCCTGATCATCTCCAACAGAATTTTACCAGACTCCAGGTCCCAACTGCAACCATGGTGGTTGAGCCCTACCTCGGTGTTTTAGGAGGTAACACTACGGTAAAACATATCCCATGACGGATCCATGGTGCTGCTATATATGCTAACATGACTGGGGTATATTGATGGGATCCATGGCACACCATATATAGCAGCACCATGGATCCTATGGGTATTGGTAACACCAAAAAAGATATGGCCCATGAAAAAACACAAAAAAAAACATGAAACACCATGAACAGAACATGAAAAACTATGGAAAAAAACGATAACAACCCATCTACAATTAAGAGATCACCACAAAAGGGAATCCAAATGGCATCCAAGTGGCTTCTTCTTGCTGAACTTGTTCGGCTTCAATCTTTTGAGCCTTGGTTTTATCGACTGCCAAGGTGTTAAAGGGTGAGATCGAACAGAGGTCGTGCAAGTAGCACTCGTAGAATTTTATGGAATGCTCAATCAGAAGAATTAGATTGGATAGATAGCCTCATAAAACATGAAAAATACCCAATATCCAAATATTGCCCAGCCTAGATAATTCTTAATCACTAAGAAGAACATTATACCTGTTTGTTCTCTTCATGGGCTGAGACTAAGCCATGACTCTAGTTTCAGCCGTCCGGGTAGTGGCATCAACCAGTGCATCTCGAATTCAGGGAAAATCTACGGGAAGCCATGGTTTTTACCACCAACTATAGGGGGTTCCTGTAGATGTTCCCTTCAACCAATTGTGGGAGTGCCCAGTGCATATTATGTCTGATCTCCTCATACGTGCGCTTGCTTCATCCTTCTCTTCCTATAGATTGCTCATTTGTTGGTCAAGGGACTTGTTGTTTCAACAGGTTACCCCTTTGCCCATTGACTATTGCCATAGATTGGGGAACCAAATGTGCCATTGAAATTGGCGCCCTAGTCCATATTTCGGGGTATTCCACAACACACTTGAGGTTCATGATAATTAATGTGATAATATTCGTAATATATATATATATATATATATATATTATCATGATGAACCTCAAGTGTGTTGTAATCATGAATAGTCTGATAATGTGATAATACACTATATACTATATTCGTAATATAATATGATAATATGAATCATATTCCTATACTATATTATGACATATTATGCCACGATGTCCTTTATAACCCAGTTAGCTAGCTCAATCCCTTGACCCTGCTGGGGTTAGTATGATAACTGGGGTTATTCATGATAATACCATATTATTGCTAGCACGATAACCCCAGTTACCCTAATCCTCCGTTGACATTGCTTCCAGCCGCGATTTGCTTCTCCAAATCCTTCTTCAGCTCCTGTTGTCTGATCTCGCGTCGTTTTTGACCTCACCAACGACCGCATTGTTTCCAATTGGGAACAACGGATCACCCCACGTTTTTGTTGGATGATCATTATGAGGAAAGTTACAGCAGGTGATCTGATGTCAACAACATCTGTTCCCTTCAACATCAAACATCCAAGTCATCCGAATGATTGTTGGACCTCCTGAATTCTCGGCCCGGAAGTCTTTGGACGTTGAAAAAGAAAGCATAACTGATCCCAAAATAGACCATTCAAGCCAAATGCTCACTGATTTTCTTGGTGTTTGGTCTGATTCATTCTCATGGGTTGTAATTACTGGTATAGTTATGGAGTTAGAAAATCATTTGAGCCAAAAAATGAGAATGCTTTCAAGTTTTTTGTGTTTCCGTTTTCTTTCCTGTAGAACAAACATCATAGTTTTTCATCTTCGCCGTGGTTTTCCCATTGCTGGCAGTGTATTCATAGGTAGGAACATGCAAAACACTACAGTATATAAACAGCATATACCTATAGTATCCTCCCGTGGTACATACCTAATAGGTATAAAAAAAATGGTTATAAACCACTTAAGATGGGGTTATAATGGTTATATATAGGTATATATAACCTCATAGTAAGTGGTTTATAACTTATAACCCCTTTTGTCCAACAGAAACCACCGACCGTCCAAGCACGTAACGCGTTTGTGTTCACAACGCCGAGCTGCGCTTGCGAAGCTCCTGCTGGTGGTAGATCTCATCGTCGAGAGCAAGCTCCAGTGCCTGGATGCGCTCCGCAATGCCTGGGTGTCAGCGAAAAAAAACCCTCTGGTAATGTTTAATGATGGTTTATGATGGTTAATGATGGTTTATGATGGTTTATGATGGTTTATGATGGTTTATGATGGTTAATGATGGTTAATGATGGTTAATGATGGTTAATAATCGTTAATAATGGTTAATAATGGTTAATAATGGCTAATGATGGTTAATAATGGTTAATACATATTAACTGGTTGGTGGTGCAATAACCATCGTGAAAAATATGAGTTCGTCAATGGGAAGGATTATCCCATATGTTATGGAAACAAAAAAATGTTTGAAACCACCAGCCAGCTAACATAGCTATGGAAAATCACTATTTCTAAATGGAAAATCACCTTTTTTGATGGAACATCAAAATTTTAAATGGGTAAACCAACTATTTTTATGGCAATTTTCCATAGCTATGTTAGTCATTACCAGAGGGTAAGCAACAAACAGAGGCTGCTTTGAAACCATCGAACATTTGGGATTGAACCTTCAAAAATATTGATTTCACCAAGAAGAATTGGGATTGAGCTAGACTTGGAATCTTATTGTAAAGACATCATTGAATTAATAGCATATAGTCTGGGTAAATTATATTATTTCACTAACCTGAATAGTTCGGCCATAAAAGGGGATGATTTCCCTAACATAAACCATGAATTTCAGGGTTCGGTCGTAGTGAGGTCGTGATCAAATTTACCCAGATCTAGTGGGATCTCGAGGGAAATATTGCTAAAAATCCTGTCTGAATGGTTCACTGAAAGTGGGATATGTTTTACGCAGAAAAAACCGGGCATCGAACTCAAATAGCTTGGATGATCCATTTTTAGGCCACTCAAGATACAACATTGGTTGTGGAAAACATGATATTCAAAACCAAAAAGACATCAAACATACAAAGATAAGCAGCAACACATGGGATCACTAGGAAAGTTATGGGGATGAACATGGATTCGGGAAGATCTTTTGATTTGACAAACAAAATACGTACGTACGCGTACTTACGTAATCTTACAAACCAAGATAACCAACATGGCTGTTTTCATCACATGTTGCCTGGTGATCCTCGGAACATGTATCCACTGGGTTTAACCAGAAATGGATAACTTGGGGTCCTCCATTTCAAGAACCTATCATTTATCCTGTTTTTCGTAATAGTAATACCTTAAGTTATACCGACCTCCATTAAATATCAAAATATATCAAAATCAACCACTCCAAGTCACGTCTCTCTTGGTACTCCTCCATCTTCACTTGCCTCTCCAGGTGTTTCCGGCTTTCTTGCGCAGCACGAAAGCGCGCCTCGCTATTGGACCGTGGGAATGACAGAACGCGCTCTGAGCCGTGGGATATGACGAACGCAAACATGTCATGTTTGTGAATTTTAATGGCTTACAAAATAATTTTGTAATGTTATAAGTTAATTAAGTCATAATATATTGTACTAATATATTGTAATGTCGGATTCAACCCATAAATCAGTGGCACAGAACACCACATCGGGGATAGCCAGCTTCTTCGGTCGCGGGGCACCAGTTTCTCGTTGGTAAAAACCAACGATTCTCCGTTGGGTTCACTGATATTTTTCCGTAAGATCCCTATGTTACATAACCCATAGGATCCATGTATGGTATATATGCTAACATTGGGAGTATATTGATGGTAAATGTTACCATATATAGCATACATGGATCCTATGGGCTATGTTGCATGATTGAATCCCAATGATCGTTGTATCCTTTTCTTTGTTTGGCTAAACGATGCTGAATCCTTATTTTCTGGGGGATACCATCCTGTAATTTAATAATTACATTGCAATCGATAATTCAGTAGATGATTTTCCAAACCTCCATGTTTGAGGGGTATATCCATTATCAATTACCCCCTTAGTCCTAATCCTTATTAAACCATATTAAACCATATTGAACCATATTAAACCATATTAAATCATATTAAACCCTATTAAACCATATTGAACCATATTAGACCATGTTGAACCCTATGGTTATCTCCACAGTTCGAATCCACCAATGGGCTATGCCATCTCCCCGCAACCTCCGGCAAGGGCTGCACGCCCTTGGGACTCTTCGCCACCGCCCGATCGACCAAGACATCCTTTAGCGCGCGGCCACGCACAGTACCTCGGTGAACACCGGAATATCACGGGAAATCCACGGGAATCAGGAGGAACATGGGATAATCATGTGTTATTCATGATATAATCGCCATTTTTCATGGGAAATTTCACCATTTCTATGGTGATTGTCCATAGTTATGTTAAATTACCAGAGGGTAACTGAGGTGAACCACCAAGTATATAAATCTGGTTGGTGGTATGCCTACCCCTCTGAAAAATGATGGAGTTCGTCAGTTGGGATGATGACATTCCCAATATATGGAAAAATAAAAGCCATGTTCCAAACCACCAACCAGCATGTATGTTACATATCTGTAGTTATCCCAGTTCTATATCCCAATGATGACAATGAAATCCCCATTTGGGTCATGGTCCAATTGACTTGGATGGGAGGTACCCCCCATGACTTCGGAAAGCTCCATTTGTAATTTGTATGTCAAGTTCCTTGTTTTTGTGTTCAATTTGCTTTAGCCATGTTATTCTATGTTATTCTGGAGGAGTTTTTTGAGTTTAATTAATCATATGATAGCTATAGCAAAAAAAGTTGCGATACACGACGGAATGTCATGGGAATATAAATATAAAGGAAAATCATGCGAACCATATGATTGGGAATCCCTGTAAATGGCTTTGTAATATTTGGAATGCAATGGAATAGAAATGGGGATAGATAACCTGCCATCTGCCATGGTCAAGTTACATGGAATTCAAGGTTTGGGGTCATTCCACCATTACTAGTGCGAACCCAAAACCTATGCACAAGTTACCCAACTTCCTTGATACTTGGGATATAATGGGCATATAATGACGCTACAATTTGGCTCATAAGGGATAATCGATGATACCCTCTGGTAAACTAACAGTTTGCTATTGAAAATGACTCATTGAGTTCGTTGATTTATATACCCATTAAAAATTGCGATTTTCTATAGTTATGTTAAATTACCAGAGGATAATAGATATAATGGGGTATCTAAGCTAGCCGCTATGTCACTATGCATCTGGTTGGTGAAATTTGGGTTTCCCAGATATGGGTGACAATCTTGGGGGAACAGACGGGAGGCTTTAAACAATCTTTGAATATCATTCCCAAAATATCCCAAAAATAGATTGGGGAAAGTACCGACCATATTTTGGGGATACACGATCCCAAAATATAGTGTGGCAATTCTCCAATTGTTTGATGTACAGCACCGAACCCGGGCCATACTATATCCCATAATCCCCTTTGTATCCTCAATGTATACTTGTTTGTCTAAAATCTAAAGTGAATAATGTTTTTTCCGAATTATAATGGTTTTTCCCAATCTCTTTGGGGAAAACAAACACATGGAATTAAAAATAGGGTACCCTACATCCACTGGTTCATTATCATTTATGGATATTTTGGGAGCTATACTAAGCATTTTCAGACACAACCACATGGTGGGTTCCGAAAAAAATTGGGGGCACACCAAATCATCCATTTTCGATTTGGATTTTCCATGAAGCAAACCATCCAGCTATTGGACCATCCCGGCCCGTGACCACCAGCCGCGCGACTTTGCACCCGCTTTCCACAAAGCACGACCTGAGACAACGCTGCAAAAGGAATGGTGGTGAATGCTTGGTTGAGACTCCAGCCAGAAAATTCTGAAAATTCTGAAAGTCAAGGACTGGAACAGTGGGATACTCATGGGATAATCATGGGATAATAATGGGATTCATAGTTGTTCCATTTTTTTCCTGGAAAGTTGTTTTCAGATGAAGAGTAGTGGAAACTCTGAAGGAAACCAAGCAGTAGAAAACTCGGCACTCCTCGCAATGCCCTGAAGATGAAGATTCCTGCTACAGACTCTCCGGTGGCTCCTGAGAATACCCAAACCGCCAATATTTACACGGCTAGTTGTAATATATTGTAATCTGGATGAATGATAATCATAATCATTCACCAACCTGAAATAGGATCAACTCGGGATCGTTCCCCGTACTCACCATCGCCCATAACTGACGTCGCAGTGAGGTTGTTCAAATTTCCCAGAAGAATATTATAGGTCAATTCCATCCACATCAAATGGCAAAAGCAGCTGTCAGTCATTAGTCGTCACTAAGCCACTAAACCGAAGTTTCATCACATTACTCATCATTAACCAACATGCACAATATTATTGAAGAACACAGAAAACATGTTTCCCAAATTTCCCAATATCATTTGCCAGCATCATTGACAATATCATTCTCCATCATTCTATGATTATTCACATATGTAACAGATCCTGATTAACATATATCATACATTCATCATGTAACCCATCATCATCATTCAGAATCATTCAACATCAAAAACCAACGCTAATAAAACCACCAGAAAAAATCATGGTCCATCATTCATCATCATTAAACCATCATAAACCAACGTTACGAAACCCAGGGAATTCACCAACCAAAACGCAACGCGTGCCACGGTGCCACGTTTTCTCCCCGCCTCAACTTTCTCTTCCTCATCGCTGCCTGCATCCTCTTCCGGCTCCTGGAGGTTGCGTTGCCAGGTGATCCGTGGGATCTTTAACGACGAAAGAATCGGTGTTTTTCAAAACATCCCATTGAAAAAACATGGAAAAAACAACGATGATAACATGAACATGGATCTATAAGATACTATAAGATCTGATCATTCATGAACAAAAACTCCACTTGATACGCTTGGATACCCTTTGATACCTGCCCCACCTGCCAGGTGAGAGTCTGTAGATTTCAACAAGACATCGCGACGAAGGAGCACACATGGACACACGGACACAATGTGCAAGCCACCTCTGCACAGCCACTGTATGGCGAGTTTGTCAGTTCCCTGGGGTGCGCTAGACCCGAACCCTATGCCAGAGAAAATGGAACAATGTCAGATAGAATGCCAGAAAGAATGCCAAATAGAATGTCAAATAAAATGTCAGATAGAATGTCAGAATATACAGGATATTTGCCACGATGGGGATCACAAGAAGTCAAGTATTTGTCTTGGTTACATCCTCATTAAGATCCAATATTTCAATGGTTAAATGCCTATCCAACTGGGATTACAACAACGGGAATCACCAACAATGGTTTTAAATCCAGTATCCCTAGTTAATTGAAATATTCACTGAAAACACGATTAGTGGCTAAATAAATACCATTACATAATAATACCATATAATACCATTATATAATATCATTAATATACCACTAATTAGTGATAATTAGAACCTTTACATAAGGAAAATCACCATGAATTTCATGGGTAAATCAACTATTTCTACTGGGCCATGGCTTCAATAGCTTTTTGTATGTTTACCAGAGGGTATATTCAATTGATGTGTGTACCCAACAAGATGATATGATTTTTCATGGGAAAATAACATAAAATAACTAAGTTAACTATGGAAAATCACCATGAATTTCATGGGTAAATCAACTATGAGTTCGTCAGTGGGGATTATGAAATTCCCAACTGAATGGAAAGTCATAAAATTCATGTTCCAAACAACCAACCAGAGTAAGATATATGAAGATATATTGACCATATATATATATATAAATCTTGATGTATATGATTAAAAACCCATTAAACCACCATAAAATCCCATTAATCCCAGTAAATCACCAGTTAAAGATATATTGAATATTAAATATTAAATCCCATGAAAATCCCATTAAACCACCATTAAAATCCCATGAGCATCGGATTAAACCACCATGAAAATCCCATGAAAATCCCATTTCATGGGAAAACCCATCCAAGTTAACTATGGAAAATCACAATTGTTCAATAAGGATAAATGGGTAAATGATTTTTCATGGGAAAATGTTTTGGTCAATGCGAAAATAATTAGGGTAAATGGTAATCCAAGTTCATGGGTAAATCACCAGTTAAAGATATATTAAAATCCCATTAAATCCCCATTAAATACCCATTAAATCAACCATTTCATGGCATTTCATGGGAAAATCCATCCAAGTTAACTATGGAAAATCACCATTTTTATCCATTTTTTATGGGTAAATCACCATTTTTCACCATTTTTCATAGGTAAATCACCATTTTTCATGGGTAAATCCACCATTTCATGGGATAAAATCCATCCCCCCCCGGTGGTTTTTCCCCATGGCTCCACCATCTCGGCCGACTGGCGCCGTGGCGCCGTGCTGGGCCGCAGCTCCAAACCATCGGAGCCTGGGGCAGGGAAGGTCCACCAAAAATGGGCCTTTTTTGAAGGGTGGAAATGGATGATGTTTCTAGGAAAATGATGGGAACATGAGGATTTTCATGATTTTTCTGGGAAAATGATGGGAAAATGATGATGTTTCTGGGAAAATGATGGGAAAATGATGGGAAAATGATTTTTTTCGACATAAAACCTTGAAAACTATAGAATTGGTAACATAGACCCTGGCAGATAGGAGTTGGAAGATGAGTGTCCATTAAACATTGGCTTATTCTCAGGGTCTATGTTAATTTACCAGAGGGTATATGACTAACCAACCAACAAATATGGATATACTGGGGATTGAATAAACTTTGAGTTTGAGTTTATTTTTTGGAAGCAGCATTTTTGGTGTAACTCGATGTATACCCAATCAACCCCTCTGAAAAATATTAGTCAGTTGGGATTACTATTCCCAATATATAGAAAAACAATAAATGTTCCAAACCACCAACCAGAATAGATTTGGACCCACCCCCAATCCCAAATTGGGAGTCGGTTGCGTCAGTTCCATCCCAATATCTGGTGACGACTAGAACTGTGCTTGACATATCTGCATGGGTTTGTCTGAGAGGGTGCCCAAAAATCCCGTAGTTGATCAAAAACCCCAGTAAATAGCTATCACTCTATAACTAACTGGATGGTAAATCACCCATTTCCACACACATCCACATAATGATGTTTGGTGATACGTCCTATCAAAACCCCACTCAACTCCTTAAAATATATTCAGTGGCGCCAATCCTCTTGGATCTCACGGTGCCATGCAGATTTCTCTTGCAACAACCATTAAACGGGTATGATATGGATCTGAAAATAGGGTACCCATGGAAAATCCTGATGGTTTGTCATGGTTTATCATGGTGTATCATAACGGCCCTGCTTATCTGATTGAAATGACCATTCTGGGAAAAAAAGATTAGAGAGAAGCCCACGGCTTGGTGCCACTGTGCCTCCTGTGGTGCCCAAGTCCCGCTTGCCCTCGTCCTCGTCCTGGGTATTCGGAATAATCTCCTTCTTGGGATGAACATGTTGTTTCTTTTAGAATGGATATAGTATAAGTATAAGTATGATAGTGTATGATACTGTATGAGATTGATTCTATCTCTGTGTGAGATTGATTGATATTGATTGAGAGTTTATTTAGACTTCGATATTCTCTGATTATTACATGATATTCTATGATATTCTGGGTAGCCCACGGGATGATGATATTCACTCATCGATTCTGCAACAGAATCAAGTCTTTTTTGGTGACCCAAACAAGTTACAGTAGAACGGCATGATTTACCCTCTGGTTATCTAACATAGTTTCATGGAAGTCATGGTCATGGCCCATAGAAATATGATATGATTATATAATATTATATATGATTTACCCTCTGAATATTCATGGTCCAATATGTTCCATATCTATATGTTAAATAACCAGAGGGTGTCAACCAAGGGGATTGAACTCTGATCATCGTGGCAAATAATGAAGATGTATCAACTATAATTAGATATGTTCTATCTATAATATATCATATATATAATAATAATAAACATGCAGCAAAATATGAGAACTAGATTATGTATATATATATATATCAACACTGAATATATAAATTTTATTCCAACTATCCTGAGATAATGGGGATCCAATGGGGATTTAATGGGGATCCAATGACAATTAGACTCCCATAGGGAACCAGCGGAGCAGCGAGCAGAACTGGCCTGGTTTACATCTTTTCCAACCATGGATTCATGATCCCGTTTCAATAGGTTTGTAGAACCACTGGTTGGTGGTTTGTTTCTACCCCCTGAAAAATGATGGACTTCGTCAATGGGAAGAATAAAAAAATGTTTGAAACCACCAACCAGTTAATATCAGTTAATCAATAATCCCAAGCGCCTAATACTAAACACCTCCCCCCAAAAAAATTGATGTCCTCCCCTATGGGTGTCTAATGGGGGGAAGGGATTCACCTTCCCAAAGAATGGTTGTTTTGACACTGCTCAGTTGGATTTATAGTTGATACATTAATGGTTATAATATTACCAATATATAATTTGATACATTAATAGTTGGATTAATTATAGTTGATACCAATATATAATCATTTATATACATATATGCTATATGTTATAATTAAACAAATTGGATTTTACCATGCCAAGACTCCGCACCGCCCAACTGCTGTGGCCAATGCACTGCTTCGGGGTACAGCCTCGAAGCAGCGCTTTCTCTGGCGAGATCCCCCACGGACAATTCAAACAAAGTCCTATTGCATATTACATGCGACATGTTACATGTGTTATATATATACATAATATCTATCTTATCTGGGTAAATTAACATAGACCCTGGCAGTCATCGGGGTTGGAAGATTAGTTTCCATTCAAACTAGCCTATTTTCAGGGTCTATGTTAATTTACCAGAGGGTATCTTATCTGGGTAAATTATAATTGTTTCACTAACCTGAAATGTTGCGGCCATGTGGGGATGACTTCCTTATGAGGTCGCGGGATGGGACCGGTGGACATGGCATGTTTGTAGCCACCCACCAACAAAGGTGGTAAACAAGGGGATTGATATTGGTGGTGGGTGAAAATATTGGTGGGTCAATATTGGTTAACCATCCCAATATTGGTGATTTATTGCATCCTAATATTGGTGGAAAACCATGATATTGGTTAATCCCATCCTAATAACACTCCAATTGCATGGTCCCAAGTATGTGAAAATTCCCTACTAAACCATGGTTTCTAAGGGGGTGTTTAATATTCGGGGGCAGTGGTTAATATTGGTTATATAGTACTGATCAACATTTGAGCCATGTTCTAAATGTCTTACATCCTGGCACCAAATAAGGAAATGCTTACGCCATTGCTTCCGTTTTGCTTACGCGCGCACAGGTTTTGCTTACGCACATATCTTTTCTTACGCAGAGCTTACGCTGGCTTACGCGCACAGTTTTGCTTACGCCACACCCTTACAAGGGGCCCCTTGCTTAACATGAACACAAGGGTTTAGAACGTGGCTCATTTGTTAACAACTGTTCATGTTCACAATGGTTACCCTTCGACATTCAAACATGGCAAGCTGGACTCCCATGAACATGGAGCTTTATAGCTGGGAAATCCTCCGTGACATGGGGGATTTTATGGGATTTTCCAGCAAGCCGTGTTTGACTACCAATGGACAAATACCGTGTGGAACTATGACAGATATATCTGCACTATACTTGGATGGGTGAAACTGAAGCTATTTCAGTTAAAACAAGAAAAGGGACACATCTTGGCGCAAAGACTGAGCAAGGCTTACATGGCAACATGCGACTAACCATCCGAACACGTGATGAACATAAAAAGTTCACCCAGAACACCCTTGAAAGATATGGGAAGTTCTCGAGAAAACATGGGGATGTAATAATTGATAATCATTATCTGGTTGGTGGTATACCTACCCCTCTGAAAAATATGAAGGTCAGTTGGGATTATGCAAGTCCCAATATATTATAATATATGGAAAAAGAAAAAATGTTCCAAACCACCAACCAGTTATATACAGTACCGAAACCATCTATCGGTTCCGCTGGTGTCCGTACATAACTACTTTTTTTGAGTAGGAAGTGCAGCAACCGGCGACAGCACATGGCATTTTCGATGACACCTGGCATTTTAATTTTCTACTGGGGGTACCAGGAAATTCACCGTCCGGGACAGGAAATGGAGATCCTGATGAATCCTGGTTGGTGGTTGAGCCACCTACCCCCCTGAAAAATGATGGAGTTCGTCAGATTGGATCATCATCCCAACTATTGGGGAAGAATTTTAGTTCATGTTCCAAAGCACCAGCCAGAATCAAACATTGGACTTTCACGGAAAATTGGGAAGAATTCAGAAGTAACCGAAATTTTCAAGCTATCACCGAAAAACAGAATGCAGTGTCTCATCTGGCCCACAGGAGAAGCACCTCAAAAGCTAGGCTATCCCTCAATCCATTGCTTCATCATCTTTAGTCAAAACTAACATTGCCATAAATTAGAAAGTCATAAATCTATATAACATTATATCAAACATAACTGGTTATATTTCTATAATGGTATCCAATTGATATCAATGATACTCATCCCCATACTAGATGATGAGTGTCCCATTAAAACCTCCATTTATAATGGATTTTCCATAGCTATGTTAGTCATAACCAGAGGGTAAATCTCATCATTCAATCAGCCATGTTCAGAAACAAATCAAGTCCTTAGATATACTCTCATTGATCCTGGTTAAATCATGGTCCATCTTAACTGCAAAAAATAAAATAAATTTCTTAGGTGCTGAACGTAGATAATCCAAAATTGATACCAAAATGACTAGTTAGGGTTAGTTTAACTACCAATCCTTTAGATTGGCCCAAAGAAATCAACATTTATCGTTGCAACATTTCTGTTGGTTAAATCAACATTTGGAGCTTTCCGAAGTGGGGGTACCCCCAGTCATCCATCTGTACCATCCAGCTATTGGGGATCCTCCATGACTATGGAAACACCCATGTATCGTCATGGCAGCACCATCACCAAGCAACACGTGCGCGACAGACTGATGACCCCCAAGCCTCAACGTCTGAGGGGATTGGGACTACAAAACCGAAGCTTTGGTAGACAATATATAATTGGCTTGGTTGATTGGAAATTGAAATCTAGACTGGGTTGCTATTTCTTGTAACATATCTGGATTCACTAACCTGAAATAAGGCCATTTGGGATGCTTCCCCTTATCAACCATGATCCAGGGTTCGGTCGCAGCGAGGTCGTTATAATTTGCCCAGACATATGGTTTCAAAAGTTTTCATGGTGGGGATTCACCTATCGGTTGGCGGGAAAATCGAAAACTACTGGAAAACATGGCGCCCTAAAACAGCGGGGAGTACCATGTGTTTAAACGTTTAAGGGGTATACCGTGGTATACCTGCAATATACATGGAAATCGCAGTATCATGCAGTATCAATCTTGGATGTAGTGCTTTTGCTGGACTTGCCTGTTGTTTTTTTTTCTTGCTCATTTGCCTGCCGTTTCCCCATGATACTGATGAAGAACCATCTTCAACCGTGTGCCTTTTCTCGCTGCCAAGGGGCAACTTCCCGGACATTAAGAACTCCTTCAAAAGCCTCGCGGGAGGGACCAATCTATCGCTTGCAGTGACTGGTTGCTGGGACGCTGAAAGTTCAAGGATTTCTTGGAAAAGGCAGCAATAGGCTGATGGATGAGGCTAGCACCAACAGAAACTTCTTTGTTTCTGTGTACGACGGTCATTCCACGCGATTCCACACTGAGCTTTATGCCAAAACACGGGCGCATCAAATCAAAGATGGGACTCACAGAACAATTCCACTGGAATATACTGGAAATTTCGATGAACATTCTGATGAATATATGGGTATGGATCAATACCTATGAAAATACCATTTTTAGGGGGTTATTCACATCCATAAATCCCAGCTATTTTGATGTGAACAAAAAAGGGGTACTATTGGTTTTGACCCACTGCCATATTTCGATCGTTCAGATGATCATCCCCAGGGTGGTGCTCCCAGGAATCATGTGGCTTAACCCCAGAAAAGATGCTTTTTTTTGGTCGGGCAAATAGGGTTTGTGCACTGGTGTCAAATCCATTGACTCGGGGCGAACCACCAAGTATACTTGAAACGCTTTGAAACCAGAAACCAGCAAAACACCTTGATTCCATCTCAAGATGTGATGAATCTTTGGCAATCACGATAAAACCCGGCGGCAAATCGCCAGAATCGTTCGAAGCCCTGCTGCGGTGCACATGAACACGACGTAGTTCTAGATGTTCCTTCTTAATTACACACCGCGCAACCGGATAAGGGCAACTTGGGTCGTGCAGAGAATTGTGGTATGTAATATGAATATGACTAGTGACTTTTATATATATATATATATATATATTATATATATATTCGTATAGATCAATGAATATCTATAGATTTATCTAATAGTAATAGATATGACACACCCATCGGCTTCCATCTGTTACTGCCGAGCCACTGCTGTTGCGGCAAGGCATGGAATTGAGGTAATGGAGCCCTGTTCGCCAACGCGGTAGGAGTGTCTTGCCGAGCCTGAGCTGTCAGCTGATGTCAGCTGATGTCAGCTGATGTCAGCTGATGTCAGCTGTCAGATGGGAACATTTTTCCTGGTTTGAAATGATCTGGTTGGTGGTTTTTCGCCACCCCTCTGCTAAATATGACTTCGTCAGTTGGGATTATGAAACTCCCAATATATGGAAAAATGAAAAATGTTCCAAACCACCAACCAGTGTTAGAACGACTTAGAAAAGTCGAGCTCGATGCTGGATCATCTATCATTCCTGATGATGATGTTGGAAACATCGAAACATGGGAGTTTCAACCAGGAATCGGCTACAATACTCGTGTTTTTAATTTTCACCATCCAAAGATAAGAAACATTTATTTAATCAAACAAAAACGTGTCGTTCGCAAATGTTTGTAAGATTCCCCCTTTTTCCTGGCAAAAAATCTCAGTGTTCATGCTTCAATCCTCTTTCCTGGATTCACACGTTCTTTTTGTTTGTTCAACGCCCATTTTGGCTAGTAAACATCTAAATTTGTCTCAATTAAATTCACATGTTCAGGGCAAAACTCAATCATTCACATCTAGATTTGTTTGTTGGTGTAGTTCAAACCTTCATATGTTTTCCATAAAACCCAAAAATGGAAAATTTGACAGAATTAGATCATATTTGACCTGGACAACTTGGAATGTCCCCAGATCGTGTCCAAAAAAATGTGGGTTTTTGCCAAGAGATGTGGATTGAACCCTTCAAATCCCACCTTCTCCTCGGGGAAGAGCAGCTCGAATCTTTTCGCCTTGCCCATGGAAACCCACATGAGAAAAACCATGGAAAAAACCCAAAATCTGAGTGGTTTCAAATTGTCAAACCTCATTTTGCCCATGATTCAGGGCATTTTTATGGGTGTACTGAATGTTCATACCATATTATTCGAACACATATCATGATTTTGACAGTAACCAACCAAAATCGGCATTGAACCCAGAAGATTGGGAAGCAATCAGGGTTTAACCTGGCAAAACCAAAATGAATCTCTCACCCCCAATCAAGATTAGGATAAACAAGTGGTTCTACAGCCAAGGATCTGGAATATGTTCCCAACACGAGCGTTAGTATGTTCCTCATCAAAGTCTTAAAAATTTCCAACACAAATCACAACATCAACCAAAAGGATCGAGTGAAGGGTTGAAGGAAGAGAGTACTTTAAAAACCAAGATGACAAAAAGTGGCAAACCAACTGAAACTGATAAAATGTGGCAAACCTTGGACTGCAAACCTGAGGATTCCATAAACTTCAGGCCATGCTCCTGGAAGTCAGCGTTGTTGAATTCGGCATACACAAAATTCACCATATCTCCTGTTTTTGTTTGTTGAATCATCGTGTTTCTACATTAAAAAAACTAAAGAGCAAAAAACAACACTTTGGGATTTTGTCATCTTCAAGTATCGCAAACCTATCATTTTTTCTGATGATGAGTAATGATTAGCTAATCGATTGATTAATGACCGGCTACTTGTTGACTAATCATTTATAATCTGCAGCTGTCAACTTCATCGCCAACCGAGCCACGTACAAGGCTTGCTCCAGCTCTTGTCGACTCTCCGCGCCATCTCCTGAAGAGGATTCAACGATGGTAACCATGCAGTAGTTATACGGTAGTTATATATTGATACTATATTAACCAACATAAAAAGATGGAATTTAGTGAGTTACCATGATGTACATCTATTTTGGTATACAAATTGTGAGATTTGTATCCCCGTCCGAATTATAGCGGGCACCTGGACTACCCCCCCTTTTCTATAGAGACTGGAAAGTGGTCTAGAAAATGCTGGTGTTTGAAAAAAATGTTTCTAGAAAATGACTAGGCATAAAAAATCAGGGGGGAGGTACTAAAATCAACTTTGGAACACATTTTCTAGAGAGGCCAAATTCTCGATTTTTTGTTTTTTCTTTGGATCAAAACAGTCTAGAAAATGCAATGTTTAAAGAAACAAACCGAACATGTTTTGTTATTTTTTGTCTAGAAAATGCCACAAAATTTTGGAGACAGAAAGCATGTCTAGAAAATGTGTCGGATTATGTTCAGACATTTATCTCTAAGAAATGCCTTTGCAAACTAGGAGACAGATTACATATCTAGAAAATGCTGGGATTAGTTTCAGAAATATACTTCCATAAAATGCGTAAAAAAAAGTGAGGCTGCACTATTCAATAGGGGCCTGTTGGTGGAGGGTGAGGGTCACCCCCCCCCTCTGTGCAATTGCCGGTTGGCTGCCATGCTTCAATTTTCCAATTCCGCAATTTCGGGTTCCTATTTCTTCATGGAATTTTCTCCATGAGGAATCTATTTGGTCACCCGCGCAGACTCAACAACTTCAGGCCCTGGCGGTAATCCCGAAATTCTGAATCCAATTGACAGCTGATCGAAAAACTCTCGGCCCTTCTTGATCGATAGATATATGATATATCTGTCAATATCTATTTGTATCATGCTGCATCTAACCCAATCGTCGTAATCTATCTATATCTATCTAAACTCATCAAGGCTACTCTGCTCTAATATAATTTAACCGTATCTAATCTATCTAGATGTCTGTGTGCGTGGACTATATCGTATAAAATCTACCTTTCATCAGAATGGCTTAAAAGGATCAGTAGCATTCACCGGAAATCTGAATGAGCATTAAAAATTCTGGTATCTCACAACCTTGAAATCACAAAATACAATGTGCACAGTGCATCGCTGGAGATTTAAGCCAAAATCCTTTGTGGGAACTATATGTGAAAAGAAAATTAAACAACGGATTCGTCAAAATTTGCCAGCCACCTGCTAAAGCTTCTAAAAATTATCCTCTGTCTAGTGAAGCGTGCAACGCAAGATGTTGCAACTGTGGTGACAGGTGAACGGCATGCTGCAACAATTTTTCTCCATAGGCGATCTTCTCAAGATTTCTCACACGACCATAAAGGACCACGCATAGTCACACTATGTCACACCAGGCCACGATATGTCAAGTTTCCTATGGTTTCCTTAGACGAAGTCTGGTCACCCTGGGTTTCTCTACCTTGGACTTCTCCACCATGCCCTTCGTGGTGCGCTTCACTGTCTCATGCGGCTTCTCCACCACAGGTTTCTTGGGGCGCTTCACTGTCCCATGCGGCTCTTTCTTCTCCTCTAGGTCTGGGTCTGCAAAGATCCCTCCGTCGATCTGTTCAGATGCAGATCGGTCCACCTCTCCACCAGGCTGCCCAGAGCTATCAGCACCACTGGCAGCCGACGCTTCTTTGTGTTGTGTCTCTTTTTGCTGAAGCTTCTTCTCACACCACTTCTTCCAATTGCTCTTGCCGCTGGCCCTCTTCTTCGGGACTGGTGGATGCTTGCATGCATCCACCAGCCCCGACCACAATTCTGCTGCCATAGGCTCCGCCGCTCCGCATCACTTTCGGCGGCTCCGTGATTCACCAGCCCAGAATTGTCCCGCACTCGGGGGCCCCCGCCCGAGGCGACACAAAGCTTCCGCAGCTTGAACGGGGCGCTGCAATTGCACAAGCAAATCCAGACAGATCCGCTGATGCCGTGACTTTTCCCATGGTTTCAATGGATTGGACATAGAGAATTATATAGCAAACCCTCCAAAAGATAGAATAGTGAAGTCCCACTGAACTTCGTGATAATTCACTGTTCTATATGACCTATTTGGGGGTTACTCTAATCATACATACGTGTTAGCTATCAACCAACAGAGTTAGTAGTGTTGAATTTCCTGGCAATATTTACTGGTGCTGTTGATGGTTGGCAAATAACACAACTGCATGTTGAAGTTAGTGTTATCACCTCCCTGTATCATCAAACAAGGCCATTAAATTTTGGTCGTTTTGGTTTTCTGCCCGTTTCAAAATATAATGGTAATTCTGCCCGGTTTGGGCCATGTCTGCCCGATCTCAACATGGCTTATTTCCACACGTGGAGTCTCTTGCCACCTCACATCAAATCACCCAACCTTCAGCAATTCCTGCCGGTAAAGGTACAAACACTTCTGTCTTGTTATATAAAAAGCAGGTGGTGACATGAACGTGACAACCGTGAACATCTTCCGATGTGATCTTCGTCTTGCCCGCACCCCCAGCCTCAGTCACTGGGCCATGCCGAAGAAAATCATCTTAAGATATCCCTAACTGAAAAGCACTTCTTTACCCCCTGCTCAAACGTAGAACAGGGCCTCATGAAGATGAATCTGATCCACTAAGTGTGTTGAAAAGCATCCCAAGAATGACTACAGCTATGCAGTCAGCAATCAACCTATTGGCTCCTATTGGTGTGTCTTCGAGTGGCTGACCCACTTCGCTAAATCAAAAGAATTCGCCATTAAACCTAGCTTTGCTGCGATAAAATACATTTTGTCAAAACACATCAGGCCAGAAATCCTGATTTGCGCCCGTTTGTTGGTTTTTGCGTGCGAATTGCGGGTTTTTGCGCCCGATTTGCGGGGCAGTTTTGGTCCGAAAAAACTTGAAAATTGACGATTTGCTGTTTGCGGGGAGCTGCTGTCCCAAATCTGCGGCGTGAATACTTGTGAATCATTTTGTGTTTTGCATGACTGCCTTATGTCTTGTGAATGACGCCAATTAAATAGTTGTATGCGTGAAGTCCCACGCGCAGACAAACACACACCTGTCTCAGATGGTACAGCTTTGCGAGCCAGAATCTGAACAACACGTGTCATACAGCATTGAAATTTATGCCAATCGGCATCCAATCCCTGAACAATGCACCAACCCTGCAAAGAAAAAAGGAAAAGCAGAGCGGGGGCTGAGGCCTGAAAGCGCAGGCCCCATGGATCCAGTCAAACACTGCAGGGGTCAATCAGTGCCACAAGTGTAGCTATGGTGAAAGAGAAAGTGAAGTTATGGGATTGGACACCATGGAAACACATAGAAAACTAGATTTAATCCAGATTTCTGCCATTTTGGGTCGTTTGAGTTGAATTCCCCGATCTGCCCCAAAACAGGTCAATTGGCTAAAAACAAGGTCATTGGCCAAAACAACCTTTTTTTTGCTCGTTTGCTGGTCCAGGTAATAAAGGAAAAAAACGTGGAAAATGACCACTTTTTTGTCGCCCAGGCGACCCCATTTCCTAGAGGAAATTCGGACGTGGATAGATTTGTGATTATTTGTGTATCTTTTTTGGGGTTGCCAAAATTGGGATTTTAATCATCAAAAATAAGGGGATACACTTAATACACTTGATAAATGATGGTCGGGGGTCAAAATGCCGGGATGCTCCAAACTTGCTATTGAATAATATGGAATGTTCCTGAAATGGGAACCCCCGAATCATCAACAATTGGTAATCTTTAACGGGAAAACCGAAGGTTTTGGGGTACCCCAGGGACAATGATGAAGAATGCATTTTGGTATGCATACGTAGGTGGGTATGGGTCGAAATGGGGTACCCTGTGGTAATCGAACCTAAGTACCTGGAAAATCATACGCTCTGATGATATGTGCAAATTACTGGATCCTCTCGGAGTTTAGTTTTTTCCTGGCGAGTTTAGGCTACAATAGGGTGCTGCAACAGCCAACAGATCCGGCGCGCTTGATACCCCAGCCATGATAAGTAGCTTGCACAGTTACAGGAATTGTGTCTTGCAGATCACAATAGTAGGAGTAGGAGTGAAGTAGAAGATATTCTCCAAGGTAGAATGGAAGAAAATAACATACAGTACGAAACACTCAAATCAACAACCAGTTTGGCTTCTATCACAGCCTTTATTTGTTGCATGTCTGGTTGCGCGATTCCCCAACTCCATGGAGTGTAGTCCCATCCCCCATTTTTGTTGTTTTCTACACCCCCATTCTGTGGTTCCCCTATGAAACGATGGTTCCATATATGGGTGGCTAATATTAGGGGAATCCGATCTTATCTGGGGAATATTAATATTGATTCTGGGAATATTGTGCAATAATCCACGATATTAATATGTGAATATCTGGGGAATCATATGATTGCTGCCAGTCATATCCCATCATCTCCATGATTGTTGATGCATTCCCTCCGTGGCAGCCTTGAACATCAATCAGAACGACTACGTACTAATCTCACATCAGAACCATCTAAACGTGTATTTAGTTGTATATATACATAGATAATACATGTCTTCCATATGTTTGAAAACAATGTGACTAAAAGCCAGTGTTTAGATGTTTGCATAGTTTTGGAAACCATCAAACCCAGATCTCACCAAATCTAGGCGACATCCCCATGGCTCCCCACATCTATATATACATCTCCCGTCCATGGCTATCGAATGATCCAGGAAAAGAATCAGGAATTCTATTGCAAAACCAGGCCGTGGATTGAACATAATAGTGGTTTAAGTGGAAAAATAGTGGAAAAAATGTTCAGAAAAAAACACAGTTTGTTTCTAACTGGTTTTTACTGAAAAGTCTCCTTGAGATCCCTGTCTTTTCCGAGTAAATCATGGCAATCCTGGATCCACAGGACCTCAAAACCACCAACATATACATCCATTTTGGGAGGGCCAAATTTTGAACCCAAATCCAAATTCTACTGGTTATTGGCTAACTTCTGTCATTAAATGTGAATCCTGTTTTTTCATGGTTAAATCCATCATTTTGACGGTTAAATCACATGTGGAGATGGTCTGTGATGGTTAAATCCAACGTTGTTGATGTTCAAATTTCCAATCCAGAGAAAGTCTGCTGGATCTGGCGAGCATCGTTTCAACGTCTTGAGGCCCAGAAGGAAGTTCAAGATCTGTTGGCCCACTGCAGAGCTCTCCTCGGTGCTGATCAGTCTGGATTAGCCTCTGGTAATTTACATGGCAAACTGGAACACAATGTTTAATGTGTTTATTATACTTAAATCATGCTAACTCATTGGCACTCAACGGGCCATCTAGACCATAAACAATTACCAGAGGATATCTTGGATAGTTAACTGATGTGAACTGCACATTTGATTCCAGTTTTTTCATAGCAGGTTTGTACAGTAACTCGTCCAAGTCGCATCTCCCACGTCTGCCTTGGCATCACCTGGGACGAGCTACCCTCTACGCAAATTCATGAATGGACCAGGGTTCACATTGGGAAAATGAAGATATCTTGGTAATATAATATTATACAATGGTATATAACCAGCTATACTACATATCCCAAAGACAGAAGATATTAAATAATTAAAACAGATAGAAAATGCAAAATTGGGGGTGTACAAAATTTACTTTACTTCGAGTGATCCCCACCATGACATTTACCGATTTGTTACTGGCATTCTATCTGACATTCTATCTGGCATATCTTCTGGCATTCTATCTGGCCGTTGAGGTCCAGCGGTGCACACTGAGCTGGGCAGGTCCCAGGTTGAGGTCCAGCAGTGCACACTGAGCTGGGAAGGTCCCAGGTTGCGGACGTTGGCAAAGAGCTTGGCGAAGAGTTGGCAAGGCAACAGTGGACATGGAAGTGGAGGCAGAGGTGGTGGAGGAGATGCTGGCGGAGGAGGAGCAGGAGGAGCAGGAGGAGCAGGAGGAGCAGGAGGAGGATAGCTAGCCGAGGAGGAGGAGGAGGACGAGGAGGAGGAGAACAACTATGATAAAATCTAACAACCCTCACCTGGCAGGCGGGGAACAAACCAGATAGAAGATAGTCCTTGTCGCAAAGGGTCCTCCAAGAGCCGGTTTCGAGGGTTATTTAGTGTCCTTTTTCTTATCATTTTTTAGGTTTTAACCCACAGACCTTCTGACATACCAGGGCACTGAAACGCTGGTATTTGCAATGTTTTCACATTTCCAGATCAAATAGAAGATACTAGAAAAATTCAAATCCGCAAAGAGGTCCTCCCCCGGAGGAGGACCATCTGCGACCGGCCCTTTTTTGGACTTTTTCTGAAAAAAAACGCAAGAAACCTCGGTTTTTTTTGGGAGGGTGTGATGTTAGCCACAAACCAGGTTGAAAAAAAAACATCAAATAGAAGATATTGGTGTACAAACTGACCGACCAAATAGAAGATATTCAACAATTGTTTGGGAGGGGTATCAGCCATGGAAATTAATTCAATGAATATATTCTATTTGATCGGTCTGGCAGAAACTATTATTAAAATATCTTCTTGCCTGAGGTAGGCCGAAACAATGAATATCTTCTATTTGGTTGGTTTTTTGAAACCTTGGTTTTTGACCGATGTCACCTCCTTCACTGAAAAAAAATGCGAGGATTTGCTACCTACGTACCACCATCTCTATCTTTTGCCAGCTACCTGCCACTACCTCTACCTATATACCACTACCTGCCACTGCCTGTCCCTACACACCTGCAACTATATACCTGCCACATCCTGCCACTACCTGCCAGGTTCTTCCACAGTCTCTACCTGCCACTACCTGCCAGTCTCTACCTGCCACTGCACTACCTGCCACTACCTGCCACAACCTCCGCCTGCCAATACCTGCCACTGTTTCCACCTGCCGCAATCTGACACTACCTCCAGCTGCCACTACCTGCTGCTACCTGCCACTGCCTGCCACTATCTGTTACTACCTGACTTCCAGCTAGTACCTCTATCTGCCATCACCTGCAACTACTTACCTGCCTTATCCTATCCCCAGACCCAGTCGCTGAGATTGCCACGACTGAAACTATACAACAGACCAAGATACCAAACAACCCTCAAAAGTTCCTCCTGGTGGATCAGACACAGAATATTTTCTATTTGGTTTGTTGTTTGAAACCCTGGTTTTTGACCAACATCACCTCCAAAAAAGGCAAAACAACTCGAGGATTTGCTCGTTTTTTTTGCAGAGAGGGTCCAAAAAAGGGTCCGTTGCAAATGGCCCACCTTTTCCGGGGGAGGACACCTTTGCGACTCCATAATCTCCAAATGACACTGCAATTTTCAGTCGTTCAGAGCCTTGGCATCGAATCTTCACATGTTCCTCTTGGTAGACTATTTGCAACAAAGAATATGTTCTATTTAGTTTGTTTTTTGAAACCTTGGTTTTTGACCAACATCACCGCAAAAAAAATATATTTTATTTGGCTGTTTTTTTTTGAAACCCTGGTTTTTGACGAACATCGCCGCAACAAAGAATATGTTCTATTTGGTTGGTTTTTTGAAACCTTGGTTTTTGACCGATGTCACCTCCCTTGACTGAAAAAAAATGCGAGGATTTGCTACCTACGTACCACCATCTCTATCTTCTGCCACTACCTGCCACTACCTCTACCTATATACCACTGCCTGCCACTGGCTGCCACTACACACCTGCAACTATATACCTGCCACTACCTGCCAGTTTCTTCCACATCCAAAATTGGTCGCACAATATTTGATCGAAGAATTTCAAAAAAAAACGGATAAGTAACATGCACTTCCGATAAATACATAAATAAATAAATATATATATATATAATCCATCATAAATCTGAATCTTGATGGGGCTTACTATATTGCAACGGCTGCCTCCCCCCCAAAAAAAAACGTTACTTCGAGTGGCCCCCCACCCTGGCATATTATTCTGACATTCTTTCTGACAATCTATCTGGCATTCTTTCTGGCACTAAGTTCTGCCATTTGTTCTGGCATTCTTTCTCGCATTCTATCTAACATATATTCTGACATATTATTCTGACATTTTATCTGACATATTATAGTCTGACATTCTATTCTGCCATTCTATCGGGCATTCTATCTGGCATCTATTCTGACATTCTTCCTGGGATTCCCTCTCACATTCTATCGGACATATATTCCCTCACCTGGCAGGTGGGCATGCTGCTCATATGGATTCCTCATTCCTCATCAAGGTTCTCATGATCCGGTGGTTGGGTTCCGCCATAGCCAAAGTCTGTTGACCCATAGCTACATGGGGGCTGATTGAAATCCCCAAGTCACCAAACTTGTTTCCATGCCTAGTAATGGTCATCCATTTTCCTTATTGTCACTCCATTGCCTCCCTGCCAGCTTCTTTGACCAAGGACCGGTGGCAGGGAGACGTTTCTCCTGCCAGCGCTGATGGACATGGGAATTTCGTGCGGAAATAGCGTGGCTGGAACAAAGAAAACATGGAAAGATTAACCTCTAAATTTGGCTCCAAATATTTATCCCTTGCTTCAAACCCGCGGATTTCAATGAACACCATTTTTCTGATAAACATCAAAAATTACATGTGTCGATTGACTTCAAAATATAGGATATATAAGATATTGTCTGGCATAAAACCCTACTGGAATGTGGGTCAAGTTCTTGGGGTACCAACGGACCAACAAAACGCTGGTCATGGTAAGTATCAACCCATCCATCTTCGCAGTGAAATCATGTTAGGGAAGGATATTTACAGCAAATTTTGGATGCCAATTCAGGAATGGATTATATGGATCCGAACAATAGGCATGTTCAACCATTCAACTAAATCTACAGTAAAATAGGGTCACTATAACAACCATGTGGTAAGCACAATATTAGGCCAGAATAAACCAAACCCGATGACCAACCATTTAGGGGGGCTCGGGGTTCTTACAATTTATGCCAATCTTTGGGAAAATGAAGCAATGATGGTTTTCAGAACAAACAAATACCCTGCATTGCTGGTTGTGGCCGATGATATCCCATCGCATATTCCGTCTGTACAAGTAGTTAAATATATATATATATATGTATACACAATATATATGTATTTACATATATTTATAAACAGCACATGTAAGTATGTATATCAATTTATGTACACACAATATGTATATATATATGTACATACAGCATGCATACATACATATATATGTGTATTGTTTATATATATACACAATACATAAAAATATTTACAATATATATATATATATATGTGTGTGCGAACATATTTACAATATACAAATATATAAATATATACAATATATATATAAATACAATATGCACATGTACATTTGCAGTAGATGAATATCTATACAATATAAATATATATATATACCATATATATATACAGTATATGAATATCTTCACAATATGTATATATATATATATATACAAATCAGTATATATACATATATACATACAATATCTATATCTATATATATATTACATAACGAGACATATGGTGATTTCAAATCATGCTAACTCCCAAGAAACCCGGGAGTTTTTCTTGCTTAGATCACCATGTTTTGTCGCCTTATGTTGCATCAAACTCTTCATTTTCCCCAGGATGGGGGGCCAACCCGGGACCACTCCCGGCATGACCACGAGACCTCCTCCTCCGAGGGCAACGACGGCTGCACCGCGGGTGCCGCCAAAGCAGCGCCGCGGTCGGTGGCGGCGGTCAGCTCCTTCTTGGACTTGCGGCTTTCGCCTGGCAACGGGGGTGGATATTTAGATTTATTTTTTATGTTTTCTTTTTTTAAAAAAAATATATATATATACACATATATATATAAATGCTTGAAATTATAGTTGATACCAGATAGTGCCCAGCACGCGCTGGGGCGGAAGTTTCGAAAATAGGAAATGACTATAAGAAATCAGTGGCCTATAGAAACGGTTTTGCGAGGCAGAAGCAATGAATTGTTGAAGTTGCGAGGTGCAACCACGAATCATCAAATGGTGGTGGAAATGACGATGAAATAAAAGAATCCGTGCACAGCTCACCAATGAACCAATGAATTCGTGAACCAATGAATGAATGCATGCATGAATGCATGCATGAATGAATTAATGCATGAATGAATGCATGAATCAATGAATGAATGAAAGAAAGAAATAATGAATGAATGAAAAAATGAATGAACCAACACATGAAAGAACGAACAAACGAACGAATGAATGAATGAGCCAATGAATGAATCAATGAACCAGTGATTAAATGAGTGAATGAACTAATGGGTCGATGAATGAATCAATGAACCAGTAAATCAGTGAATCAATGAAACAGTAAGTCAACAAACCAATCAATCAGCAAGTCAATGATTGAATGATTCAGTGCGCCAATGAACCATCAGATCGGTGAATCAGTGATTCACTGAATCAGTTCAAAGAAGCAATGAGTCAATGAGTCAATGATTCGAAGATTCAATGAGTCCATGAATCCTCAATAACTCATCAATGATTCAACGAACCAGCGAATCAATGAATCAAGCAATCTATGAATCAGTGAACCAATGAGTGAATGAATTACATCAGTGATTCAAGTAATCAAAGACTCCACGACTCAAAGAGCCAATGAATCAACAATCAATGAAACAATGAATCAATGGTTCAAACTTTCAGTGAGTCAAGAGTCAATGAATCAATGAATCAATGAATCAATGAATCAGTGAATCAGTGAATCAACGATTCAGTGGACCAATGGTTCTCTGACCCAGTAGCGAACCAGTGAACCAAGGAACCAATGAATTTTGCAACCTCATCCTCCAAAAGTGCTCCCATTCCCCCAGTTTTCCAAGGACCCTGACATGCAAATAAATAGAACTCTCACTGCAGTCTCGTGCACATTTTGCCAGCTTCATCTTCCAAAAGTGCTCCGAACGCTTCATTTTTGTTAGCTCTCGCTGCAGTCTCGTGCACATGTTGCCGACCTCATCTTTCAAAAAAGTGCCCCAATCCCCTCAGTTCTTGACAGCTTTAAAGTGCTCAGAACGTGACAGGAATTTAACATTTTGAAGTACAAATCGAGCTCTTGCCACAATCCGGTTTTTTGTCCGCAACTTTCCCAGATCGAAGCCCGCACCCGCGGAAACAGAGACCTTACTTCGGCAACCCCTGGAGCCACATTACCCGAAAAAACACAGGGCTTCGCGCCCAAAAGTGTTTTCACCCGTGAATTCACGCGCTCCCGAACTGTCACTCTCCTCTACTGCTCCCACACGCGAACTGCTATTGCTCACTATGTTGCTGACATGATGATCACATGATGACATGATGATGATCACTTGATGCTGAAAAGAGTGCCCCTGGACATTCGTCTGTAACTCAGAAGTTTTCGAACTAAACTTCCTTTGATTAATATAGTGAATACTGTTAATATAATTAATACAGAAAAATTGAACTGATATATATATATATATATATATGTTATATATATATATGTTGATATGTATATATATAGTTATCCCATTATATCCTCATCTTATCAACTATGTTATATTCCATAACTATTAATACACATGGAGATTTCACCAGCAATGATGGGATAATCATTGGGATAATAGCGATGATTGATGAAGATTTAACCGTGGGAATACAATGGGATGACTATGATATTTAATGGGATATCTTGAAAGTGATATTGGATGTTGTTTGTTTAATGGTGATGTTTAAGGGTGATTTTCTGATTTTACCATCACCCATGGTATACATATTAATACATATTATATATATATACAGTGAAGAAGTGGGATGTATCAATGGCCATTTCAGGAACCGATTTATTGGAGGTACATGAGGTATTTACCATATACATGGCCTATGCAAGGGCTGTGTAAGGGAATATTAATAATGGGATAATTCTGAGTTGGGACATATTGACACTGATATTGGATGCTTTAATGGTGATTTAACTACTCCAACCATCCAACAGTTCATGGTGCTATGGTAAAATCCATTGAGTTAATGTCCCAATTCTGCTGGGCAAAAAAATCTGCATGTTGATTGCTTAAATCTACTTCATGATGGTGAAATCCCCGTTTGTGATGGTCCAAATCACCTTTGTTGATGCTTTCATCCCCATTTTTTTCTGATGAAATCCGCCTTTGCCCGCGCCTGCATAGCTGCTACTCTGTCGCGGCATTCCCCGTGCTTTGAGCCATGGTGCTGTACGGTCCAAGGAAGGCAGGATGAAACTGTGGAGATCCACGGTGTTTTCTTGGGGATATAGTAGGATAATTAATATGGGATTAGATGGGATATCCCAAGATCAAATGGGATATCCATAGTATAGTAGGGTAATATGGAATTAAGTGCAATGCCGCTGATGTTCAAGGGACTTTCAAGGTACATTACTATGGGCTTTATTGACGCGGATTGATGTTTGACTATGACTACCAATAAATTCACCAACATATAATCAATTATGAAGATATGATGGGATACAATGTCACTTAGGCAAAAAAAAATAAAGATCAAACACTGGGAATAAACATGTAATATTATGGGATAAGATGGGATAATTGGATATATCTACTTACAATAAAATGCAATATGTGTAAATAAATATATATAAATATATATCATTATATAGAAAATTGTATATGTATATATCATGATATATATATACAACATTATCATAGCTGGATCTGAACACGGGGGAATGAAGACCCCACGGCCATAGCCAAAGCGAAGTTGCCTGCTTTGCTACCAGAAGACTCATGGCGTTCCCCATCAATCAACACATGTGACACAATATACAGTTACAGCAAGGCCCTTTACCAGTTATAGCTGGTTGTAACATGTTATACCTGGTTATAAACAGTTATAAATGTGGTTGCTATTCCATAAATGGGGTTATAACTGACTTACAAACTGGTGGCCAAAACTGTAAAGGGGATATCATGGAGATACTAATTCGGATACTATGTTTTCAACAGAGCATTATATCCCTAGAGGTGTTCAAAATCATGGAACAACACAGGTGTGCAGTGTTTCTGGTTTTCCAGCAGCTATTGCAGATAGAAATTTGAAAGAAACTGCTTTACTGATTATAGAAACTGCTTTGACTCAAACTTGGGGACCTCCAAATACCAACGCTTTCTCGGTCTATCATCATATCATCATATTCCCCATTGGCAAGTTGGGGGTTATCTCCTGCAATTTCAGACCAAAGCACATGATATTACCCGATTCTTCAAGAATATCCCATATTATTCCCATGATAATCCTCATCATATATATTATATATATATTATATATATATTATATTTTTTTTTCCTCCCTGCCTGTAGTCGCGATCATCGCTGCGGCAGATGCATCTGCTGAATTCTGCGAAGCCCAGCAGATCTTAGCTGTCAGGGCCTATGTAAGTGCCAAAAAACTGACAGGTCATAGCTTTACAACGTTCGACCAAATCAGCAGGCACTTCTGATTCGTCGCACTTCGTGCTGACAATGTCCATGCACAGTGCTTCGGCTATTGCCTTGCAAAGAGCTGGAGGATATTCCTTCAGCGGGGATGTCTTGAATTGGCCATTCTGATCCTTACCCACAGAGGCACCGGTCGGAATCTCCCGTGTCACTCTGTTCGCATGCAAGAACCTTTCCAGTGTGGACATGCCGAGCACCATCAGCGTCGTCGGCTTTGCTGAAGGCGCGCCGAATAACCCCTGGGCCAAGTGGACAAGGCGAACATTTGGGAGCTGCAAAATCGCACGCAAAACCGGCAGCCGCCAAATACTCAACATCTCATCTTTCTCGGGGTCTTTGGGGTGCTCAACAAGTCCCGTGCCGGATCTCATGGCTAAGGCGGTGAGGCAAGCAAGCGCAAATCCAAGCAATAGGTTCCCGATGCTCACATGTTGGAGCTCGGTCAAGCTCAAGGATTCCTTTCCCCACGGCTCCTGAGGGGTTCTGACAACTCTTGGTCCTCTGACGCCGGCAATCACATGGTGTCGTGCTCGGCTCCACGTATTGCACGGCGGGCCCGCCAGAAATCCTATAACGTGTCCTTGCAAAATATGACCAATCCAATAAGATCTTGTCTGTTCTCTGGAAATGTCGCCGAATGTGGCATCAATCACGATGTCAACCGAGGCCACATGAATGACATGGCTTGGATAACGAGCGGCCATTGCATCAACATACCATTCAATGTCACCGCGTCGTCTCCTCCCGGCATAAGCATGAAGGATGATCTTCTGCTTGCTCAACGATCTTGGCAATGGCTGTAGGAGCTTCCATGATGCAGGGGGCTCGCATGCAAATTCTGCAAACCATGCTTCCCATACACTGATATCTTGGTTCACACTACTGCCCTCTCTGACACATTGCATTTGCAAAAAAGGCCACGCATCATCTCTTGCGAGGATCTCAATGCAACGGCGAACTGCGTCAAAGGAAAATGCTAAGACCTCTGCATCTTGCTCGGTGAAAATCTCAAGAAAATGCAGCAAAGTCAAACGACAAACTGTCCAGCCAACAGGGTGTTTGCCGATCTCTGTCCTGATGACCTGCTCCAAGTCATCGGTGGATGTGACTTCTAGAAGAGCAAGATACAGATCTTCCAGTAAACGGATGTTGTGTTGGTCGAAGTCTGCCTGTCTCACATTTGGACGCTGGGGACCAAAGGCTTGTTGAAAAGGCAATGCACCATCCATGCTATTCTCCAGTTCACGGTCGATCGATGACCCAGTGCCAGGTACAATGGCACATTGCATGCGCTGACCGATTAGTGCGCGACGACAACGGTCAGCGTGACGAAGATGTGCCAATACCTTCGCCCTTGTGTGATATTCACGGAGGCATGCTGGACAGTGCGTTTCATCAAATAGGGATCTTGCTGGCGCTACACGCCCATGTTTTTTGAACATGTGGACACTTTCGCCAGCATGGGTGAGAAATCTTTTTTGGCAACACATGCATCCATATGCCTCGCTGGGAACTGTTCGAGTGTCATCAGCAGGCAACTCAGCGACCCAATCGTGATCATGCAGAATGCTACCAATGCTACAGTGGAAATCAAGCGCAATCACGTAATTGTCTCTCTGCGCGATGGCATGGGCGATGCCTCTTCGGACCAATTTCTTCCAATATGAGCTGTGGAATGTGAGCAGGTCTTTCCAGACTGGATAATGGTCCACAGGGTCCTTCAAATCCGTGGTGTTTGAAACCTGGGACCAGAGCCATTGGATGTCATCTTGAATGAGTGCAATCCAGTCATGGTCTTCAGCAATGACTCCCCAATTGGCCGCACGTCCGCATCGGTGCAATGTGCCAAAATACCTCAACCGACTACTCCGGAGCAATTCGCCAGGGGATGGCAATCCTGCACGTGCCAAAAGGTGAAGATCCGTGATGTGCATGTCATGAGGCAATTTCAACAACCTTCTGTACAAGCTCATCACACCACTATGGAATTGCATTTTCACTTTTTGGGACTTCAGCGTCCATGATTCCAAACCGTATACTAATTTGCTGAGAATCAAGGTCACAAAGATTTCACGGCGCTTTTTCCATTGGATTTTGCAATTGTGATAAAGGATCCTTCGGTGTGCAGTGAAAGCTTGGTGGGCAATAGCTAATCTGCGGGACACTTCAACACGGTCAATGTCACGGTGATGAAGAATACCCCCCAAGTGCAAATATCTGCTCACAACGGAAACTTGCACCGTGTCATGTTCACCCACGACAGTCAGGCCTTGTGCACCGGAAAAATATTTCCTTCTGAACTCTCTGGAGTTGCTGCCCCTAAATGTGAACATGATCTCAGTTTTTCCTTTGCGTAAATTGGGTTCCATGTGCATTTCACGGCATTGGTCAAGCAACAAGCTCATTGCCAGCCCTGCTTTGCGTTCAAGGCCAAGGTTGGAGTCTGCGGCAATGCAAACGTTCAAGTCGTCCATCCAAGTTGGCCCTATGAAAGGGACCTTCTCATGGGGCACATCGACTTGGTCACCAAGGCTGGGCAAATCGTGAACTGGAATCACTTCCAGTACATCATGGGCAACAAGCTGTTCTTCGTAACGCCGGAGCAATTGGGCCCATAGTAGGCCGAACACTACGTCAGCATACGAGTCGCCTGGCCTAGAGCCGATTGCTGTTCGCACGACATCATTTTGGGTTCCAATTTGGAACCATGTGTCACTGTGTAGGGCTTGAAGGAACTTCTGTACAACCGGTGCCGCTCCAGCCTGCTGCAGGGCTGAAGGCTCCTTGAGTTGTGCATGAAATTGATGCAGAGCATTATGTCCAAGACCAATCCGGGCTGCAATGACTGCAATATCATCATCAGAAAGATCACCCCCCAAAGCCAGTGGGCGAATCAAACGATAGAAAGCTTCTGCTAAGTCCAAAAAGATACATGCAGTGGGTCGTTGCAATCTAGCTTGCCATCTCATGAAAGCTCTGGATAAATGCAGCGGAATCCCCACAGGAATTTTTGGACGTCCCCCAAGCTGTTGGGTTTGCATGTATGCCGTATACAAACCGTGATGTTTCTGCCGCAGTGCTCTGTGAATTGTTTTGCCCATGTGACTTGAAACAAGAAGTGACCTGTGTGTATCACAGTCACGCACATCTCCACGATGTTTCCACGCGACAGCTAACCGGCCACCTTTATGCTCAATTGCTTCTTGTCCATAGACAAAAACTTTGATCAGGATAGCATACGTCAATCTGGCCAGATCGCGTGCCTTCACATGACAGACTTCCGGTGGGATACCATCGTTCCCCACTGCTTTGCCGAATGGCACACGTCTGTACGCCATTTCAAGTTCAGCAAGGCTCGGCAGTTCCTTGATGGCAATGGAAAACGAATCTGTCACAAGAAATTTTGCAAGGTTCTGTCTCCAAATTGTACGGTATGTATCATGATCCATTCTGGTACCGCCTTCAAGGTGGCTGAAAAATTCAATCCATCTGTCCTGGGCCTCTTCAGGAGTCGTGCAGATCTCACCATTTTGCTTTCGAACAGCAGGCAAACCTGTCTTTTTTTGTTTTTTCAAATTTGTGGGCCCAATGAATGGTTTCAAAGTTTGCAGTAATGTACCCGCTGGTGTGACCTCCGATGTCTGGTCAAGAGTATGAGACAGTTGACGTGTTTTTGCTTGCTGTAACTCACGTCTCAGCATGCGTGCAACGCGATAATACCTGCAGTTCAATTGGAAAATGGAGCACAAGACCGTGTTTGCGTGAGCTGCATGAGAGTTAACAATCACGTCAACACCATCAGGGTCAGTCTCCTGATTTTTCCATGCCCAGAAGACGAGTCGGATGGAGTCCAAGCTGGCTTGGCGTCGGGCATTCTGCAAGCGTCTTCGCAAATGGAGTTTGGCGATCCGGTAGTCCCATATTTCAGCTGACAAATACTGCTTCTTCTTGCCCTGTTTTTGCCTTGGGCATGCTGCCTGTAAAGTGCAATGGATGGCTTGATTCAATGATTGGACCTGTGTTTCGATGTCCTCATGCCATGCACATGTCTGGACTGCTGCAAGGTCTATCACATGTTCTTGGTCCTTGATTGCATTCCGGTCATGTTTCCCTGTTTTGGCTTTGGACGAACGGGTCTGTCGATCTTGGACCCATTGAAGCTGGACACCAACTGCCTGGTGGTCTTCATGGCCGTTGCCTGTGTCAAAATTGTCAATGCTACATGACTGCATGCAAAAGCAAAGTTCATTCTGCGGTAATGCAATGTAGTCAATGCGATGTTGTGTCCAACCATCTGGTGCAGTCCATGTGCCATGAGAACCGCGATGCAACGCTGTGGTGGATGGCAAGCAAAGTCCAAAGTTTTTCAAAAACTCAATCATGAAAACAGTGTTTGCTGAGCATGAGTCATCATTTGCAAAAACAATCGGTTCACAACAAGGACCCGTTTTCGCATTGGCATCCATGAAAACATACAAAGACAAATCACAAACATACTGATTCATGATGCGCTGAGTTTCCTCCCACCATGCTCTGCGTTCACTCAAAGGTCTACCACTCTGTGGCGCGTGCAACACACAAAGATGGCAGTCAATGCATGGATGGGCAAGGCGGACTAGGAGTCTTCTGTGATCAGCATGGACAACCTGAACATGTGTCATCTGCACAAAACAAGGCTTGTTATGCCGATAGGCAATCGGCTGTTTTGTATTAATCCACAATTCAACCCCATGCTGGCCCTTAACACATCCACTGGCAAGGCGTATGACATCATCAGCCCTGGATGTGCCTGCTGGGCTTCGTGCTTCCTGAATGCCTAGAAAATTTAGGTTAAGGTCACACATCTGCCGGCGCAGAAAATGGAGTTTCCCACCAAAACCCTCTGGTCCTGCGTACAGGGAACTCACATTGCATGTTGCAAGACTGATGGCCATGCAATGTCGAATCACCTTTGTTTGGTTGAGGGCACTTTTTGTCGGCGGTTCTGGCTTAGGCAATTGTGGAGGGCACACATCAAAACCATGTCCTTTGAAACTTGGCAGACCTGCAGATTTGTCAAAGAGCATCCACAGATATGGCAGCACAGTTTTCCACTGTTGCAGGTTGACCGGCTGTCGTTTCAATTTGTGCCCATGTACTGCTTCTGACTTCGCAAGAAAGTCAACCATTTCATTCCAAGGATCACCTGCATGCCCCCTCACATGCTGCGCATCTAAGCAGTCAGGAGGCAATGCCGCCTGTAAAGCCTGGAATACACTCCGTAGTGCCTCAAATGTTGGGTTGTCATCATTGCATCCAGCTCGTCCCATAGCCTGTTCGGCCGTGGTGACCGAGTCCGATCTGAAAACAGTGGGTACAGTGATGTTTCTGGATAACCGCCAGATTGCTGCCCAGAAAAGGGCTTCTCTCTCGGCATGTTCCGATCCTACCTGAGTAGTGCCGAGATCTTCCATATCCTCATGATATCCCATATGCTTCGCATGATATTCAGCACCATTAGTGGGTTAAACCCAATTATTCATAAACCATTGAAGGGATGGCAAACGACATAGCACCTTAATATGAAACATATGGACCCTCTGGTAAACTAACATAGCTATGGAAAGATCCACCATTTTTAGTGGGAAAATCCACTATTTCTATGGCCATGTTCAATAGCCATGTCAAATTACCAGAGGGTAACATTAATGATCTTCGGGGTCGATGATGTTCGGGCTTTCCCACATGATGTTCGACACCGTTCTGGACTCCTCACCTCGGCTCCCCCAGGGTGCCCCGCAGAAGTTGTCATCCGTCAAGATCATGTCCTCGATGAAAACCGCGGACATAGTCACATAAGGGGGGTGACTCAAACATGATTGAGGAAAACATCACTAGGAGATTTCTATGCTTTATGGGATATAACATGATAATATAACTTAACTATAGTTGATGGAGTTTATACACCAACTTATAACTTGGGTGCCTCACTTTTTTTGGGTTTTCACCAATAGGCTGTCTTCCATTTAACCAGCACTAATGGCCACCAGAAACAAGTGGAGGCTCTCACCATATGGAGTGATTAACAATCGTTTCCTTACAAAATATTTTTTTTTTTGCGGTGTATAGCTCAATGTCAGACACACACACACACTATATATATATATACAAATAATATATACATAGTACGGTAAGAGCTGGCTTTGACCAAGGTGATGGGAACATGTCTAATTAATTATGTCTAATTTAAGCACATATATCAGGGCACCTTCCACCGTTTCTTGTGTTTGAACATTATCAACCAACTGTGACTTTCGTATTTTTTCCAGCCCGAAAATCAAAGCCACCAGTTGATCACTGGTTGTCAGAATACCGGAAATCCACCATGTAGTTCCATGATTTTCCCAGCATTTTATAGCTGTAAAATGCTTTTTATCCTCCATGGCTAGTTCCGGGATTTCCCATTTCGCCACGGAAAGAACCTATCAGCAGCACGGCGTTGCCGGATTTGTTGCAGCAGCCGCTACAAACCCAGTGTATTTCGGGATGTGGTCAACTAATCAAAGGACGACCATTAGCATCTGACGTAGTCTGACTTACAGGGTTTGATGGTTACGGCTGTTGACAAAAAACCTGTCACTTTTTATACATTTTTATACAATGGTGTCTCGGATCTTGCTATTTCAATACCTAGGAATTTCCTCAAAATTGACCACCGGGCTTCGCTTAGCGAAGGTTGTATAACGACCCAGCCGTTATGGAGGTACCTTTACCCATGGATAACACTGCAGAGACAGACCATTTTCATGGCAAACAAATTGCAATTTTCATGTCACGATCGGGTATCCATTAATATCATTGGTACTTGGCAGCGTTTGTTTTATATTTAATTGATGTGTTTGTTGGTAGAAGGTCCTTGAGTAATTGAGGAAGTGTTTCCCCCTCAAGATTTTCATGCTTCTTGGTTGAGGTTCCTTTGTGTGTTGGCTTCGTCCTCCATGTGTTGCTACATAAATCCCGAATCATATGGTTTGAGGTCCTTTGAAATGCCATGTTTCAATGGTTAAATCGCAATCTTTACCATTACATTTGTTTTGATGCTTGGAATAAAACTAGATCCGCATGAAACATCCGAATATATATATATATATATATTGAAACCATCCGGTAAATATAGTATTGGTTGTATATCCCCGTACAATATCCCCATAAGATACCCTCCAGTACTCATGCATGGCGTGCTGGAAAAATCACCATTTACTTCCATGATTTTCCCAGCGATAAAGTTCGGGGATTTCATCCATGATATTGCCCATCAAAATCATCAAACCCCACTAAAATCCATGAACAATTATATTTAAAACATTTTAAAACCACCATGTCTAATCCAGCGAAAAAAACCTTCATTGAAATAGCAACTGTCCCGTAGTTTCCCATGACTTTCCTATGAAAATCTTAATTTAGGGATTTTCCAGCCATGGAGCTGATTTCTCCATGGTAAATTCCCATTGCCTAGATATGGATTTGTCAGAAAATAGTTGGGAATTCCCCAGCAATGGCCATGATTTTTGTTGCTGGGAAAATGAGGTTCTAGTCCATTGGATTTGAGTGGTTTCCCCTATTGTTGACGAAGTATGACCCATATTATCCCACAAGAAATATCCATAGCCATTAAAAAAAAAAAACATATGTTTCCCGTTGCCGATCTTTGAGCCATCTCTAGTATATAGTTTCCCATCTAAAAAGCTATCATTTTCTCAGCTCATTTAGAGAAACCCTCCATTTATGGTGATTTCCCATTGCTCAAAAAGATCCTTGATGAGATCCCTGAGATCACCAAGTCTCGGAAGCTCCCTTGGCCACTTCTGTGCCCTGGATGCCCATGGCCACTCCGATGTTCGCCTAATGGTGACCACAAAAAGCTGTTTGATGGGATTCATGGGATTAAAATGGATTTACCCTCCAATGAAAGGTGGCTGGCTGGGAAACCCCCTGAACTAAATGAGGTTTTCAATAGGAACATCCCTTATAATTGAGTGGTTTAGTATGCTTTAGAAATACCAAAACCGACAAAAGACCCAAGTTTAACACATCTTGTTGGGGGGTCGCCCTTGTAAATCAAGCTCATACAGCCAGTAATTACAGTATAATATAGTCAAGCCCACAGGGGTTTATAGTAACAAACCACCAATATTTACTGGCAACTGTTTGGGTTTGTCTGAAAATTGGGACCCAACATATTACCCTCTGGTAATTTAACATAGCTATTGAAAATCACCATTTATAGTGAAATTTCCCATGAAAAATTGGGATTTTCCATAGTTATGTTAGTCATTACCAGAGGGTATTGTTTATCCCGCTAGTTGTCCCCGATGTGTGCCATGAGAATGTGGCATCGAACTCCATGAGCTGGACCATCGGTGGTGAATTTTCAACCCCAACACCTGGCATCTTATCGCTACATCCAAATCTATCACTAATACATACTAATACTATCCCCAAATAATTAACCCCTACTGTGGGATGCAAAAATGAACCACTTAAGTTTAACTGCACCATATACCATTTGTTTATTTAACATAGCCATGGAAAATCCCAAAAAATCATGGAGGTTTCTAGCTGGGAAAATCATCTATTTCTATGGGCCATGGCTTCCCTGGCCCAATGGCAAACTGTTAAGTCTCCGGAGGGTTAATAGTAATGGTGATTTTCCCATTAAAAATGGTGATTTTCCATAGTTATGTTAGTTTACCAGAGGATAAATCCTCTTAAATCCCATTAGATCCCATTAAACCACCATTAAAATTCCATTAGATCCCATTAAACCACCATAAAATCCCCATCAAATCCCCCGCCGTTCGCATTCCGTGCTTCGCCGTTCGGCTTCGCGTCACGCCTGGTTCAAGGCTGGGGCATCGTTCACGCCGTCACCCGTCATGGCCGCGACTTGACCCATGCGCTGGATGGACTTCACGATCTCCTACAAGCCCAGCGGATCCAGGCGTTCCCTGAGATGTTCAGAGAAATGGTTGGTTGGTTGGTTTATATTATAGAAAATCTATAGTAAACAAATGGTTTATATAAACTAAATGGGAATTTATAGAAAAATAGTAGTTTATTATGTAATGGTCTATAGAAAATCTATAGAAAATCTAATATTATGTAGTTTATAATATAAACCATTATAGAAAATCTATAGAAAATCTATATGGTTTATATAAGCTAAATGGGAATTACTATTATGAAACAAATGGTTTATATTATAGGGAATTCCCGGAATTAGTTTCTCAATAAAAACCCTATTGTTGGCTGGATTCCCTATATAAACCAAGCAAGCCTAAACATTCCATGAAATACAACGGTTTATATTATAGGGATTCCCCGTTCTTGGATCTTTTTTTATATCATCAGGGGTTTAACGAACACTGCTCGTTCGTGAGATCTTCACGGAAAACCCATGGGGATTTTTGGGTCCTATAGGTCCCAAATCATGGGGCCCAGCTGGATGGTCACATGGTCCTAGAAACCGCAATGGATGGCCTGAGGTAGCCCTCATTATAGCAAACCTCTATGTATTATGTGCATATACAATGTATATATATATATATAAGAAAAATATGATGGAACATGTATATAAACCAGTTATGGAAATTTGAAACCACAACTGATATAAGAAATATTTAGACTACTATAACTGATATAATGAAGAATGGGAAATTATGAATATCTGAGGGTTATATCAATTAGGTATTCCGTGACATTCCCATTATCATTGATGTGGTTGGAATATCATGGGATAAAGAACCATGCTTTGGGTTAACCCAACGGATTTAGCAATCTTTTAGTATAAATATGTGTATGTATATATATATCATTATTATTAGTATCATTATTATTATTGTTATCATTATTATTCTTACTATTATTATATATATATATATATATGAGAATCTATGTTTATATTAATGATATCCCTATTATTTTCTGAGATAATCCGCTGCTTTACAAACCAATTGCAGTTGACCAAATCGCAAAGGATGATGATTTTTGAAGGCAACAAAAGAGGATACTAAGATGATTCATCCCTGGGATTACAAATCCATGAGAGGATTAGACTATTCCCCAAGATGATGATTAGATATATTAGATACTAAGATGATGCTTAGATACTAAGATGAGTCATCCCGGTATCTTGCTAATTGGAGGGACTTTTTTTTAGGGAGTAGTCCATCTAATCAACAAGCTATTCATAGGATATACTCAATTTATGAGGATTTGGAACATCAATTGTGGTGCCGGGCCAGCGAAATCTTGCACCACTTGGGATTCCTATTGGGATTCCTAGTGGGATTCCTATGAAACCCTGTAAATAATGGGATAGATTCCTATGAAACCCTGTAAATAATGGGATAGATTCCTATGAAAACCTTGTAAATAATGGGATAGATTCCTATGAAACCCTGTAAATAATGGGATAGATTCCTATGAAACCCTGTAAATAATTAGGGATACGAATGGGATGTTTCCCATCAACCAACAGTGCCGGATTTCGCAACCGGCACCACAGATCGGGAAGACCTGATCGACCACCACGCTGTGGCAAACTAATATAGCTATGGAAAAGTCCACATGTTTAATAGGTTGATCTACTACAAATGGCAGTGTTCAATAGCTATAAATATTAAACATGTGGGTTCAACCCAGCAAGCACAAGGTTTCAACCAATTATATACACTCGGTATATTGTGGACAGAACAAGCACCTGGCATTTTCTGCCTGTGTCGTGAAACCAGGAGTTCCAAAAATTTCTCATGGGTGAGTCTCATGGGAGGGTCCTTGAATGGGCCTAGCTACCAAAGGACCAAGAAAGGTATCCTTAATCACATTTAAGTTGAAACAACATGGAGGAGGAAAAATGGTTGATGTTCAATCATGTTTCATCATATACCCTCTGATCATCAAACATGGCTGGGAGATCCGCTTCTTTCACAGGCATTAAAGTAAATCAACCAAAATGATGAGTTTCCATTGCCATGTTTGATTATCAGAGAGTGCTGAGAGTGTTGGTACAGGGTCTTGGTGACCATTGCCACATCCAAGAGCAAGTGCTCTAACCGTTTGCTGCCCTTGAACCACCTGCCCCAAAGTCATGAAAAGAGTCAAGCCGGTCAAGCCAATCGTTTGGTGATGGTTTGAAACGGTGATCCAATTTAAATGATGTTTTCCTCTGTTTTGATAACTTCACTAAACAAATGGTTAAAGCAAATGGCAATGAATCGGCAATGACAAAACTCCACAAATGGTGATGCTTCGAAAATCACGAAAGAAAAACCATCTCCAGATCCAATTCGACTCAGGGATCCCATTCCATCACCATTTGGTCACCATCCATCCATTTGTTCATGGTGAAATGCTGAGATCCATCCCATTGGATCCATTTCTGGTTGCTGGTTGACCGTCAACTCGAAAAAATGATGGACTGAACGTCAGTTGGGATGATGACATTCACAATATATAGATAGATATATAGATATTACATATATATGTATATTACTAGAAAAAAATGAAAGTCGGCTGGGATGATTATTTTATTCCCAATATATGGAAAAATAAAATTCATGGTCCAAACCACCAACCAGATTTCTATCCAGTCACACACTCTTGTTTCGATTTGATCCCAGTCAGCTCATATTGGTGACACAACATGAAAAAAAAACATGCTGGTTGGTTGGTGTTATACCCCAATACTATTGGTTAAACCCGCTTTGCTGGACCCATGTCCAACCGCAAATCTATGATTGTATGTTGCTGCTTTCTGAGTCCAGTTGGTGATTGTATAAATTTCCTCTGTTGGTTGTAGTATAATTATCCCAATTTATAACTTCAAAGTTCCAAGTATACCCAGGGATAAGTTTTCTCCAAAATAGTGTCTCTCCCATTTATATTGATTCTTAAATCCTAGTGTTGTTTAACCCCTCTATTGTTGATTCTTTGATACTTTTAATTCCCGGCCAATTCCATTTCAATCATAATCATTCCTTGAAATCCAACAACAAAACATATTATGTTGCTTCTGACATCCTGATGTTGGTGAAGTTCCTTTTGTTAACTATATATCCCATGTATAATGCTTGATCGAAAGTCAATCCAATTAAATGCCATAACATCATCATTTCTACTGGTGAATTCGCATAAATGGTTACTAAATTATGATATCCCATTGTTTAACGTTCAAACACCATTGTTCAATAAAAAACTGATATCACTCTTTAAATCCATGTTTTTGTTCAAATACAGCTTATATCGATTCCTTGAAAGTCAATACCACTAAGTTCCATTTCAATCCCATTAAATCATACTAATCCCATCCCCCTAATATTAAGCATCCCCCCAGAAACCATGGTTTTAGTAGGGGGGTTTCCACATCATTGGGACGATTTAGAGGGTGTTTAATATTATATAGGGGAATTGGTTTAGATTAAATCTTCATGTGTAAAACACATCTACCTCCAAAAAACGCCAATGGGGTACCATTTAAGTATCAGATTATGACTATTGGGGAAATACCCCTCTAATTAATAAACTATCTGGGTAAATTATAATATTTCACTAGCCTGAAATGTTGCGGCCATTTGGGGATGATTTCCCATGATTTCCATGCTTTGGGGGAACAGTGAGGTCGTTGTAACTTAGCCAGAACTATGGTTTGTTAATGATGGCTTCACATTACCTCCAAAAAAAGGTGCTTAACGGTGATGCATCCCATCACTATGACCTTTTTTGTATCACCACTATTGGTCAAGTACCCCCACTACCATCCATTACCATCCATTACCTGATCATAAACTTAGGGCTTTCACATTACCTCAAAAAAAAAAGCCAATCTTCGCCACTCCAAGCGTCGAGCTTGTCTTCCGGCTTGGCACGCGCGAAGACCCGCACCGTGCTGGTCATGCGGTCCATCTCTCGATGCTCCAGGTACTGACCTGGCCGTGCAAAACCAGAGGGGATTGATCCAACAGAGTTCTGGGATTTCTCCATGGATTTTGACCATGTTTTTTCCAGCATAAAAATGGCGAACAAAAAGGATTCAAGTATCAAACACTTTACAGATTTCACGATGAACCATGAAAAAACATTGGATAAGATGGGAGAATATTACAGTACATTGGGGAAATATATCGGTAATATGTTGGATAACATTGGGTAAATATCGGATATCCAAAAAAAAATGGTTGGTACTGTCATTAGCCAATTTTCCACCAACCAGGTCATGGGGAGACGGCGTATAAACGACGGGTGATTTCACCATAAGAGCCAGGTCGAAAATGACGGTTCTGAGTTGTGATTCTCGTTTTCTCGCGGAAAATGATGAGAAATGGCGGTTGAAACAGTATGTAAACATGTATAACCATCATAAAATCATGATAAATGGGATGGAATTAAGATTTAACCACCAAAGATGTGGGATATTAACTGGCAAAAAAAAATGATAAATTGCGATATTGTGTATTGCTCCTTGGTGAACTTTTGCCAGAAAAGCCGAGGTATCGCCATCGTGGGCCTTGGACGGCCCTTTTGCCGAACGCAATCGCAAACAGGCGAACAGGTGAGATATGCAGAAAAGTGAAACGAGCTCGGGCAAACTTTGGCACACTAGCTCTGGTTCATCTGGTTTGTGGTTGAGCCACCCCTCTGAAAAATGATGGAGTTCGTCAATGGGTTTCGGATGACATCCCATATCTGAAATGGAAAATAATCCAGCCATGTTTGAAACCACCAACCAGTATATCTCATTAACCATTATCAACCACTATTAACCACTATTAACCACTATTAACCACTGGGATCTTTGAAACCACCAACCAGTCATGATTCGAAAAAGCTCATCCTGAGCTAAGTCATTGAAGTCCAAGACTGCCATGACAGATACCCGGCCTGGTAAACATACAAAAAAACTATGGAAAGATCCACCATTTTTAATGGGAAAACTCACTATGTCTATGGCCATCTTCAATAGCAAACTGTTAGTTTACCGGAGGGTACTACTAGGATGGAAGCAATACTAATGTTTGCATGGCCCCAAGTCACCATAGCCTTGGATTTCTCCAAACTTAAGGATAATAAATTGCCCCAGCGCATGACTTCAGAAACTTCATTTTGAAATCAGCGGGAAGGTGTGCCAATTTCAGCTTGAGCCATCCTTAGCCACTTTGCGCTTCTGGAGGCTCTTGGCAATTTCAGCAGCGATGTCCCTCTCCGATTTCTCCCGGCAGTCCAAGAAGACGACGCACGGCTTGAAGACACTGAGAATGTATTTCCGAGCCAAATTCTTTTTGTCGTACTTGTGGTCAGGCCCACCTGACCGATAAGACATAGCCTCTGGTAATTTCACGTAGCTATGGCAAGTGGTATGGATGGCCCTTTTTTAGATGATTCGACAACTATTAAAAAAGCTGATATTCCATAGCAAACTGTTGACTTGCCAAAGGATAAACAACACCAATCAAAACCACCTATGTTTGAAGATGCGATGGGGAATTCCAAAGATAGCTTTGAAGAAGCCATGGAACTCCACAATTAAACCAGGTAGCAAATCCGCGTTCTATGGGCTTTGCATGGGAATAGGGTACCCCATTGGCCCAAAAGCCACTGGCTGATCATAACTGGTTGGTGGTTTCAACCCCTCTGAAAAATATGAAAGTCAGCTGGAATTACTATTCCCAATACATGGAAAGTCATAAAAGCCATGTTCCAAACCACCAACCAGATAATAAATATTCCCTATGACACTTGTTATATCATCCCATTTTCAGACACACCTATGTGCCATGGTCAAGTGCCATGCTACATGGAGATGGCCATCCATCTCACAAAATTTGAATCCTGGCAATGAGGAAAAAAAACAATCCCGTTTGAAAAAGGTTGTAAATGACAATCCATACCCCAACTATGTTTGATGTGATCTAACAAAACTGACCATGGAACATATGTGACACATTTTTTGATATATCACAATAAATAATAATAAATATCCATAATATATACCCATTTTGTTAGAACTAAATGTTGCAACGATCCCCAACCAGCGACCCTCAGCGACTTGAAGGTTTTGGTATGTCAATTCATCCACACCTGGAGGCTCTGGTGGATAGGTGTCATCCACCCTCAGCGGCAAAACGCTCAGATGGTTCTCGTAGTCCAGGGCAAACTTGAGTTCCTGAGACACGGGTCCTTATGATCAAAAAATTGGGGTAATCCATGTTCAGACAAGCTCTTGTTTTGGTCCTCCTGTAAAAATGTACCCTCCAGGTTACAGTAATTCACTGGCAAATAGGGGTTGGAAGACTAGTTTCCACTAAAGATTAAATATTAAAGATGGGTTGTTATTTTCAGGGTCTTTACCTGAGGGTATCAAAATATAGCATATCTGTTTTTGGTTGGGTGAACAGTTGTAACTATTCCAATGGCCAGAAATGGTCAGAAAATATCTAAAATCTATGTCTAACGTCCCCAAAGAACCGGACAGGTGGTGTCAAGGACCCGGGTCCTTGTGGGAGGAATATGCTGACGCAGTCATCTCGCCATATTGCTTGGTGCACACAGCCAGCATGGTGCCCTTTTCTTCATGCAGCCGCCCCAGATATTCGGTGGTCAGATCTCCAAAGCTCTCGCCTGCATCTGCCGCAACCATCAGGATGTCGTAGTGATGGTCACAAAGAATTTGGAAGACTTTCCGGAATTTCCTCAAAGAGAAGGACACTTTTCGGTGGCATCAATTCAATGTTTCCAAGGGCACCAGAAAAGTACAGATTGACTCTACAAATGAGCGGCGTTTGGGTAAGGTCAAGACGCAAAAATTCAAGTAGTGATAACAGCAAAAAAATCGTGTCAGGCCCAAAGGTACTGGTTGATAGGGGTTCTCATCTTGGCTTATGACACAATTAATTGCAACACCATTTACACCAGGATTTTTGGCATTTGATCTCAGGATCCCTATTAAATAGAAGCACAAACTGGCAATCCCAGCGTCTGTTCTATTGGGCCCCCATCAAATCTGGCAGAAAACATGGCCACACGTGTGCCTTTGCCACTGGGGATGTCTCCTTCTGGATCTACCACCTTGTTCTCTTCTAGAATCGGGTGAGGCCGGGTGCTATCCTGAGAAAGGAGTTTCAAGGCCTCGTCTGCAGCCTCCTTCACTCTTCCTTTCCCATGCTTCGCAACCAGCGTCAAGGTTGGGACGCCATCGGCCTTCAGTATGGCTTTCTTGGCCTCAGGATTGTTGGCCAGGTTTCGAAGGGCCCGGGCAGCGTGCCACCACCAAAGCCACCAACGCCTCCGCTCCATATCTGCCAATGATCAGCCTGTTCTCATCGGAAACAGCCGCCCAAGTTCCAAGCTGTTCGGCCGCTTCAGAACTTTCCAAACCCCATTTGTGGATAGTTGTGGATTGAAACATGGTGAAGCATTAACTTCTCGCAGCTGCATCTTCCTAGCAATTTGTATCAATTTGTCGGAACCTCAACCTCACCACTCAATAAATTGGGTTTACTATAGATATATCATGATATATCCATACTTCATGGTGGTTATAAACCAACAAACATAACTGAGGGGCACCACCAACCAGAACCAGTCCCCTGACCTTCGCCTTCTGCTCCTCTGCACCACTGTCCAGCTTCCGCATCTGATGCTGCAGGGCCGCCATGAAACCAGCCTTCGCCAAAGACTCCCCGCCCTGGCACCACTGAAGCACAAAAATGTGTCTGAAAATGGGGGATACCATAGGATCTACGATGAAACTGAAGCCGTGGTGATTTGAAGTTCCCATGGGGAGCTGAGGTGTCGAATCCCGCAACGGGAGTAACCCTGATTCCGATGATCCAACACACCATGTAAACCCTCGATGAAGAAAACCTGGTGCATTCATGGGGGTTCACCCAGAAGTGTCCTAAAATGTGGCACCCCCCCCCAATTGGGAGGTATTCTTAGTCCAGGGCTGATAGTATCAATATGTATCAATGAATCCACATTTGTTGGTGTAATCCCAGTCATTGCCGGTTGTAGTTCCGAATGATATGGATATGGCTCAAAAAGGAAACGGACAACTGGTCCAACTTCAAGTAAAACTGCGATAAATCATGATAAATTGTGGTATTGAAAGGATGTGGCTCCTAGTATAGCTGTATACCCCTTCCTCCTATATATACTGTATATTAACCACACCCCTTCCTCCTAGTATAGCTGTATACCCCTTCCTCCTATATATACTGTATATTAATCACACCCCTTCCTCCTAGTATAGCTGCATACCCCTTCCTCCTATATATATATATACTGTATATTAATCACACCCCTTCCTCCTAGTATAGCTGTATACCCCTTCCTCCTATATATACTGTATATTAATCACACCCCTTCCTCCTAGTATAGCTGTATACCCCTTCCTCCTATATATATATTGTATATTAATCACACCCCTTCCTCCTAGTATAGCTGCATACCTCTTCCTCCTATATATACTGTATATTAATCACACCCCTTCCTCCTAGTATAGCTGTATACCCCTTCCTCCTATATATACTGTATATTAATCACACCCCTTCCTCCTAGTATAGCTGTATACCCCTCTTCCTCCTATATATACTGTATATTAATCACACCCCTTCCTCCTAGTATAGCGCATACCTTCCTCCTATATATACTTCCTATATATACTGTATATTAATCACACCCCTTCCTCCTAGTATAGCTGCATACCTCTTCCTCCTATATATACTGTATATTAATCACACCCCTTCCTCCTAGTATAGCGGTATAACCCCTTCCTCCTATATATACTGTATATCAATCACACCCCTTCCTCCTAGTATAGCTGTATACCCCTTCCTCCTATATATACTGTATATTAATCACACCCCTTCCTCCTAGTATAGCTGCATACCTCTTCCTCCTATATATACTGTATATTAATCACACCCCTTCCTCCTAGTATAGCGGTATAACCCCTTCCTCCTATATATACTGTATATTAATCACACCCCTTCCTCCTAGTATAGCTGCATACCCCTTCCTCCTATATATACTGTATATTAATCACACCCCTTCCTCCTAGTATAGCGGTATAACCCCTTCCTCCTATATATACTGTATATCAATCACACCCCTTCCTCCTAGTATAGCTGTATACCCCTTCCTCCTATATATACTGTATATTAATCACACCCCTTCCTCCTAGTATAGCTGCATACCTCTTCCTCCTATATATACTGTATATTAATCACACCCCTTCCTCCTAGTATAGCGGTATAACCCCTTCCTCCTATATATACTGTATATTAATCACACCCCTTCCTCCTAGTATACACCCCAGAAAGCCATGCTCTCGTAGGGCTCCTCGAACTCGGAAGAGACATTCTCCAGCGCCAACTGAGCCTGGGTGAGGTTTCAGCCACCCCATTAAATGTATATATATATATATATATATTTATATGAATATCATCTCAAATTAAAATAGGGTTGAAGAAAACATGGCTGAAACCATGAACTAGGAGCCAAATTCCTGCCCGTTGCCACAGCCTTGGCCAACTCTTTGTTTGTGATTTTTGCGGTGATGGTCGCCTGGTTCTACTTGTCCAAGGCCGGCCGTCCCAAAGCCAGGGCTTTTTCTGTGTGCCGTGGGTGCTGAAGCATCCGTAGACCCGCAGGCGAGGACGGCAACCAAAAAAAGGGATCTTTTCGCCTGGTGGTTGGGCCAAAGAACCAATGCTGGTCAATTTGGTCTTCGAATATGCCCTTTTTCTAGAGGGAAACATAAAGAACCGCAGAAAAACCAAGGGTCGTTTGATCCATCGGCAACAGCACCAAAATCGCTTTTCAGCGCATCCTTCAACTCATCCATGGACAAAACGACGAGGCACAGCCATGGCGCAATGGCGCGAGGGTGGGGCCGAAATCAGGAGGACCCCCCAAGTCTTATTGACAATGAGTTGATGTAAGATACTCAAAATATCTCAAACATTATATTTTTGAAATATTCTGCAAACCTGATGTGGACGTGATTTCCAACATCTTCTGTTTTGTGCATCAAGCCCAATGACTTGAGCCATACCCACGGACGGCGGTGCCCCGTGAACAACCCTCAAACCACCAAGAACATCTCGCGTGAAGAAAGCGAGCTGGGTGCTGAGCGCAAACCACCCCCAATCATTACTAAAGATGTTTGGTGAGCCATGAGGTTCTCGCCCAGATCCATTTTCTAGCTACGCATATATTTGCGTGTATGTAAATATATATATATACATATTGTTAAACATAAATAATACATATATAATATAGTATAGTATAGTATAATATAATATAATACAATATAATATAATCTAATATAATATATTAAAATAAAATATATAATAATATAACATAATGTAATATAATATAATATAATACAATGTAATATAATATAATATAATATAATATAAGATCATATAATATAAGATAATATAATAAAACATAATATAACATAATCAAATTTAATATAATATGATATAATGCAATATAATATAATATGATATAATAAAATATAACAGAATAAACTATATAATAATATAATATAAAATAAAATAATATAAGATATTATAATATAATGAAATATATTATATTAAAATATAATAAAATATAATATATAATAATAAAATATAATATAATATAATATAGTATTAAATTATATATTATATAATATTCTGTTATATATTAAATAATAAAATAAATTATATATATATATATGTATGTTTATTAGACATTGTAATATATATATATTTACATTTAGACGCACTACTTGCACGTAACGTACATGTCACTTAGATGCACTTCATGATTATGTATATACAGTATATATTGATGGACAATTGTATATATGCATATACACATATTTACGTGTAAATGCACGTGCATTTTATCTCTATGTTCGTATATAGCAACATGTGTACAATGTTTGATCATTTTGGGCAAGCCCATATACCTTTGATATCATTGAATACACTGAAATCTTATTCCCATTTTGGCCTTCACTCCCTATGGATACAGTACCTGGTTGGTCCGTATCAAAATGTACTGGGCCGTATCCACTTCTACACTTGGCCCTTGGCCTTGGATGATTCGTATAACTATCATTCACAGTATTCCATTAATGGTATGGGCTGATAATATGGGCATGCCTGGGAATTCAAAAGAATCATGGCTGATAAATGAGAATAATCAGAGTGCCAGCTATCAGTTGAATAACTCAAATTATTCATACTGACTAATATTTCATCTTATGCCTTTTTTCATGGGGAAAAACTAATCATGTAGTATGCTATCCAGCTAGCTGAAGAATGGGAATTCACCATGTTGCAATGAAATGGCGACTGTTACGAAATCCTGCACCAAACGGATGGTTGAAAGCCTATGAAGCATGGGATTCTTATGGATTCTTACCACTTACCAGGCGCAGGATTCACCTCCAGGCCGGAGGCTGTTGCAATCCACTGCGGCCGTGGCCTGGCCGGAGGCGCTTTCTCCGTTTCAGCAGTCGTGGAGGTTTCCAAAAACCAGCTATTGGGGTACCCCAAATTTTAGGAAAGCTCCATGTTGATGTTTTAGCAATGTCTTGAGTTTGGACTAGGAAACTGAGTGAAAATTTCTAAAGATGAGAGTGTAAGTAGCAAAACAACTTGTTATAACAAACTAAAACAATCATCTCCATTACTGGAAAACATGGGGTAAACATAACCAGCAAAATCTGTACTCCTCAGGTTTGACGTTGATTGACGCATAAAAATGTCGATCACGAATTGTTGTCTCATGAAATTTGAGGTATCCAGCTGCAGATTCCAAATGCTAGCATATCTGGCACATTTTTGTGCAACTTACTATGTATATATACTGTATATATATATATATATATGTATATATGTTATCATATACCAAACAAAAACAGAAATGGTTGTTTTCCCCAGTTCTACATTACATGGGATAACTTACCATTTCTGTTGGGTAAATCCATGCAAATCCTAATATTTTTCTTGCAGTTGGGTACCCCAACGACTTGAAACAAAACCAAATGGGCCCCAAATAGGGTACATCCTTAAAATCCACCACCATGTTCCCCACTTTAAATGGCAACAGCTTCAAACCGTACTTGCTTGGTGCTTGACCCAGGACTGGTGCTCCAGCCAGGTTTCGTTCAGCCTAGTTATGACTGGACAATTAATCCCACCGAAACACTAACTGAGGTGAACCACTAAGTCACTAGGTACATGTTGTGCTTTCCAATCGCCTATGTGGAAAATTTTGCCAAGTTTCCAGTGGATAATATACATCCTGCTGAAATCACACATGTTCATTGCTTCGAATAATTACAGTTGCTCGAAAACTATTATTTTACAAAAAAAAATGGTTCCATGTTACACCCATGTTAAAATCCATGAGCGGGATAAGTGCTAGGTAGGTGCCATGTTGGTGCTGGTGATTTAGACATTTTCGGACACATTCTGGCTGCTTGTCATACTAACGTAGAACCCCACAAGCTGCCATTGAGTGCTCATCCAAAAGTTCCATGTTAGCCATGGCGGCTGACGCGGGGAATTCGGAACCATCGTGCCCTTTATGATGATTGATGGATGCAAGATGCTACATAATAACTCTTTTTGACTCAATGAGTCATTTTGTCCAAGATGAATTCCAAAGCACAAATTCTGAAGGCAACTTTAAACACATACAGTACATGTCACGAAACACACACAAAACATATCCTAAACACATCTTAAAAACACATCGAAAACACAGTCGAAACATAAAGAGCAAACAAAACCATATATTCAAAGTATATATAATTTTCAATTTTTACCAGTCGTACCGCACAAAGCGGCAGCGGAAGTTTCAAAAAGAGGAAACCTACAGGAGAGGTTGGTTGCTGTGAATCACGAATGGCAGAGCAAATCCACTGATGGACCGAAAGGTGGTTGGAGTGTTTTTTTTTTTTGAAGTGGCTGCAATGGTTGCAATGGCCACCTCACCCACAACTGCTGGATGTAGTGTGGTGTAGCGCAGTTGTAGTTGTAGTTGTGTTGTAGTGTAGCGGAGTTGTAGTTGTAATGTAGTGTAATTAGTGTAGTGCAGCTGCATTTGCAGTTGCAGTTGCAGTTGTTGTGTGGTGTAATTAGTGTAGTGTAGTGTAGCGTAGCGTAGCGTTGTGTATTCACCATTTTTCTTGGTTACATAAATCATGGTTGACTCAGCTGTCCATATTCCTAATAGTTCAACTGGTTTTTCCTGGGGATTCTACCAAGATTTTTCTTGGTTGAATCAAGTTGAATCCCCAATTTTTTTCCAACAGCTTCGGCCTCATCGTCCTGTGGCTGCAGAATCTGCACATTCTTGGCGATGGCGATGGCCGTTTTCAGGTAGTCCCCTGTAATCATCACCTGCACCGGAGATCGGAGACGGCGCGGCCATCGATTTTCATAGGGAAAAGATGGGAAAATCCGTGTGGGGAATGAAAATCGGTGTGGCTAATATATGGTAATATGGTGAAATAGTATGACTTATGGTAACCGAATAGGGATTTTAGCCATTACCATTCCAATAGTAATTGGTAATATATGGTAATATGGTCATATACTAATAGTAATCAAATAGGATTAAACAGCATTAGTATGATTTTATGACCGTAGCTCAAATGGCCATGTAGTTATATGTACATATATCTACCATTTCTATGGCAAGGTGAAGGGGGAACATGATGACTTAAATGAGCGGCGAGCCAAGGCGACGTTTTACCCATGAACATTGGGGGAATCATGTGGGGGTTATTCGGACTCATCATACGGTAATGACTAACAGTTTGAAAAATAAGGGATTCCTAAATGAGTCCGAAAAGTGGGGATTGTATAAGGATTTTGTATACCTTCGGTATCATCAAATGAAGTGGGGATTGTATAAGGATTTTGATACCCTCTGGTAATGACTAACAGTTTGCGACATAGAAAATGGCCCAGTCGAAATAATGGGATTACCCATTAAAAATGGTGATTTTCCATAGTTATGTTAGTTTACCAGAGGGTATATTATGATGATCATCATCTTATGATGTTGGGGAAGGGATTTCATCATGACGTTTACTGTTATTCATAGTGGTAGCTTTGTTTTCATCAGAAAATCACTGCAAACTTGTCCAATGAATGGGGTTTGGAAGACCATGAAGGGAGTAGGGCGTTGCCATGGCACTACTTGGGTCCTCCCACGTATAAGTTGGTTTAGACACCCATCCTCCAACGTATAAGTTGGCCTAGATACATGCAATAATATCCACTATCCACCCTAAATCCTTGTCTAGATGTAGGTTTCCTAAAATAGGGGTACCCCCAAATCATCCATGTCAATAGAATTTGATTTTCCCTTGGAAATCATCCATGTTGAAATACTTCCATTGTAGGAAACCTCCATATTGTAGTCATAAAGCAACTAAGTGCAACTAACCTATCTTGAGGGCCCACATTGTCAAAGTCGCCCCTGCAGAATGTCGCTTTATTGGTGACTCCATCGTGCCAGGCGAGACAAGAGAATTCCCAAAGCTGGAACTAGTTGCAATCATCAGGAATTCAACATGCTACTGCATAAACGCATGGGATACACATGGGGATGGGTCAAAACATGTCAAAACCTAATGTATTACCATATGACTGGCGGAATAAACATCCATTAGCCAGCTACTAAAAATACCATCCAGGTCGGGTTTTGACTCACAGCCACACAGTCCAGCTGCAGGACTTGTGGGTGTCCATGTAGCCCTCAAAAAAAAACCATGCTGCCCATGGAAAAAGTGGCTGCCCGGCAAACTAGGAGGGTTATCCACAACAATATGTAATTTCTAGGACAAAACAAATAAAACCCGATTTTGAAATTAAATCATTTTGAGTCAGAGACAAAGATCCGTCTCACAAGATATCCAAGTCTGTGCACAACGCTCATGACAAGTGGGCTGACCCACTTACCCATACTTCTACTCTGTGAAGCATCAACCAGGCATCAAAAGCTATTTGGAATAGGAACTACACAGTGTCATCTTGGTTACCCTCCGGAAATTTCACACTTTGCTATTCTGGACCATTGATGTGTAGTTGATTTATGTTATAAAACAAAAAAGTTTGCGACATAGAACATGACCCATCTATAGTTTCAGTTTGCGACATTGAACATGACCCATTTATTTAGTTCGTTGATTTACCCATTTCCCAAGTGGCTGGATATTAAAAGTGGGTGGATGGATTAAAACGCCCAAGCGACCACGCGAATGCCAGCGCCACGTGCTGCCAACACGGAATCCTGGCGGTGATTCATCCCATGGAGTTTTATCCCACACATCTAACAGAAACATATGGTGAATAGTTAGTATATACCATGGTTAATGTATGGTTATCATATGGTTAATGATGGTTAATAATAATCTGGTTGGTGGTTTTCACCATCTTGAAAAATATGAGTTCGTCAATTGGGAAGGGGATGACATCCCATATGAAATGGAAAAAAATCCATGGTTCCAGTCACCACCAACCAGTGATTATGAAAACCATTATGAAAACCATAATGAAAACCATCATGAAAACCATCATGAAACCCCATACTAAACCAATGTTCCAAACCACCAACCAGATCATTTTACCCATGGATATAATGATAGTGATGGATAGTAGTAATATATATATATTCTGTAATGGATGTTTGAAACCACCAACCAGTAATCATTTTTATATTTTTCGAACTCCCCCAATGGTGTTGTTTTTTTCTACTGGTTAAATCAACATCTATGTTGTTTATTGTATTATGAAGACATTTGGGTTTTGTCTGAAGCTGTTTATTATATAACTGGTTGGTGATTGACCTACCCCTCTGAAAAATGATGTGATATTCCCAATATCCCATTGTGGTTAGTCAAATCCCCATATATCCCCAGTTGGGTTATATTATAACCCATAATTGTTGGCTATACAGCCCATTATCCCATATTATCTCAAACTAATACCATCCCCCTAATATTAAACACCCCCGTTATTGTCCCAAATATGTGTCACGGCAAACTAAACCATGGTTTATGGTTGGGGGGAAGAGACTCTCCCACATTGTCACATGAAATATCCGCATTACATCCCCATTTAAACGATACTTAAACCAGGTTAAGCCACCCATATTTTGCATAATGTGTCCCTATCATTTTTTTCCGTGTAGTAAATCCCCACAATGTATCCCAACGATTGCTGTTTTCATAGATGTTGGTTTAGTAGCAACATTCCACATCATTGGGATTATTCAGGGTTTCATATTATGGGGATGGGATTTTTCAATGGAGCAATTCATACTCGAATCAGAATCCTGGTGAAGTATGCAGTGACTAGAGTCACATATCTGGGTTTATGACTATATTTCACAACCTGAATTGAGACCTCACTTTTTGTCATTCCCGACCTCAGCGCCACCTGAATTGAGGCCAAAAAATGGGATCATTCGTCCTTGACTCCATCGCGGTCTGGATCGATGGAGGCGACGAGGCCCAGCAGTCGCAGGTCCTTGCGCGAAAACCCACGGTTTTTCGTTGGTTGCGGACGTTGCTGTTGGGGGGGATCCAGTGGGGATACTGGGAGAATCCATGAGATAATACAATGGTTAACCATTGTTAATAGTGGTTAATCAGTGCTAATAATGGTTAATAATGGTTAATAATGATTAATAATGGTTAATACATATTAACTGGTTGGTGGTTTTAAACCCTCTGGTTAATTAACATATTGGAAGATTAGTTTCCATTAAAAATTGGTTATTTTCAGGGTCTATGTTACTTTACCAGAGGGTAATATAATTCTAGTATCTGGTTGGTGGTTGAGCCACCCCTCTGAAAAATGATGGAGTTCCTCAATGGGAAGGATGACATCCCATATATGAAATGGAAAATAAAAGCCATGTCTGAAAAATTCTGAAACCATCAAGCAGTAATTATAGTATATAATGGGACCAAATTATGTGATAATCAAATTATATGATATCAAATAATCATGGGAGAATCATGAGATCATAATAGATAATGGGATCAAATTATGTGATAATAATGGGATAACCACGGGATAGTAATGGGATAATAAAGGCTTCATCCCATGTTGGGAAAATTGGAGATGCATTTGTTGTTCTTGGAAGATTGAGTTTGGGGGATGTGTTCTTAGTTGTTTTGTTCTTTTTCGGGATAGAATTTCAGAATTGTTTTTCCATTGAAGAACAAATTCACATGGCTTCAGAATGGTTTTTCAATAAACATCTGAAGGACAGTCCTACAAACCCATAGTCTGAGATCTGAGGATTTGTGTCTAAATTGGATGAAGGGAGAAATGACGAGGAACTCCTTACGTTTAGTATCTAGATGTATACCTGTACATACATATACATATACATGCAACGTGAAACCACATTAAATTATGTACACACTCACACATTGAACCTTTTGGCTGTGTGATTCTTGGCTTCATATTCATATTCTAGGCGGCTTAACTGGCTATGACGGGAAAAAAAATGACCCTTTTTTCATCAACCAAGCAGCAAGAGACCACATGTTTATGACTGGGTTGACTTGCGGGGTGCACCAACTGCTTACTTTGTAGTTTGTATCTAGTATCTACCTTGGGAATGATGAGTTCGGTGACTTTCTCCATCAAAGGAGGCTCCCAGCTTCAGTATAATACGTCTTGCTGATGGACAATGCATCCTCCAACCAGGAAGATTTCCTCCCACTTTTTCTGCAACCCCATGAATGGAACTAGGACTGGATGGTGGATCTATAGCAACTCAAAAAAAGAATAGAACCTGGCAAAATCCAATCAAAAAAGAAAAGTAAATGAAATGGCTAAACTCTATCCTCTTGGGGGTTTCTATAATCCTGCAATTTACTAGTCATGTACGGGGCCCAGTCAATTGCGGATCAGTTGTAGATCTTGGTGAGAGTCCCTATGGGCTGTGAATCCCCAAGTACTTGGAGTTCTAAGTAACTTGGCTCAGTTCATCCGTTTATAAAAGCTTCAAAACTATTGATAATGATTATTCCTAAGGAATAATCATTATCAATAGTCTTGAAGCTTTGGTCCTATCAGCATGAATCATTGATAGTTAATCATCCTTGTTAATCATGTATACACTTGTATATATATATATATGTATATGTATATATACATATGTATATATATACATATATATATATTTATATTATATGTATGGGGGGGGTCCTAAATTGGGGCTACCCCATTTATAATTGAAAATCCATGAAAATCCTCTTAAAATGGATGATCTGGAGGTACCCCCGTACCGATCACCCCGCCTGTCGCAGGGCCGAAAACTTCTGATCCGTGGAGATCTCGTCGTCGTGAGTATCGAAGGGAAGTTCCTCCAATCCAAAAAGGATGTGTCCAAAACTTACAGAACAAACCATGGATCTAACCCCCAAATCTAGGGTTTTACATATACATAATATATATACATATATATATATGTCTAACATATATAATAGAGAACAGTGACAAAATATGTAACATATAACATAGATTGATATGTTTAGGATTTGGTTCGGATATGTTAGGATAGAATCGGATAGAAGTTAGAAATTATGTGGGGAAAAACAGTCGCAAAACTGTGATAATGCATACTTCTCTCATCTCTTTTTGGGTGTTACTAGCAACAGCAACCCCTAAATACATGTTCAAAAACTGGAAAACTGTAAATGATCTATAACATACTGGATGCATTTGTCATAGTGTTTTCATGTTTGTCTTTCGTTTTGGGGACCCTATCGCTTAGAGGAAATGCATCTGCTGGTGTGTCCAGCTGTATCCAACAGAAGTTTCGACCCATCCAAGGTACCCTCTGGTAATGACTAACAGTTTGCTATTGAACATGACCATAGAAATAGTGGATTTTCCCATTGATAGCATGGTGGATCTTTCCATAGCTATGTTAATTTACCAGATGGTATTATGAAAACAACGAATATTCAATCTCCCAAGGAGAAATTGCTGGAACATTTACAGTACTAACCAATCAGAATAGAACCTGACCAAGTGTCCCACGGTCCCATGATTCTAACCACTTGTATAAAAACTTCCACAAAAAAATGCCACCTACCCTCTGGTAAACGTTAACAAAAAACTATGGAAAATCACCATTTTTAATAGGGAAATCCACTATAAATGGCCATTTTCAATAGCTATCTTAGTTTACCAGAGGGTAGTTACAAGATGTTACAAGTTGGTTTATGACCCATCAACTGCACGCACGTATCTCAGATATCTCAGCGATCTACCGGAGACCCCAATTTGATTTGCAAGTATCGTTCACCTATCTGGGCAAACTATAATAATTATTAATAATTCACTTACCTGAAATAAGGCCATTTTGGGATGATTCCTCTTATTAACCATGATCGCAGTGAGGCCGTTATAATCTACCCAGACCTATCATGTGCTTGGAAAACTCAATGTGTAGCTTCTTAGCTCCCCAATTTGCATGGACGGATACCACAGCTACATTTGATATCCCTTCTAACCACCGGATAGTCACCAGAAGCCTATCTGGATTGGGCATATTTTCATTAGATGTCTAAATTCATGAGAAACATATACATATTGATATATATATATAATTATATATATATATTGAAAACGTGTTTATACTGATTCTACTATCATGTTCTTTGTTTGCATTTACCCTCTGGTAATCTCTGGTAAACATACAAAAAACTATGGAAAGATCCACCATGTTTCATGGGAAAATCCACTATTTCAATGGTGATTTTCCATAGTTATGTTCGTCATTACCAGAGGGTACCAATGTTTTAATATCCATGTTTTCCAGCATTCAGAAGACCGGCCCCCCGGCAGCCCTGGCACCTTCATGGGTCGTACAGCCACCGCCAAGACACGCAGGGCCTGGGCAGCAAACTCTTAGTGGTTTACCTATAAAAATTGTGATTTTATGGTGGTTTAATGGGATCTAATGGGATTTCAGATTGGATTTACCCTTCTGGTAATGACTAACAGTTTGCTATTGAAAATGGTTCATTAACAGTTGATTTACCCATTCCAAGTGGTGATTTTCCATAGCTATGTAAACGTTTACCAGAGGGTATACTCCTAGAATGGGGAGATGTTGTGAAAAACTTGTTTTACTCTTCTTTTCTGTCGCATTTTTTGAGGCTCGGCTTGCTTACTATCAGTTTGGATGTTCCTCTTGGAAAGAGGACATAATTACCAGTTTGTTCAAGAGACTTTGGACGGCATATAGATGCTTTGTGGTTTCAACATGTTTCAACCCCCTAAAAAACATTATGGGCAGTTGGGGTCATCATGCCAAAATGGGTTGAAGACATATCAATATTGGAAACCTGCAACGTGTTTCACAGTCACTTTGGATTTCTGATCATGCCACTATTCTTGGGAATAAAAGGGACATTACCACGCAGAAGCGCCTAAGCGCGGCTCAGCAGTGGAGAGGGATATCCCTGTCCCACTGCTATTCTGGGGGGTCACAAAGTAGGTTGCCCACCCATTAACCCGTTTTCCATGGTTATCAAGAGGTTATCCAATTATCATTCCCAAATCCCAAATCAAACAATAGCCCATTTTGCAATATCCCTTGTTCCCAAAGACCCATACGGTTTATCACCGTTCCCGCAGTCTGCCAAATTGCAATACAATAGCGTCATGTGGGCCCATCCCCATCTAATACCTAGTGGTACCCCAGTTACTTGATGTTCCTTTAGGCTAACCTGACATAGATAATAGATATGAAAAATCCATGAAAATCAACCATTTGAATTTGTAGACTATATATTTTCCTATGTTCATAGAATTGGATGACGGGAAAATTTACATGAAACCCCTATATTTGATGGTAAAAACCATGGTTTCCTGTAGATTCTCCCTTAAACCAATCCATTTTCCTATGTTAGTTTTTTTTCGGCTACATCCGAATCTTTGTTTGATAACGTTGCGAATCCCATCTCCCGGGAGACCCCGGTGGCCGGCACCTTCATACTGTATTCATCGACGACCTTCAAGACCTCTGCTTTGGCCTTGCTGCAAGAAACCCACATGGGGATTCAATCCAATGATCTTTGGAACCCATAAACTACCCTCTGGTAAACGTTTACATAGCTATGGAAAGATCCACCATTTTTCATGGGAAAATCCACTATTTCAATGGTCATGTTCAATAGCTATGTTAAATAACCAGATGGTAATACAAACGGCTGGTGGTTTTTTTTGGAGAGGATCATTTGCATTTTGAGGATCAATGACTGTGCGCCACAGCCATATGACATCTCATGGGCAAGCCCCTCGTCCTTGAGTTTCTTTGTGGAGCACATCTCAGGGCCTTTCTCTGGGATCTAACTTTTGAAGACATCCTCTGGGTATGTCCCAAAATAACTACTTTGAACATGTGGCGCCATATCATCTCATTCCTGTTGGAGTACAGTACATCTTCCCCACATCTGCTCTTCAATCCTCTTGAAAAACGTTGCTTTTCCACCAAGATGTTCGTGGATGTTCCTTCTCGAATGAACCCTGGCAAAATATTGATATTGCTGAGTTCTTCCTGCATTGCATTCTGATACATCCCACATCCCAGTCGGCATTGACCGACCAAGAACCTCTGGAGATTTTGATCAATGAAAACACCCCCGGGAAGGTAAGCTTATTGGAAATTCCAGCCAGATACATGTTTCTTTAAACACTTTCCCTGCCGGGTAGACCCTATCGTTCCACTTGAAAAAAACATCTGGACCAAAGCAAGTGGCCGCATCTGTCATCCTGGGCGGCTGGAAATATAGCCGTGCCAAATGACCATAAGGGATGAACGGGTATATGTTATATAACCATATATTAGCCAATCATGGTTAATCATACTTTTAAGAATATGTTTTACATATATTATATAACGGTATATGATGTGGTACAATCATCGTTGGGGAAGCTGTCTGATGAACCAATGGATTTGGAGGATCAAAAAAATGTGCACAAATATGAATGTCAAAAGAATGGGGCTCAAGAACTCAACCTGTTGGCCCACATCCAAATCATGTTCTCCAACATCAATAGTACCTATCGAATGCGATCGATGTATAAAAATGGTTAGTAAATCATCATGAAGATCAAGGAAAGTCTTGCCACCCTGTTTCACCACAAAAGACGTGACTTAAACAAACAATCATTGGGCATATCCACAACGGTTGCAAGGTGCAACATAACATGTTTGGTGAAGTGACAAATCACCATGAATATAATAGGTAAATCAACAAAGTAAATGGCCATGTTCAATATGTTCAACAGCTATGTTGAATTACCAGAGGGTAGTGTTTTATCATCCCAAGACTCCGAACTGTTCAAAGATCATGTCATCCACATTCCAGATCATTCCATGCTGATCCAACACTGGGTGATACCCTCTGGTAAACACACAAAAAACTATGGAAAATCACCATGTTTAATGGGAAAATCCACTATAAATGGCCATTTTCAATAGCTATGTTAAATTACCAGAGGGTATCCCAAACCATTCCCAAAGCTGTTAAAATCTTGGAGAAAATGATCTTCCAATTCCAATTCCCGAAGTTTTCTGTGCTCTTCAAAAACACAAAATGAAGACAAAACCCATCTGAGTCAACCGCGAAAATACCTGGGCGTAGTTTTTTCTGTATCCCATCTGTGTACCCTCTGGTGAACTAACATAGCAATGGAAAGATCCACCATTTTTTATGGGTAAATCCACTATTTCAATGGCCATTTTCAATAGCAAACTGTTAGTTCACCAGAGGGTATCCCAAATAGCTCCAATATGGCTGTGGTTTTCCCCATGATCTCCACGTGAAAGTCCCCCGCTGCTGAGATCAGGAGACTTCGACACGCTTCCATCTGGCATCATTCGTTCCTCGCACAAGTCCACAATGAAGTTGGGTGCACCCTGCGGGGCAGCGCCAAAAAAAAAAAAACACATAAAAGGCCCACATATGCGACGGGCGGCTCGCATCCACCAGGCGGTATGTTCGACATTCATGGTTTGAAAAGCATCATTTAAAAATTCAGAAGGAAAAAACAACAGGGGATTCGGATTCAAAGAACCAGACATGGGATGTAGGGAATACTGAAGATGATTGAAGTATGGTTTGGTCTAAAAATGTTGGATGAACAAAACAAGTAAAATCCTCAGGTTCTGCTTATCAAACCTGACTGCAAAAACCTTCAGTACCATCCATTCATGATTTTCCAACCCCGAGTGCCACGAACAATGGCCCAGTCGCACCTTACAAACCGCCATGTATTTGGTGCCTGGCTGTGTCGTGGAGTGGTTCTGCTGTTGAGATCAAGTTTATTTTGGTGAAATATCTGCATATCTTCAAGATTCTTCAAGGTATGTCAATTCAGTTTGGTGAAATGAATCATATCCTATATATGCATATATATAATATAATATATATATAGAGATGCATACATGTATATATTATATCCCATGATACCCCCATAAAATGGTCATTACAAAAAAATGGTTCTCCATATCCAGTTGGGTGTATTGTTCTTTAAGTTGGGGACCCAACTTTGGGATGTACAGGGGTAGCCATAGCCGATGAAGAGCTCGATCTGTGAAAACCGATGAGGTGATGAGGTGAGATTAATGATTTATTTATCCATATGTGGGTAATACCTGGGTTTAAAAAAAAAAAACATATGTGGGTAAACAATTATTTATATATATATACAATAAGTTTGTATAATATATATATATATAGTATATCCATATATGGTGACTTTATGGGTCAAATCAGACTCAAATCCCAATTGTTGATCATTGGTGAAAGTTCTGACCCGATCAGTGAACCCCGTGTTCGGTTGGTTTTCGAACGATGTTCACATCTTACGGAAAGCAGTGCCTCTGCTAGATGGTTTACCTATTAAAAATGGTGATTTTATGGTGGTTTAATGGGATCTAATGGGACTTCAGATTGGATTTACCCTCTGGTAATGACTAACAGTTTGCTATTGAAAATGACCCAGTCGAAATAGTGGGATTTTCCCATTGAAAATGGGTGGATTTTCTATAGTTATGTAAACGTTTACCAGACGGTAAATGGTGAATGTTCTGATTTATGTTTATTACATATTCAATATTCGTGTACTGGAATGGGAAACATGGATGATGTCCTATTTCTAGGGATTAAACAGAAACATGTTCAAACATCAACAATGGGATATCAAATTACAGTATATCAACTAATTTCGACGAACACTAATCCAATTGATTGAACCTAAACAAACATTCGACAGAGACAACCCCAAAAATATCCAAGTGCGGAAACTCATCTTCCAGACCATGCTAGCGTGATCACACATGCTAATGGCAATAGATAATAAGCTGGTTGGTGGTTTTAACCATCTTGAAAAATATGAGTCAATGGGCCGGAAGGATTTTCCCATATATGATGGAAAATAAAAGCCATGTTTGAAACCACCAACCAGATACTGTATAGCCCCTTCTTCCTAGTATTAATCACAACTCCATTAAAATCCATTCCCAATTAATAATCATGACCTGGTTGGTGGTTTGAAGCCCCCTGAAAAATATGAGTTCGTCAGTTGGGATGATTATTCCCAATTCATATGGATTACTGGTTGGTGGTTGACCTACCCCCCTGAAAAATATGAGTTCGTCAGTTGGGATGATGATTATTCCCAATTCATATTAGGGAAAGTCATAAAATCAAGCCATGTTCCAGTCACCACCAACCAGTCATTAATCACCATTAACCAACATCATTAACCATTATTATCCATGATTAACCACTGTTAAACACTATTAACCGTTATTAACATGTATTAATAACATGTATTAACCATCATTATCCATGATTAACCAACATCATTAACTTAACCATCATTGATTCCAGGGTTCCAGTCACCACCAACCAGTGCCCAACCAGGCCCTTCCAATCGACCCGACCCCTTTTCGGACCTGTCGGCAGCGGCATGCCGTCCTCGCAGAGGTTGCTGCGGCCACCGACGTCCGAGACGGTGAGCATCATCTGGGCGCGGCGCCGGAGATATGGAGATCGCTGGTTGGGAAATCCCTATAGAAATTCCCTATAGAAATTCCCATAGAAATTCCCTATAAATCTTGGAAGAATGAGGATTTCAATGAGGATTTCTAGGACTTCACTTCTTCAAAATGGAGATTTACACATATTTAGAGGGGTTTGAAAAGATTAGAGGATAAAACAGCGCACTTTATAAGGACAAAATGACTATAAATGACTAATATGAGATGCTTTCCACCTATAGTTGAAATTGGCAATGGCTGGGATTCGGGTAGATGTATACTATTGGCTATGGGGGGATACTTCAGAGGGTACATTATCATGGTCAATCTTTGACAGTCCTCAAAAAAAAACAATCCATTCAGTAGTTATGATTATGGTCCATATATTTTCGCGGATTATTAAACACATTTAAAAATAGGATCTTCTTTACATATCCCATAGGATCCATGTATGCTATATATGCTAACATTTGGGGTATATTGATGGTAAATGTTACCATATATAGCATACATGGATCCTATGGGATATGGTTCTTTTCCATTTATTTTTGCTGCTTATTTTTGCTGGAAAAAACACCGAGTCGTAGCCATCGATTGTTGCTGAATGACTTTTTAAAGCGACCCGCACAACCGGCCCGCACATGTCGACTGGTCGGCCAGGGGACCCGAGGTAAACTAACAGTTTACTTGGGAAAAACATGAAAAACCAGGGGTAAAACATGAGAATCCATGGGTATACTGAACATTGTTTTTTTTTCCGAAATGACCAAACAAAAACAACTGAGAATCTGAGAATCCGTGTTTTTTTCGAAGAAACTCATCTACTTATATTGTGGGATTCTTTCTATCCAGATTGGTTTCCTGGTCACTCTCCAAGTTTGATCAAGTTTTAGGCCCTGAAAACTTTGAGAGTCATTTGAATGAGACAACTTTGAAGCTGGTGATCAATCTTTCAGTGAACCGGATTGTTTTCCCTTTTTGAGATTCGGGGGATCCGGGGGTGATTCGTTCATCGCTGATCTTTGGGGTCATTCAGATTTAGCTGAAAGAAATGGTGATCAGAAAAAATCTCAACAGGTCACCGCGTTTAATTCGCGCCTTTCGAGAAGAAGAGAATGGAATCTCGATGATGCGAGGGTACTCTTCAGACCTTGCCATGGCAAGCACATTTTCTGTTACCCAGCGAAATGATGAAAGGAAACATATCGGTGCCTTTGACTGAAACAAAGGGAGGTAAGCAGTTGAAAACCTGAAATGTTGACCCGTTCTGACCCGTTCATGTTGGGATGCCCATGGAAGCTCCAGGGTGATCTCAGGATCCACCAGGCTCCATATGAAGTGCAGATACTTTCCGAAAAAAACGGAAAGGCCAAAAAAAAACTGGTCTCCCCCTATTGTTTTTTCAAATTTGTGGGCTGCGGATCTCCAACTTCTAGACATAATTTAATAATATGTTCATGATTATTTCTAATTTCTTTATGCTACTCTAACATAACCCTGACCTTCCAACCACAAGGTTTAACGTTGTGGTTAGTCTAACCCCATGTCTTTACTTAACCCCATCATTTCACTGCCTATCACTACTGCCTTCCAAAGAGCAGAGGCAGAATCTTTGATTGCATCAAGAATGCAGAATAAACAATACCGGCCTTTAAGGAGTTCCGAAAAGTTCCCTTCCCTTCAGCTTGCCATTACTGAATCCTAAAGATAGTATCCATGACGCACATGCTCCATAAAAAAGGTAGGGCGCAAAGTGTCACACCAGATCTTCGATTTTGCAAAAACTTTAGTCAAACCATTATTTGAGTCTTGCCCCCCAGTTTTTTGATGGTGTTCACGGGTTTTTCACGGTCTTTTCACGCACTTTTCACGTTATTTTCACGCACTTTTCACACTTCAAAATGGACCAAACAAATCGTTTAGAAAAAGAATGCTTCAGATTTTGCCATTTGCAAATGGATCTGACCTCTGGGCAGATTCGCGTTTTTCCTCTTGTACCGCCTTTCCACCCACTCTTCATAGCAATACTTATGCCCAAACTGCTTTGGGACTGAGCCAACACGGTTAGTCCATGTTAGTCCACTCTCTGGATGTGAAACAGTTTGTGGCTAGATAGAACCGATTTTCTGCAATCATATAAAGACAAGGTTTAACGTTGTGGTTAGTAACCCCACAGTTAAACGTTGTGGAGGAAGGTGAGGGTAATGCCATTCAAGAGCAGACCAGCATAGTTTTGCCATGTTTCTGCTTGGATTTCCGGTGAAATCCCCATTTGTTCATGGCTTCATCCCATGTTTTGCATGGTCAAGTTTTGCATCAAAATCCCCATGGTTTCGCATGTGTTTCATGCTTTTTGATGCCAAAATCATCCAAAATCCCTCGATTTTTCTCCAAAATCCAGCCTTCACCAGCCCCACGTGGTGACCGCTTCCAGTCCCCGAAGCCAGGCACCCCAGGCACCCCCGAGGCCCCGACACTTTCTCGCTGTGTCCCACCTTCCGGGCGGCCACCACGATCGGTGCCTCTGAGCTGTTGCCGCGTGGCTCCCACTTCTCCTGTTTGACAAAGGTCCACGGAGGTCCCCACGGTCAGAATCTTCGTGGTGATCCATACTATGGAAAATGGTTAGTTTAATGGTTAATAATATGGTTAATAATATGGTTAATAATATGGTTAATAATATGGTTAATAATATGGTTAATAACACCATTGATGATAGTGGTTAATAATGGTTAATAATGTTTGATAGTCCTGGATCATGTGATAGTCCTGATATGTCCTGCAGATTCGCAGGACTTTTCATCAGATGCGCCACGAGGCCAAATGATCCAAATGATGTAAAAATTCCATCTTCGATGATCGAATCCACATGTTTAAATCGTGTTTGCTACTTAAACACATATATATATATAATTATATGTATAAATATATAAATATATGTATATATATATATACATATTATATATATATATATTGTTTGATGATTCATTCCCAGATATTTTTTTGCATCTACTTTTCTTGGATCATTGACCACGCCGAACCATCCGGAGGTCTCCTCACCGGTGTCGGGATCTTTCACCTGGCGTAAACTTTACGGTGCCACGGTGGTGGTCCCCAGATCTGTTTGTTGGTTTATAAGCCCATGAAAAGTATAGGATATTTAAGAGATCTGGGGTTATAAACATATCCTATGGTTAACTTAATGGGGTATAGGTATCTTAATGGGCTTAAGTATGGTTTATAGTATAGGTACCATCTGGTTATGACTAACAGTTAGCCATGGAAAGATCCACCCATGTTTAAGAACGGTAAACCATCTATTTCTATGGGCCATTTTCCATGGCCATGTTAAATAACCAGAGGGTATATCTACCATGAAGCCTAGTGAGTTATGATGAGTTATGTGAACCCCAACTTAGCGATTCCGAACTGGAAAACCACCTTGTACTGGTAATTGGATATACTTTATAAGTTACCAGTACAATCCATTTGGTGATTTGGTATACCAGTATACATTATACTGTAAACTTACCAAATGGATTGTATCATGAATCTCACTGGTAGTTATATACTGGTTCCTACTGGTAATTACTGGTAATTTCTTACATATAGCAATGTATATATATATGGGAAATTACCAGATTGATTCACATACATGTTGCCGTTTAACTATATGTTTAGTGGATTCTTACCAAAATCTATTTTGAATATATGATATCTGCAAACATTATGAAACAACTAGAATGATTCCCAGAGGGTCATTGGAAATATATGGAACTGGGTATAACTGGATACAAAGTAAGACATACAACGGAATTACCCTCTGGTAAACTAACATAGCTATGGAAAATCACAATTTTTAATGGGAAAATCCACTATAAATGGCCATTTCCAATAGCTATGTTAGTTTACCAGAGGGTATGAGATGGAGAATGATACTGATATATTGGTAATGGTGCGGGACCCGGCATGATCATAACCCACAGTGAGAACTGGGGTATCACATGATTTTCCACTTTGGTGATTCCATTTATGGCTTACTTAAACTTATATCTATATCCTGGACCCAGTTCCATAGGATAGTTCCATCTAATCTATCAGGGCTGCTACCTACAATGAGTTGCTCCGCAACGCTGCGTCGGACATTTCCCCAGCCATTTTTAAACTAGGATTGAACCGAGAGAAAACGTGTGATTTTGTGTATATGATATAGTGGAACATGAGTACAATCCTAGCAAGTAGCATATGAATATTCCATAATCGGATCTCCTTTTTGCTGGACTATTAAAACCAGTAACTTAAATATCCCAGGATATCCCAGGTGATGTCAGATCCCAAAACTTCAGCTCTCTCATCCACCAGGAATTCGCGGAAGCCGCCTTTTCCAAGGTGGTGTTGCAGCACAAAATGCCCGAGAGCAATGTGGATCGCACCGCCATGTCTCTCGTGGCATCTGCACCTCAAACGATTTTAGCTGGGCCGGTCACGAATGCGTTGTAGATTTAGTATACTGGTTGGTGGTTTTAACCATCTTGAAAAATATGAACGTCAATGGAAGGATTATCCCATATATGAAATGGAAAATAAAATTCATGTTTGAAACCACCAACCAGTATATTCAGTATACTATACTACTTATAGCATATCACATAAGAATACTATCACCAATATACTATCACCAATAGATTAGTACTATACTATACTCATTTATCATGATAGTTTTAGTATAGCACTTATTGGTTGGAATAGTGTATATATATGATAGTATATTATACTATACTAAACTACATAAGTATAGTAGCTCCAAATAAGATAGAATGCTAGATGCTAATAGCCCCCCACACGTAGTATATATAGTACACCCCCAACTTTTTGAAAAATACAATAGCAGCCCCCAAAACGAATAGAAGTTGGCAAAACTCTACATACTAAAATAGGGGCGAACTACTTTCCTTCTGGGGGTTGCTTCAGTAGAGTAGTACTAATGTGCATGATTTTCTTTGAATATGGCATTGTTCTTGAGGATATGGCATTGAAGTTTGGGATTGCCCTTTGGTAATTTGTTACATCGCTAATTATTTGAGAATCACCATGTTCAACAGGTAAATCAGCGGTGAATCGTCAACATCCATCAACCATCTACAGCAGCATTTATATCTTGAATCAACCATATCAACAATATATCAGCAGGATCTAGCTTCTGGTAAACGTTTACATAACTATGGAAAGATCCACCCATTTTTCATGGGAAAACTCACTATTTCAATGGCCATGTTCAATGTCGCAAACTGTTGACATAACCAGAGGGTAGATCCTATTAAATCCCATTAGATCCCATTAAACCACCATCAAATCGCATGTTAGTTTACCAGGCCGGGTAGATCCTATCTATCCCTATCTGATTTTTTGAAAGCGATGGCTTCGATGCTAAAAAAAACACCATGCCCAGTGCCTCCATCGCACTTGGTGATCTTGCCGACGGTGGGATCAAAACCCTTCCCGGCCACATCGTAGCTGACGCCCGCCGCCCACATGTTCACCTTGGAGGACTTTGCAAAAAGGTGAAATTTCACGGTGAAACTGTCTTGAAATATGCTAAAGTCCTGGTTTAATGATGGTTTAAGCATGGTTTCGTGATGAGAATCATGTTAGACTCCGTGTGAAAGCATGAAGAAACCCATCATTCAACCAGCTTGAATCGGTTGAAACATCATGTGAATCTACCCGAAGACATTGGGACTTGCGCACCACAAATGCAACTTTCAAACAGTTCACAAAAAATACAGGGATTTCACGAACCACCAACATTGGGATTTAAGAAAGAAACATGGGGCTCAAGGCATGAAAAGACTTCACATCTTAGCATGTGCAAACCCAGGATAGCTTTAATGCACATGGTTGCACTCTGATTTCAGGGGTTTGATGAAGGAGTTCCTGATATGTTTTCAATAGCCTCTTTCAGGTCAAAATTCCAGATGGAAACCAAGATTGAAGCCTTTATATAAATCTACGTATGTGTAAATTTCATTACGCATCTGTACCGGTTCCTTTCTGAACATACCATCAACAATACGGACAATAACCAGGCTCTACTCAGAGAATGATCTAACCAGTTGGTTTCACCATGAGCGTCATATATCCCATCACCCCATAAATGTTGGTTGTATCCCTGAATTTGATCGTTAAATCTCATTGTGAGATGCTTCTGGAAAAAAAAAGATGTTTCCATGTTTCATGATGACATCACTAATTATTTTTCTTCAGCCTCCAGCCACAAACCCATCCACTATGATCTTTCGAATCGATTCCTGCTCAAATTCCATGGAGCTGCAAGACAATCCCATATTTTGCCGCTTGTTCCCCAGTAAAAATCAAATTCCTATCGTAGTCCCATTATATAAGTTATACTATCTTATCTTATATCCCTATATCTAAGATAAGTATCATTGAAATATCACTTTCTTCAACTTGGATCCTAGAATTTCCAGAGATGTCTTCCATGTATTCCAGATGGTTGTTCTACACCTTAGTCTTAAAGTACAATATTGTCCCACCTTTTCCAAAGATGTTGTCATCATCTCCACTCTGGAAAATCTCCACCCACCGTCCAATGAATACTGGATAGAGTAATCCCACATAATCATTAATCAACCATCAACTGTCAGTTGTATGCTCTACTACCCATATTGTGATGTTTTTTTCAGCCCTATAGGCCCTTAAACAAAAAACACAAACATATAAAGAAATGACCACCTAGTCATCAACCATCACATATCAATGATATGCCCATATGTTTGATAGTTGAAACCCCACAGTTCTGCCGCCCTGTTTTAATGATGGCTAAGGCCATCAAATCCCAAAACCAATCCACCAACAGCGGTATCGTGATACTTGAATCCCAGTTCATATTTCGCCATCTTATACCATATCATACACACATCCCATTGATTGACATATCTCATCATACCTCCATATCTCCAAAGCGCCAACCATTGCCAACCATCATTTATATTCATTGATCGATTATATCCACCTATATCCTCATTTTTGATGGTGAAAACCACATATCAATCTAAACATCCCATATATCCATATGTTTTGATGGTCAAAGCCAAGCCAAATCCCCAATAAATCCACTTTTTTGTTCGACGGTTATATACCCAAATCTCCCCAAACAAAACTGACGAAAACTCATCATCCATGGCAGCCATGGCGCCATCGTCATCTTGCCCTCCGTCAAGGTCCCTGTTTTGTCGCTGCAAATCACCGAGGCGGAACCCAAAGTCTCCACTGCCGCCAGCTTTCCTCGAGAAAAGCGGTGAAAAAATTAGGTGGTCTCTGATTTGATTCATGGGATAATAATGGGATTTTAATGGGATTTAATGGGATTTTATGGTGGTTTGATGGGATTTAATATGATGTACTGTCTACTTATGACTAACAGTTTGCCATGGTTAAGCCATGGCCCATAGAAATAGATGGTTTACCTAACTATAAAATGGGTGGATCTGTCCATGGCGAACTGTTAGTCATAACCAGATGGTAATTCATGGGATAATTCTTATGATGGGCTAATTTTCATGGGATATTGGTGGGATATTTGAAGGTGGTATACCCTCTGGTGAACTAACATAGCAATTGAAAATGGCCATTTATAGTGGATTTTCCTACTAAAAATGGTGATTTTCCATTGCTATGTTAGTTCACCAGAGGGTATTTATACCCTCAAGTCTTAGCCATATGAAAAACGGGACAATGATTCGATTCACCGGTGGATTTTTAGGGATAGCAGATGTCACAAAGATGTCCGAAGTAGCCATGGAAAATCACCATTTTATAGCTAGGTAAACCATCTATTTCTATGGGCCATCTATACCATGGCTATGTTAGTCATAACCAGAGGGTATATAAAATCTCCAAGAAATATTTGAATGTGATGTGCAAAATCCAAGACAGGACATTGACCAAGCCCTGTTGGTTTAAGGTATATAAAACCGTGTAAAACGTGGTTCAACAAAACTCGTATAGTCTATACGATACTCGGAAAAATCTCTTGGTTGAAGTTGGACGGAACATATCCAAACGTGGTATTACTGGTTGTATATGTGATATTTTTCAATGGCAGATCCAATGGTTGTTGGTTTGTTTATAAGGGTACAACATATATACCTAAAGAGATAAAGCCCTGGTGAAATATCGTCCAAATCAGAAATCTATTGGACTTTCTGGTACAGTTGTTGCCTGCACGATGCCTGGTTTTTTTTTTACCCTGATCCTAGTGAATGTCTGACTATCATGATCCACGGAGAACCAAGGAGTACAACCCATGTAATCAACCGGCCATCATTTCTAGCATCTATTCCATTTGTGAAGATTAGATCCCCATTTTGTTCCCCATTCTATGTACTTGTATGTAATGTAATGTTATGTCCAGAAATGGAGTATACCCCCTAGGCCCTGCCACTTCAATGGGGAACATCTTGTTCTATGGTTCTCTACTTTTGGGGTTGAGTCCCCAAGATCCCAAATGACCATGGTTGCTTCAATAAGTCATGGTCCATGACTTGGATGTGGGGTAGCCCCATTATGCCATGTCAACAAACCTCCATATGGAAAACTGCCCTGTTTAACGGACAACCCCCCAACCCCCCCCTCCACCAACCCCGCCCTGCTCTCCAAGACACGAACCAACACGTGCTGGTTCACCTAAGTGAATTCGCATGCAAACATTCGCATAGCATTGCTTATCCCATGATTTTTTGTTAAAGTCGCACCTGAAACAATTCCCAGCACAAATGTCAAACAAGACATACTATCTGTTGAACACTTGCAATCTGGCTGAATTACCCTCTGGTAAACGTTTACATAACTATGGAAAATCCACCCATTTCTCATGGGAAATTCCACTCTATTTCAATGGCCATGTTCAATAGCAAACTGTTAGTCATAACCAGAGGGTATAATGATTCACCAACGTTGAAATAACTGAAACTTGCGAACGTTTGGGGATGATTCCCCGAATAAACAAAATGTCCCATCCTTCGAGTGACGTCAGGACTAGTGTACTCCCATGATACTCCAAGAATTTCTACTACAGTATCCTCTGATAAACTCACATAACTATAGAAAATGACCCCTTGAGAGTTGATTTACCTATGAAAATAGTGATTCTCCATAGTTAAGTTAGTTTACCAGAGGGATTTACCACTACCTGCCGGCTGGGTCAAATTTCTTCCGCCAGCCCAGGCTAAAGAAATTATTGTCGCTTCAATAATTTATGCCGTCTCAGCCAAAAACTTCCGTTTCAACTGTTTGGCGGGATTGTTGCGGGGTCAGCTGCCATTCTTGCATTTTTCGCACTTTTCTGATATTCTTACACCCTGGAGAACATGGGCATATATGTATATAGCATGTCAAAGTCCAAATATGCATTGAAAACAACCAAAATAATTTATGCCGTTTGGTTGGGAATTTATGTTGTTTCAGACTGAAACAGCATAAATTCCCAACCAAACGGCAGTCTGTCACTTTTTTGGTAGAGGTTTTCAAGCTGGACGCATGAGTTATGCGTTCTTCATGCGGCGAAAGTCTCCGCCACACCTGCGGAATTGACAAAATCCCATTCCACTCAAACCATCACAATTTGCTGGAACCATCCAAAATCCAAAAACTTCCGTCTCATCAAAAAAGCTCCGTTTGAGTGTTGACCCCTCCAAAAGTTGATTTTTTACCAAACACAAATATACATAATTATTGCTATCTCGCTTGTACTAGGTATATACATACATATAATACATATATATATATATACATATATACATATGTATACATATATATATAATATCTATCTGGGTGCACTATAGCATGGCTACATTTGGCTACATCCACTTTCTGGGCCTTTCATACATATACCCACTGTATATCCCCTATCCCCATCAATGGTTGGTATCCGCCAGGACACCATGTCGCTGCATCCGATGGATAACGAGATGGTCACACACAGTGGGATGCCCTGACCGAGTTTTCGGCCGAAAAATAGTAAACATAGGGAAGTTGAAGCAACACAAATGGTGGTTTAACCAACAAAAATGGTGGTTTAATCAACAAAATTGTGATTTAATCTACAAAAAATGTACGGTTGAATCAAGAAAAATGGCGGAAAAAAATGGGGATTTTTTTGGGGGAATTTTCAGCAACAAATGGGGTCATTTGTAACCCAAAAACACATGTCGAACAAGTGTTTCCACCCATAAGTTTCAGGTTTCTAACTTTTCTTGCTTTGGGTTGCTAGATATATGTACATTTCCATACGTTTGAGGCTCCTTTGAATAAATAAAGTTTAACTACCAATCAATGGGCTGTGATGGGATAAAATGGGATAGTAGGATAAGATAGGATAAGGAACCAACATGAACCAACCATATGATAATCGGCTGTCAGTTTCACCTTATTGAATATCTTTGCTGCTTATTACCCTCTGGGAATCGACCATAGCTAGCTATTAGCTATGGGAAAATAGCTCCTTTGTAGATGATGTCCGTGTTTACCTATAAAATGTGCTGGCTATTCCATGGCTATCTTAGAGTATCGGACATGATCAAATTGACAGATTACATATCCCCATGTTTCATGCTTAAATCCCCAATTACCGGAGGGTATGTGGCAAAAAACAACACACTTGCACAGAACAATCATATCCCAATGTTCAATGGAGAATCCCCAACAATTCATCGTGGATACCCTCCGGTACAAAAAAAACGTGGAAAAAATGTCCGAAAATCCCAAGATTCGAACGTTGATTTTCCGAACGAAACCTCCATGGCTTGCGCCGTTCGGGGTCCGATCCCCTCTCCCGCTGTTTCGTGGTGAAATCCAAAGAAAATCGAATGGTGATTTCATCATCCCAATCATTCTGAATGGAGATTTCATAATCACAAAATCGATAATTTACCCAGTCTCATGTTTCATGGATGATTACCATTATTAACCATTCTTAATTGTTAACCATTATTAACCATTAACAACCATTGTTAACCATTATGATGTTTTTTTCTCCCAAGAAAATCCATCCTTTCCACGTTCGTTTCATCCATCGTTGGTGATGTCTCTCATCGTTTCGGTTCCTCGGGAATCGCTGCCACCGCAAGGGTCACTGCAATCAGGACCTCGGCAGAAACCCGGCCAGCGACTACTGGTTGGTGGTGCTTGCTAACCATCAAAAATAGATAATAATAGAATTTTATGGTGGTTTAATGGGATTTTAATGGGATTTTAATGGGATTTTAATGGGATTTTACTGGGATTTAATATGATATAGCCCCTGGAAATGACTCACAGTTTGCGACATTGAAAATGGCCCAGTCGAAATAGTGGATTTATCCATCAAAAATGGTGGATCTTTCCATAGTTGCTTGTAAACGTTTACCAGAGGGTAGATTGATGCTTTTACGGTTTGTTGAAGAAACAAGTTCAGTTGGATTGTTCGATATTGAGATATATAGGTTGAAGAAAGCTGGAGACTTCAATAACTTCACCACTATTCCTGGTGAATGATCACTGGTTGGTGGTTTAACCCCTCTGAAAAATATTAGTCAATGGGAAGGTTTATGCCATATATTATGGGAAATTAAAAATGTTTGAAACCACCAATCAGATCAGGAATTGCAGCAGTTGTTCCATGTTCACGGATTTATCCTGAAGATAGCAACTGCGTTACACATACCCTCTGGTAAACGTTTACATAACTATGGAACATCACCATGAATATAATAGGTAAGTCAACTATTTCTACGGGACATGTTCAATAGCAAACTGTAACAAATTAGCAGAGGCTATATCATATTAAATTCCATTAAAATCCCATTCAACCGCCATTTTGGATCCCATTAAAATCCCAATGTATCCCAGTTACGCTGGGTTATAAGTTGCTAGTTGCTCTGCGGCAACATCGCCAGCTATAAAATCTGTCGCCCAGGGGATGAAGCATCGTGTTTTGTAAAAGGCGTGGTTTGTGGCTGACATTGCTTCACTAAGATCATAAAACGTTTGAAACCATGGTATTTGTTCAAATAGTGATATTGCTATTTGTTATAAACCATTTATTTGTTATAAACCATATCATGGATTGTTCAAATATGTACAATATTGATAACATATTTGTTGTTATGGATTGTTCAAATGGTTTATAACAACCATAAAATGTATTTGTTGTCATGGATTGTTCAAATATGTTTTAGATAACCATGTATTTGGTTTGAACAATACCATAAAAACAATAATAATAAATGTGTATTTTAAGGGATAAAACCAAAGATGTTGTCATTGTTCAAGTACCACTTAAATCTGTTGTTTCAAACAATGAAACCACTCCCTACTTATGCAAGTACCTGCTGAGGGAGCATTTGGGCTACGATTTAGTGGGGTAAGTATGGGCAAGTATCTTCTTGAGTCTTAGGAAGTATTTAGATCCATGACTAACTAATACTAATTATAACTATAAACTATATATATATGTATATATATATAGTGTTTCAAAGAAAGTCCACAACTGTAAATCTGGTCATTACCACGTGTCAGTTTACATTGCGTCCTATCAAGGTGATATGTGTAAGTTTCTCAGCAACTCGATAACACCTCTGAGGTTTCTCCGCATAAAATGTACACTCGGAATTTCCGAATATCCACTCCTGCCTCGCATTAGACATGGACCTGGAACCTGGAAAGTTTCAAAACAAACATGATGGTAAACCATATCCTCCCAGATCCTATCAGATTATGTTCGCCACAGCTTGCCATATATACATGTATGTATATACTATATATATACATTATGTGAATTATGTGCATATCATTATATCATTGGAACTTCGACGTATCATTTTTCACCGCATCAACAACATCAACTAGCAGCCGCTGTCCAACTTTGCCATGGGCGAACCGGTTTCACTAGGTCCCCACACCATGTAAAGTGCGGATGGCGAATCCAAGTTGTCCAAATCCTTTCGGTCTAAAACTACTCCTCAGCACTCGACTCCGGCTTACGTGTGGACGAAGATGTGTGGTATGTAGATGTAGCACAGGTAAAATCAAAAAGGAATTGTGTGGATATATGCACATGTATATGCCACAATCAAATGGATGAAAATTGGATAAAACAACTATCATGTGTAATATATTTCTATACATATGAGTCATTATGAGTCAATATGGGTCTGTCGATCTGTCATAAAATAAGGTACCCCATTCCATCCACTGATACATCATGATACATCTTCATGTTCCCACTTTTTTCTTGCCATAGATTCATGTTCCCATTCCGTATAATTCCCATACACCCATGTTCAATCAGTGACAAAGCCATGGAAAATCAATGCACCAAACGCCCCACAGAACTTCTTCGGCTCCTGCTACTATCTGATCTTCAAACTGATGGACCTTTAGTGACTAAATGCTATCTGGACCTATCTGGGTTTCATGAAAAATACCATGAAAATACCAAAAAAATACCTTTCGTTGATTCGGAATCATTGTTCAACAACTGGAAATGTTGCGGACCATTGGTCTCAAAAAAGCGATGAACATGATACAAGCGGCGGAAATTGCGAGTCCCCTGAGGATACGGGTTTTGCACAGTGTGGGTAAATGACGCACCACCACCACCAACCCAACTAATGTTAGTAGAACAAGAGTAAATCCTCCTCAAATTTACCAGAAATTGGTGCTTTGTCAACCCAAAATATGGCTAACCATTTCCGGTTTCCAGCGGTGAAACGAACCATTTCACCAAGAGGCCAATGATGAAGACCAAAACACAGACCACGATGGCTAAGATACCGATCTTAGCACCCAGCTGCTCCAAATTCCTGCGCGTTACTGGCATTAGCGAAACAACTAACCGGGGTGAAGTCATTTAATGATATATATATATGTATATGTATTGTATATATTGTATATATTGTATATATTGTATATATTGTATATATTGTATATATTGTATATATTGTATATATTGTATATATTGTATATATTGTATACATATTGTGTATATATTGAAAATATATTGCATATATTGTATACATATTGTGTATATACTGTAAATATATTGTATATATACATATTGTATATATTGTATATATATATATTATTGTATATATATTGTATATATATTGTACATATATTGTATATATATATTGTACATATATTGTATATAAATATATTGTATATATATTGTATATATATTGTATATATATATATATTGTATATATATATATTGTATATATATATTGTATGTATATTGTATATATATATATATATATATTGTATATATATACACACTATAATATACTATAATATGCTATAATATGCTATAATATGCTATAATATACTATAATATACTATAATATACTATAATATACTATCATACTCTATAATATACTATAATATAGTATAATCTAATATACTGTAATATACTGTAATATACTATAATATACTATAATATACTTTAATATTACTATAATATACTTTAATATACAACAATTTATGATAGTCATTGATAGTTTATGATAATATATATAGGGAACTCCTGTTTGATGTTTACAAGTGTAGCCCTTCAACCTGAAAAGAACTTTTGACTTGGGTCTCAGGTCCTTTGCAGAGGCGTCTGATTGGCCGAGGTATCCGGCAGACAATAGCACTTCTTTTTGGGCCCTTCCTGACGCGTCCGCGGAGCCATGGAAGTCATGATGCACAGGTTTTCTATGAAAATAAGGATAATGGGAAACATAACATCGGGATATCATGAAAATGGAATGAGTTGCACAACCAACAATGAAGGACAGAAATTGGAACATCTCCCATGAACTACGGGTTGCTTGGTGGATACCATTGATTATACCAATGATTATAGTATTATACAATATATACAATATACTATCATGGATACCATTGATTACCATTTGATAATGATTATACTATATTTTATTAAATCATTATCCTATTAGTAGAACGCAGTACATTTCATAACCAATCACCTTAAATCAACGGATGGATTATGATGGGATTTAAGCACTGAATGGCCAACAAGGCCGTGGGTACGAGAGTAACAACCATCCAAAATTGGGCATCAGAATATCGCAAATTCTCAATGGATGGATTAGGGAAAACACAAAAATAACAGGAAAAACGGTGGGCTTTTTCGGCCACCAAAATGTCAGGTTGTTCTGTAAAAAAACAAGGAAAAACAAGTTTGAATCAATTCTCGGAAATTCGTCCAGTTCTGAATGATTTGACCATTGGACATGGGGTATGTTTCATTACAATTGTTTGTTTGAGGGCAGCTCGCCATGTCAGAACCCTGGTGGTCAAAGATTCCAGATCCAGTGGTCAATGTTAAGTTTGTCGTGGCGTACGGATTGCAAGTTGGGTGATGTTGGGTGTGGTACCTGAAAATGGATTTACTCCCGAATTTGTCGCAATTTTCATGAAGAACATTCATTAGATTGGTTGAAGGGAAAATCTTAAAGCCATGGTTTCTACTGACAATTCTAGGCGTTGCCGTGGGTTTCCTGTAAATGCCCCATCATCCAATTCAGGAAAACATGATGTTTAAACCGTGGATGGAATGGGGTATAGTGGGGGCACCCTATTTTCAATCAGATCCAGTTGGAAACCGCGGGACAAAACCCGCTGAATGCCCTGCTGGGGTGTCAAGGCCTTCACTTAAGGACAATCTCCATATTTCTACGAAAAAAACAATGGATAAATCAGATTTATCGCCAGGTTTACATAGTTCTCTCCATCTACCCTATGGTTTTTACTAGCAGTTTGCGAACTCGAAGCCATGGCCCATAAAAAAATGTTCGATGATAAATCCCTTCTGTAAAATAACAGTTCGATGCGGAGTTGATCCTCTATTTCTAGATCATGTTCCTAGGCGTTCCCCATGTTTCCACAATTTTCAGTTTGTTTACCCTAGGGTAATAGGCCTGGGCTCTGGGATTCAATATAGTTGGCTAGTGATAAACCATGATATTTCCATTGATATCCCATTAAATCACCATGTTTGATGGGTAAACCAATGGTAAACCTAGGGTGCCTATGGAATTCATGCTGGATGTTCCCGCCTCCCCTGCAATGAGCTGCGCGATGCGCCCAATGCGCGTGCCCATGCCGGTGGCGGTGACGACACCACGACCCTGACCATGACTGGAGGATACTGGGGGAGTGTCAGTTTATACCACCCATAAAAATCATTAATACCCTCTGGTGAACTAACATAGCAATTGAAAATGGCCATTTATAGTGGATTTTCCCATTAATAGCATGGTGATTTTCCATTGCTATGTTAGTTCACCAGAGTGTATATCATATGTATCATAAACATGGTGATGACTTGGGGATGGTAAACATATGTAAACATGGCATTAGGCTTACCAACACGGTTTGAAATTGTTGGTTCTCCCATAAAGAATCCCCATGAGATACCAGATGTGTGGAGGAACTGCTTAGCAACTGGGCTGAGCTCACCCACTCACCGTGAGCAAAACCATGGATAAACCATGATATCTCCATTGATATCCCATTAAATCACCATGTTTCATAGACAAACTAATGGTAAACCTAGGGTCCCTATGGAATTCAGCTACTTTCTGAGTGGGATGATCCTCGTAACCTGATTTTTTTTTCACCAACTGAGGGATGGGATGCCAAAGTTGATGGGATGACTTACGCTTTACCATTATTATTACATTAGTGATGAAATTAGTGATGTAATTACCATTACTATTGCTGATTAAATATATTAAATTACCAATGTAAACCATGAGTGATTATATATGAATTTTGACTGTTACTAATGTAATTGGTGGTTAAACTGTTGTAATTGGTTGTTAACCATTACATTAGTAGTAAACCATGGTCAATAGTAGCAGTTGAAATCGGGGATGGGAGTTGATCAACCCCAACATATTTCCTGCGTTTCTTTCTCTAGATATTTTTGTTTAAGACATATGAGGTGTTCAATGGTGAAAATGGCGATATATACATATATATATATATATGTTGGTTATAGTTATACATGTATATATATATATATATTGGGATAACTTGCAAAGTCGATTTAACGAACAACAATTGGGATCCAACGATCGGCCTTAGGGAAAACGACCAGCAAAATGGTCTTTTGACCAAAAATGATGACCCAACTGGGATTTAAGCAGCAAAATGGGCTTGAGAAACCAGCCATTTTCTGGGAATACAATCGATACTGATTAGATATACAAGGAATCTATTTTCATATATTTTTGAAAACTATCTTTATTAGTATAGAAACGAAGGCAACGGAATATTGTGTGCTCTCTCTCTCTCTCTGTATATATATAATATATGCACATTTTTGTATATCATATATATATATATATTTATATATATATACACAGTATCACGGATATTCGTGCTGCTGTCAGCTTGCGTCGGCAGGGGCACACTTGCTGCCCGTATTGAATAACTCCTGTACGTGTTTTGTGGCCCCAAAACAGGGCCAATTTTGGGTCCATGGTATATGCGCCCCCCCTTCTGCAAAGAGTGCATTTAGCTGCGACAGGTTGCATCTCTCATTCATGTTGTCTTGTGTTTGGTGCCAAGATGCTGGTTTCACATTATATACATGTATATTTGTAAGGATATGATGTGCTCAATGGAAGACACGGTGATATATTTGCAGGTTTACGGAATCAAAATTGGGGTTCATCTCGGGGCGAATGATAAGGCATGGTGATTTGACCAAGGAGTATAAACCCAAATAGGGATATACTGGGATACAATGGGGAACTGCTGATATGATATGGGTGCGTCCAAGATTTTTGTGGAGATATCACCCACTTACTGCAAGACCCATGTTGAATCTATCAGCCTCTATTCTTGTTGATTCTCAGCAAATACCCTCCGAAAATCCCCCAAGAATGGGGATTTCCCCATGTTTGACACTGGAGTGTACCCTCTGGTAATGACTAACATAGCTATGGAAAGATCCACCCATTTTTCATGGGACAACTCACTATGTCTATGGCCATTTTCAAGTTCGCAAGCTGTTAGTTTACCAGGCCGGGTATATCATATTAGATCCCATTAAACCACCATAAAATCCCATGAAACCACCATAAAATCCCATGAAACCACCATAAAATCCCATGAAACCACCATAAAATCCCATGAAACCACCATAAAATCCCATGAAACCACCATAAAATCCCATGAAACCACCATAAAATCCCATGAACCCACCATAAAATCCCATGAAACCACCATAAAATCCCATGAAACCACCATAAAATCCCATGAAACCACCATAAAATCCCATGAAACCACCATAAAATCCCATGAAACCACCATAAAATCCCATGAAACCACCATAAAATCCCATGAAACCACCATAAAATCCCATGAAGCCACCATAAAATCCCATGAAGCCACCATAAAATCCCATGAAGCCACCATAAAATCCCATGAAGCCACCATAAAATCCCATGAAGCCACCATAAAATCCCATGAAGCCACCATAAAATCCCATGAAGCCACCATAAAATCCCATGAAACCACCATAAACCACCATAAATCCATGAAACCACCATAAAATCCCATGAAAATAAAATCCCATGAAACCACCATAAAATCCCATGAAACCACCATAAAATCCCACCACCCATGAACCATAAAATCCCATGAAACCACCATAAAATCCCATAAAATCCCACCATGAAACCACCATAAAATCCCATGAAACCACCAATCCCAATCCCATGAAACCACCATAAAATCCCATGAAACCACCATAAAATCCCATGAAACCACCATACAATGAAACCACCATAAAATCCCATGAAACCACCATAAATCCCATGAAACCACCATAAAATCCCATGAAACCACCATAAAATCTCATTAAACCACCATAAAATCCAATTAAACCACCATACAATCCCATGAAACCACCATAAAATCCAATTAAACCACCATACAATCCCATGAAACCACCATAAAATCCAATTAAACCACCATACAATCCCATGAAACCACCATAAAATCCAATTAAACCACCATAAAATCCAATTAAACCACCATAAAATCCAATTAAACCACCATAAAATCCAATTAAACCACCATAAAATCCCATGAAACCACCATAAAATCTCATTAAACCACCATAAAATCCCATTAAACCACCATAAAATCCCATGAAACCACCATACAATCCCATGAAACCACCATACAATCCCATGAAACCACCATACAATCCCATGAAACCACCATAAAATCCAATTAAACCACCATAAAATCCAATTAAACCACCATAAAATCCAATTAAACCACCATAAAATCCAATTAAACCACCATAAAATCCCATGAAACCACCATAAAATCCCATTAAACCACCATAAAATCTCATTAAACCACCATAAAATCCCATGAAACCACCATAAAATCCCATGAAACCACCATAAAATCCCATGAAACCACCATAAAATCTCATTAAACCACCATAAAATCAATCCCATGAAACCACCATAAAATCCCATGAAACCACCATAAAATCCCATGAAACCACCATAAAATCCCCACCATACAATCCCATGAAACCACCATAAAATCCCATGAAACCACCATAAAATCCCATGAAACCACCATAAAATCCCATGAAACCACCATAAAATCCCAAAACCACCATAAAATCCCATGAAACCACCATACAATCCCATGAAACCACCATAAAATCCCATGAAACCACCATAAAATCCCATGAAACCACCATACAATCCCATGAAACCACCATAAAATCCCATGAAACCACCATAAAATCTCATTAAACCACCATAAAATCCCATGAAACCACCATAAAATCCCATGAAACCACCATAAAATCTCATTAAACCACCATAAAATCCCATGAAACCACCATAAAATCCCATTAAACCACCATAAAATCCCATGAAACCACCATAAAATCCCATGAAACCACCATAAAATCTCATTAAACCACCATAAAATCCCATGAAACCACCATAAAATCTCATTAAACCACCATAAAATCCCATGAAACCACCATAAAATCCCATGAAACCACCATAAAATCCAATGAAACCACCATAAAATCCACATGTTTGACACTGGAGTGTATCCCTGAAGCCCAGGCAAAGATCATCATCCCAGGTCCCTGAGGAGACCTTTGCGCGGCCTTGCCGTTCGTCACGTTGCAGCCGCTGAAGACGCAAACTTCGGGCGTCAATTTCTCCGGCTCACCCTGGGGCTTTTGGAGGGCCCGGGATGGGGAAAATGGTGATACAAGATAGATGTGAATGGCATTTCATGGGATTTACAATGGGTTTTAATATGGTTTAATCGGATTTAATGGGATATACAATAATGGGATATGTTATGATGTATTTCATAAGGATTGATAAACGAGATATAAGTGGAGTATTTCTCCAGCTCACCCTGAGTGGATCAAAATGCGGTGAGTTTTGCAAAGGTATGGGGAATATAACGCCAACCATTTCGTGGGGATTGTAAGTTGGGGGTATGATTTTCATCCCAATTGGAATTGGAATACTAACCCCCCAAGTATACCGCCCACGCCAAGAAGAAGTTGTAGTCTTCCAACCCCAAAGTGCTGGCAGGGTCGATGTTAGGAGGGTTTGGGATGGTGATTCTTGATGTAATAAGATATAAAGCCAATCAATAATAAACCATACGGAATTTCATCACAAAAAATGTGAGTCTAGGGAAAACTTGCAGGAAATACCCAAATACCTGGTGGTTCACAGACACAGTGAAAAACTCACAAGAATGAACGTATAGTATTGATACTATGTATACATATATATATACATACTACATATATATATATATACATATGAAAGTGCATAGTTATACGTATTCATTGAACATCGAGCTTAAGAGACTAGCCAGAATAAACCTGTGGTTCCACTGGACCTTCAAAAAAGTCCAAAAAAACACTGACTGTTGGTATCAAACCATCCAAGGGTTATTTGCACAAAAAGTGGACAAGCTCAATGCAAATAAGTTGCAATACCCAACTATTCTGTTCTAGAATCAACCATTTCTAGCAACCTCCAAAAAGATAGAAGTTGGTAAAAACCCTACTAAATAGTAGTAGATTATGGTCCCTTACTCTTCGATCTTTTTAGGGCTTCGCTATGTATCATCCTGGCATATCCTGGCCATCTGGTGAAATATCACCATTTCTGTTGCCGAAAGCCGGCTGTCTTTCACAGCAAAGACCTGGCGCCGAAACCACCGCCAGGTCACCTCTTTTTTGGGCTTCAACTTCCAGGTCTTCGAGACCTCGACGAGGGGTTGATCCCCCAGTGATTTTTTTGTCTGTGTAGCCTGGGGGAATCCAGAATTTTCTGGGAGATTTTGCGGGATTACCCTCTGGTAAACTAAGATAACTATGGAAAATCACCATTTTTAATGGGAAAATCCACTATAAATGGCCATGTTCAATAGCTATGTTAGTTTACCAGAGGGTAAGCCTAAGATATCCTAAGATGGGGATGGATCAAGACATGACTGTTATTCACATCCAGGTCCCAGCTATGGTCTGAACGGTGGGTGGTCATCTCTATATCGACATCTCCATGGGATGGGTGGCTTAAAAATCACCTTGAATCCCACTACTGTAGTATTTCAACCATGAGCCCCTGGGTCCATACTCTGCAGCAAAATCAACATAATTCATGGGTCAATCAACAAAATCTGGGTGGTGGTTTTGGTATACCTACCCCTCTGAAAAATGATGGACAACTCGTCAGTTGGGATGATGAAATTCCCAACTGAATGGGAAAGTCATAAAATTCCATGGTTCCAGTCACCACCAACCAGCATTTATGTATGTTACATATCTGTAGTTATCCCAGTTCTATATCCCAATGATGACAATGAAATCCCCATTTGGGTCACTGGGATTGGGATGGTCTACTGGGATAATATAGCTCTGAGCCGATCCCCTGTTTCATCCCCTGAAACCGGTTTACGTTGGCCAAACACCGCTGGAAATTCAAGAACTCAATGGATCTTTAAAATGGAAGATCCTGGAAGAATCCTCTAGAATTGGAGGATTTTCCATTGCCATGTTTGATTGCCAGAGGCTATATATATATGTACATATAATATAATACATATATATATACATACATATGTATACATATATATATAATATAATACATATATATATATATATGATTCATATAAATTCATATTGCTGGGAACATCCCACCATGACTCATCCACCGCCGGCGCCATCCCAGGGCTCCCTTGCATCGTCTGGCTCTCCTGGAGGGGTGATGTATTTTTTGGTCAAGTGTTTGTGCCATCAAACCATCAAACTACCAGGGAACCAAACCTTCACACCGGATTACCCTCTGGTGAACTAACATAGCAATGGAAAATCACCATTTTTCGTGGGAAAATCCACTATGAATCACCATTTTCAATAGCTATGTTAAATTACCAGAGGGTAAGTTTGATTTTCAGTTTTCACACCAACAAGCTCTTACACCACCCAGCTTTGACAGCACAATTTGAGCTCATGTGTTTCGATTGTGACCCACCTTTCAAGTCCAACTTGCTATAGCTTGCAGGCTTTTTGAAGGCACTTGAACCACTCTTATCGCACTTTACAATCTCTTCTCAACAAAGGAGTCATGTCTACCATCGTATTTCTATGATGTGTACCATCTCTTCTTATCACGTTGATGGCATTGTTTATCGGAACCATGATGATAACCACCAAACTTGGTTGGTTTCCCTCTAAAAATTCAGACGCACCAATCACCAAACCCAAAAATATCATCTTGTTCATTATATTATAGCTGTTATATAACTCAATATATCCCCACTGTATCCGTATCCCTATGACAATCTCCATTATCTCATAACATTCCCCAAATCACCATAAAGCCTAGTTTTATGACCCCGTGTAGAACAGAGAAAGTGGATTTTAGCAACAAAAAAAAACAATCAAACACCGAATCACCAAAAAAACAACTCGACAGGAAGAGTCACCAGAAAAATCAAAAAAAACAAGGAAAAAAAAGAAACCAAAAAAATAAAAACAAAAAAACTGCATTTTTCTCAGGTGTTTGTTTTTTCTCTGTTTGTTTTTTTTGTTTCTCTTGTCGGCGTGTTGTTTTTTTTTGTTTTCTTGTTTTTTCCTTGGTTTTGGTTTTCTAGTTTGTTTTTTTTGTTTGCTCTGGTTTTGTTTTTTTTGTTTTTTTAATTTTTTGTCAAACCCTATATTCTCCGTGTTGCTGGACTCATAAGCCTAGTTATTTCACCAGAAAGCCTGGTTTCATCATAAAAGCCTATTTCCACCACAAACGTTGATGATTCATCGCCTATGGTTGAACTGGGCAAATGTGATGTTGATAGGATTACAGTATAATGATGAAAACAGTGAAGTAACATTGGTTTACGCATATAAGATGCTGAATATGAGTGGCTGACTAATATGAAAAGATTGGTGACTAATGAACTTACTGACTAAATACTAGTATTAATAATACTCATAATAATAAGAATGGTTGACTAATTGTGATTAAGATTATACAATATGTAAGCGCTATATAATGTATCATTAACCATGATCTCACAATGATCTAATCCCCATCTGAGACATTGTCATTAGATACCCTGGTTGATTGATTAACTTACGGAATTATATATGTATATACTGGGGATTATGATAACCCATAGGGAAACCTAACAACCAACTATATAGTATCATAAGATGGGAAAATAGGGTATTCAGGAGATAAAAAAAATGAACATCATCAGCCATCTGATAAGATGATCATTTAATAGATAGATAGAATGAATAGATAGAATGAATAGATAGAATGAATAGATAGATAAATAGATAGATAAATAGATAGATAAATAGATAGATAGATAGATAGCTAGATAGATAGATAGATAGATAGATCGATCGATAGATAGATCGATGGATAGATACATGACATTCAAATATGATACAATCAATCTAACATATATATATATATATACATTCATATGATTAGTTGATCATGCAATATCATAGTAATTCTGTAGTAGATGCAATATCAGGACAATGATGCAATATTATTACTATTGAATATGATTTAATATGTAATATGATGTAATGAATATGTAATGTGGGCAAAAAAAAAATGGTTATCCAGTATTAACAATATAACCATGTTCACGTCAAATCATCCAATCATCACCATATATTGATCATGATGTGGGTAAAACAACAATAAACCATCTCCCAAATCACCATTTGGGTTTGTCTGAAAATAGGGTATATTCCCAATTATAGCCATTTAATAGGGATAATGATCAGCAAAACCATTGGGTTTAGGGGTACACTATTTTCAGACACACCCATTTTTGTAGGTGCTATGGTTGCCATTCCCAGTCATGGCTGGTAAGTCCTAGACCCCACCGTGCCTGTCAACGCCATCTCACTCACCTTTAGATCTTCCGCCTCTGCCAAGCGCATGTCCTGGAGTTTTACCAAACAAGGGAGGAAGGATGGGAAGAAAAATGGCAAGTTATAGGGTTTTATAGGGAAATATAGGGTTTATATAGGGAAACTATAGGGATTTTATAGGGAACTTATGGTTATTTCTATAGATTTAGAGGGATTTATGAGGATTTAGGGCCACATCTTTGACTATGACCTTGCGGCTTTTTTGTTGATGTGTTCTTTCTTAGTTGTTTTAGAAGAAATTTTCTATAAGCATCTAGGATTGCACTGTTTGTCTGCATGGATCCCGCGACTGTCGGAAATCCGCATATCCTGAAATCACTCTATGGTACTCACATGCACCAATAATATACATAGACATATATATATATAGTACAGTAATATAGTATATATATGTATGTATGTATGTATAATATAATATATATATATATATACAGAATTATACACATTACAATCATCTCAGAATCTCCCGGGATCGCAGTCCGCTGGGACCACATCACCAGTGCCCAAGACGACGATGTCGCCGCGGACCACCGTGTTGGTGGTGATCTGAACTTCCTTCCTTGGCGCGGCGTACGAAAAGGATGTGGAATGATGTGGATGGCTGCCCGGCTGGATGGTTGAAACATGTTGAAACATGTTGAAACCCTGTGAATCCTGGGATGTTTACCACCGATTTCAACTGGTGAGAACTGGATTTCGCTGGCCCATGAAAAAAAAGTAGCATTTGAGGTCTATAAAGCCTAGCATTTTATGTTCATAGAACGGGGATACACCCAACAAACATCGATGTGAATCCATCAGGATAGGCTGTGGATAAAACGAGCATGGCAATCGATGGATTGTTTGCTTGCAAAGATCAAATTTTGGGACACCGGCTGCTTTTTGCCAATCAAACATCGTGATTTCCGGTTTCAATGTTCATGTGATCCAGTTCTAGGATTCCTGGATTTATGTTGGGACATGTCGGGATTTATCGAATCAACAAACATACGGGTTTTGAGGCAACCAATATGGCGGTGCAGCCAATGACAACAAATGGGAATCGATAAAGGGCCAATGAGGGGATATTCCAGGAAAAGATCTGCACTCCGATGTGTATATTATATATATAGTGATATATATATATATATATAATATAGTGATATATATTATGTATAGTGATATATAGTGTATTTGATTGTATTTGCATATATCTATATGTATATATAATGTATATATAATACCTGTTGTTGCCACGAAAAAAGCGATATGATTAACAAACTTTGACATGGGGATTCAAGGCACGACTCTGACAAACAAAACAACATGGGATGGAAGCACTCAGCGATGGGGGGTTCAACAAGCAGAGCAGATTTTCTTCAAACAAGGGACCATTCAAATCATTTAAGCTGTTTGGCATTTCACAGACTGTAGATGGAAGAAATCCTCCACCAGTTGGTAGATGCTTTATCCAGTTATAATCCGATTATCGACAGTGTTTCAAAGTTGCCAATAGTTACCAACTGGTGCGGGATTTCTTCCACCCACAGGATGACTGTAGCAAGCTTTCCGCTAGGGTATCCACTAAGCCTCCTTGCTTGGTCGGTGTTTTCCATAGAAGTCAAAGGTAAATTGGTGAATTGACTAAAGAGTTATACCATGTTATATCATCTTATATGATTAAACCATTAAAGAAAATTTAGTTGTTTAACCATTAAACCATTAAACAGCATTAAACCATTATACCATGGTGACATTAATTAGTGACCACAAAAAGGAACTCATCCACTGCAGTGGGCCCATCCGCTACTGGCCGCGATCTCAGCAGATCAATCCTTCCCACGGGAAGAAATTTTGAGTACGCGTACAATGTACGGCTACACCGATATGTTATGACGACTAGTCAGGATGATTCAAAAACACTAGCAATATGTAATACGTATATACAGTATAAGATGATAATGAAAGCTCAATGGGTTTAATATGTGGATCATCTTTCATTAGAGTTCCCCCACCCAGCTTTAGAGGTGAAATGATCCGACCAACTGCAGCCGTAGAGGCCCGTCTCTGATCACCTGAGCTGCGCGCGGGTAGGGAGTGGGATGCAACCTACTTAGCTACTCTTGCCCTCTGGTCATTTAGCATATGGAACACCCCACCATGAACGTATTGCTTTTTTTCCGAAGGGTTTTCCCCATGTTTGTTGTCCAATAACAAACTAGAGGATGTGTATTTTATAATATTTTATATATATATATACATATATATATATATAATGTGGTAAACCCAATAATAAACCATCCCCAAGTTATCACCATAAATGGGTGGGTATGTTTACCATCCTCAAATGGTAGTCGTTCATGGCATTGGGTAGCCATTTCCACCAAGCTGCATAGATGGCGGCCTGCGTCATTTTGGACAATGCTTCCTGAGAAGCAAAGACTGGCTGAATGGCTGGAGGTTCATGATACCATCAACCCATGTGGGAACGCAAACGTGGCTGGAGAATCCCCGCACCAAATGAAGGCTTGCTGGGAAAACCAACGAACAAAATGGTGGGATTTTAGAAAAAAGAAAGCCATGCTTGACTACCGATGGGTAAGTAGCCACTTAAGCTAATTCAATGGGAGATCTTCAGGATCCAACAGATGGAGGTACGTTAGTACCATATAAGGCCATATTTTCTGAGGATATTCCCTTACATAGGCCTGAAAAATAGGCCTTATATATGGTAGGTACCTCCAATCAATCGGATCCTGTTGCATGGCCATTGACTAATTGGGAACCGATTACAGAACTGCCGCAGCGCCGCTTTGAAATGGATCAGCCACTGGATCATGCTCGTCATATGAGGTTTATAGCTCCACCATACAACAGTAAACCATGGGATGGAATACGGTAGCTTACCCTCTGGTAAACGTTTACATAGCGAACTGGAGAATCACCATCTTCAAGTTCGGTAAATCAACATAAATCAACTATTTCCATGGGCCATGGCTTCAATATATAGCAAATTGTAACAAAATTACCAGAGGGTACTTGGCATTGCTCGAAAAAAACGTAAAAAGTAAACCGAAATTTCTCCATGGATTCCCTCAAAGGTGAATTCACCACATTTCTTCATCTTCTGGATCGATCTATCTAAACTACTGTAGCATCCAGCAAAACGGTCGAGTGGCTCAACTCTATAATATCTATTTGTATTAATAGGTAATACGTAATCTCGAAACACTCTATATTCATATATATATATATATCATCATCATCATTATTGTATGATATGATACTATATATTCTATATTATTATATCACATGTTATTTTACTTTATTATATTACCCTTGATATCACCATAAGATGTATCATTTTTTTTCGGGGGCGTCCAGGACCATCCTGGAAGGAGGAACCAGGACGCAACCTTTGACAAGTCGCCAACCTATATGGATCATCTCATTGCATCTCCATATATATGGTATATATATATATATACGTGTGTATACATATATATATATATAATTAATTATATATATATGTGGAATATATGTATATACATATATGTATATATATATGTATATATATGTATATATATATATATGTATATATATATATGTAAACTTCGCCAGGTGAATCATTGTATCGAGTTCAACCAGAGACCCGGTCGCTGCGACACGCAACAATGGACACCTTGCCAAAAAAAAAGTATTTACACTAGATACAACAGGATGCATGTATGTATGAATAACTGTATGTATATATATACACAATTACAACCAATTAATGTATATATATATATATGATTGTTGGTGCTGTAAACATTTATACCCCATGACTTTATTGGTCAACTGCCCCATTTGTCGTGAAGGACAAATCCAACGTCCCACTCTGAAAAATAACAACTGCGGCCGACCCATCTTTGCTGCGGAGCGGCTAAGGCGTCTCCAGCCTTATGTTCAGTCCACGCCGCAATGCCTGCATTTAAAATCACCTCACGGTAGGCAGTTTTGGAAACATCTCGCAAAGAACATCGGTGGAGCTGGAGATTCAATTGATTTACCCTCTGGTAATTTAACAGTTTGCCATGGAGAATCACCATTTTTGATAGGTAAACCATCTATAAATGGACCATCTATACCATGGCTATGTTAAATAACCAGAGGGTAATTAATGTTAATTAATTCTAATTGTCAATAGATGTGCTTATGTGCTTTCAAGTTTTCCGTGGAATTTGGAGGGAGCTGTGAACGGAGCGATGGTTGTATCCATATCCCCCTATCATTTTTGGGGAGCCAAAGGGGCTATCGCCTGCCTCTGGTTTTGCATCATTTCTCAGCAATCCGTTGAGGAACTGGTGTCTTAGAAGACCAAGCTAAACAAATTTAGACTGGAAGGGAAACATCCAACAACTTCAATGAATGACTAGCCCGGATTAATCAGCGGATTAGTCTGGTTTACCAGTGGAGGGGTTGCTAATCCTAACTCGTGAGTATAGTATAGGTGACTGGTTACATGGAGGGTCAGTCCACCTGACCTTGGTACTCTTGTTCAGGATGACAATCACCATGGTGTGCCATGGTCAAAACATGCAATGATATGGTTAAAAAAAAAACGCTCATGCAAGCATAAAAAGGGGAAGTCCTTAGAATTGGGTTCGTTATGGTTTATGGTCACCATATTAATTTCGATTGATGACCATTCCCCACTTTGGATATACAATGGCTGTTCTAAAACATGGGAATGTTCGATGAACAGAGCCCACGAAAGCTGATTGTTTTTATAGGGGCTTCACAATCAACGAAAGGGGGCTTCACAATGCTTCATACACTCCTCTACATTGATGCACATTGTAGATTTGCCTGAGATTCGCATTCTTCCATCTCCACACATCGTCTGAAGCAGTTTTACTTGAGTATGTGATTCTCCCCTGAATGGCAGACTGTCAAAGTATTGAATATCTATCACCAGTTGGTTACCCCAAATATATCCAGAACCTATAAATAAATAAATAAATAAATAAATATATACGTACTAGCTGCGACACAATCGGAGCCTTGCCACAGTCTGAGTCTCGTATGTTTTCATGGAGGATATATACGTATATGTATTATATCATTCCACATTCTCCGTTCCGTATCCCATGAGATATAGATGATATAGATATATCTAAATTAGATATAGATATAGATATATCTAAATAGATATAGATATAGATATATATAGATATATATATATATACATATTAGATATCCCAATATCCTTCAACCACTTCCCTGGCGTGCCATGGGTTCCCCCAATCCCTCACCATTCTCGTGGCGTCACAAAAATAGCAGCCCCATGGCCTCATGGCCTCTCCCAATGAAGTATCATTAAAAAATGCCAGATTTTTTGGATATTAATGCCATATTTATCATCTTCAATCCGATAAAATGTAACATGTTTTCTACATGTTGTCATATTTTCTCCAGTTTGATGCCCCATTTTTTTCAGTGCTCCAAGATGTAAATCCCAAGTCGCAATGACGAAGATTGCAATGCCTGGAGCAAGGACTCAGTGAAAAAAAGTCTATCACTAGATATTATCTCATACTCATGGGAGATATGGGGAGATATATACATATATGGGTATGGGTCAATACCTATAGATACATTTTTAGTGGGATGAACATCCATTTACCAGCTATTTTGATGTTCACCAGGGGTACAAGGTTTTGACACACTGCCATATATAACCTCTGGTTATTTAACATAGCCATGGGAAATGACCCATAGAAATAGATTAAATAGATGGTTTACCGTTCTTAAAAATGGTGGATCTTTCCATGGCAAACTGTGAATGTCATAACCAGAGGGTATATGTAATATTCTATGGCGATATCATGAGGCATTATGATATCATGTATCTATAACCATATTATTGATATATATCTAGGTTATATTAATGGTATCTAATATGGTATATTATTGATATGGTTATACATTAATGTTCAAATCCGATACCATTAATATAACCTAGATATTGATATATCGGATTTGAACACGACCTTTTTGGCGATTTTTTGGAGCTAAGTTCCAAGTGGGTTGACCCTCAAAATTGTACTTGTGCAGGCCCATGCCCATTTCTGAACAAACCTCTATCATCTTGTGTTTGATATATGTATACTATACATATAGATATATATTATAATTATATATTTTATATCATATATCATATATCATATATTATACATTATACATTATACATTATACATTATACATTATACATATACATTATACATTATATATTATATATATTTATATGTTATATATTATACATTATATATTATATATTATATATACAGTATACAAAAATATCCAGGTATCCCAACATCTATTCCCATGAAACTCTTGGTTTACAACCCCACATATTTGTAGGTCAAAAAAAAGGTCATCCACTTGGTTGCAGATGTAGGTTCTGATGGGTATCCTATTCAGCTACCCTCTGGTAAACTAACATAACTATTGAAAATCACCATTTTTAATGGGAAAACTCACTATAAATGGCCATTTTCAATAGCTATGTTAGTTTACCAGAGGGTATGGTTTAGGATTCAAAAAAAGGATCCCATTCTAACAGGATCCCATTCAGCATTGAAATTTCATTTCCAAAGTCAAATCCAGACTTTCCGAAAGCGTAGATCCAGACTTTGTACAAAGCTTTCTGCAATTTCCAGAGGGTAAACTTCATTTTATCCATACCATTGCTGGGTATATCCCCATGAAATCTCATATTAAACCCCATGAAAAAACCCATAAAATAACGAAAAGGCGCCCGCCTGTGGTGTAGGAGAGCGGGTCGTCTCTCTTTGATCCTGTGGCGTTCCTTGGTACCGTCATGGCAAGGCAGGTTCCTTTTCTTTGCCTAGTGACAAACTGTTTAAATATACATAAATATATACAGTATGCATATATATTTATAATTATATATACATGTACATATATATATGTACATGTATATAATTATATATAATTCTAGATTCTATACAGTACATACATGATTTGGAATGCCTTTCAAATGTCTTTCAGGATGTCGTTCCCGACCACAATTGGGTTCGGCAGTGCAGGGAATTCTGCACAAGGCTCACATCTTGCTGTTTATCATCTTAATCTGTTGTATGAATGTATGTACCCTCTGGTAATGACTAACAGACTAACATAACTCATGGGAAAATCACCATGTTTCATGGGAAAATTCACTATTTCTATGGTGATTTTCCATGGTTATGTTAAATTACCAGAGGGTAAATATGTATATGCACATGTTTATATGATTTATATGTTTATTAAATGTGTGTATGTCCATGGATGTGTGCATGTATCCGTTTATGCGTTACAAGTGCATCCATGCACGCATACATGTATCTGTCTGTCTGCATGTATGTATGCAACTGGCAACCGCCCTGTATATTGTGTCATATTCCATTATACTATTGTATACATATTAATTATATTAGTTTGCTTTAGAACATAACGTATCATATCATATCATATCATATCATATAACATTATACTATGTTTTATCAAATCATATCATATATTGTGTTACATTATTTTGTATTATGTTTTACTATATCATGTGTATATTTTACTAATTATGATATACAAAGTCATAAAACATAATAATTATGTGTATATGCACAGTGACGTGCAAACCCTCATGTTCAACTTTAAGAGGCGCATGCGATGCAAAAATATAAGGGCTCATCGTTCCAGCTCTTCCCCCCTCTCCAAGGATTGTACCAATCCAATTTCCAGAAAAAAATCACCAAACATAAATTCAACATCTAGCAATCTAGCTCTACACAATTCTCCTAGAGCATCTCAACAAAAAAACATACCGTCGGCCCGTTGACTTTCTGCTTGGTGGTTGAGCCACCCCTCTGAAAAATATGAGTTCGTCAGTTGGGATGATGAACTTCCCAATTTTTTGGAAAGTCATAATCCAGTCATGTTCCAAAGCACCAACCAGCCTTTAAATCTCTGCCCGGCAGAGAGAATTCTCTCCAGCACCTGTCAGGTCTAAGGGTCACTGTCATGGAGGCCACTGCTGCGATGATCAAAAGGATGATGATGAAACCCAGGAGCCTTGGTTTTGCCAGGTGATCCCGGAGAATGTCTGGAAACAGTCGGATCTAAGGGGCTGAAGTAATGTCAAGCCTGGATTTATGTCAACCCCATTTTGGGTTGTTTAATTGGAAAGCTACCATTTAAAAAATCATTTAAGATCATAAAAAAAGTATCAAATCATGACTATTGGAAAAAATATCCCCCTAATTTTTAAAAAAACAATGGTTTATTAATCTTTGGTTGACATTTATCATTGGGCAATCACTGACCATTGGTCAATTGGTTGCTCCATGACTTGCCAAAGGGACCTGACCACCAGGCGGCCACCAAGAAACTGGCTTGCGTGACTACGTGGTTAAAGGCCAAAAAAAAGCGGGCTGTTTCCAACCATATCATTGGTCGAGCTGAAATCCAAAGTGCTGTTCCAACAAGAGGAGCTATTTTGATTGTAGGATATCGTAGGAATATATGGAAAATACCCTTCGGTAAACTAACATAACTATGGAAAATCACCATTTCTCATGGGTAAATCCACTCTAAATGGCAATTTTCAATCGCAAACTGTTAGTTTACCAGAGGGTATATGGAAAATACCATGGAAAATACCATGGACAACACTCAAGCATCCAAGGGGCTGCATGATGAAGAGCATCAGCAAGGTCGGCTTGGGAGGTTTGTAGAGCTCGTTCAAGCCGTCTTCCTGCGTTTTTATCAGGATCCGAGGCTTAGCGGTCATTCCGGATGACATAAAAAGCCTCTGCAAGAAATCCGAAATCCCAGGGTCTTTTTTTAAATTACCAACATATCAATGGGAATTTCAGGATCCTAAAATGGAGGTACTGTACCATATAAGGCCATATTTTGTGGGGATATTCCCTTACATAGGCCTTATATAGGCCTTATATATGGCCATTGAACATATTAACATATTAACATATATTAACATATATTAACATATATTAACATTGTTCGCAAAATTACCATGGTTTCACCAACCTGAAATGAGGCCTTTCACTACTGGGGATGATTCCCCTTACTCCGCCCAGGTCGTGGTTCTCTGAAGAGCCAGAGTCTTTGTTAGCCGTAGAGATCCCCTGAGGGCTACGCATCATGGTCCCCATTCTTTGGCCATAGACTGGGGAAAAAAAAACGGAAATTCCCCAGTTTGATCAACAAGAACTGCCACAAGTGTTTATCTAACAAGGCTTATGCCCTTATGACCCACTGATCAGGTTGAACATGGGCATGAAACGACTCAGAAAGGACCTGAATATTGAACATGTGTTTCCCCTTTGGTGGGGGCGTTCTGAAGGGTGAGATTCCTTGACATATGCTGTGGTGCTTGAAAAGCACCGAAAACTAATTAGGAACCAATTGCTAGGATGATCAAACATCGTAGATACTGTGATCAATATCAATGTTAAAGTTACAAGCATAAAAACATTGAAAAAAAACATGGACCAAGCAGGGCTTGGTAAGGACCAGTGGATCCTGATTCAGGTGAATCCCTGGGTAGCCAAAGACAGCCAAGACTGATCCATTAGTTCTTCAAGGGACCAATCATTTCGTCGAGTACATGTTGGTCATCCATTTCTTCATTGACATATCCATTGTGTCGGTTCTACACGTCCCAGTTCTTGTTTGGTACCGTTTGTAGTTTTTATAGGCCAAATTCCCAATGTCTCTTGTTTCTTATTTATGTATATAACTGTATACATATATATATGTCGGTGTACATCCTTTTGCATTGGTCCAACTTGACGAATACTTCGCATCGAACCAGGTCCTTCAATTTGTGCTCGGCGGATGCTGTAGTCAACCCTACCACAACGAGGGCTTTGCACCATGGGAGATATCCCATGAAATGTGGCAACGTGGGGGAAGAATAATGATTCGTTGGCAAATTTTTGGATAACCCTTTTTTTTGGGGGAAAAAAAACAAATCTAGCCACCCCAAAGTAGTAGTCAGTGCAAATAACTGAAATAACTGATAAACGCTAATAGAATATCTGAGTGATATGGTAATGAATATACAATAATTCTTCAAACATCTGAAAGCAGCCATATTTGGGTGCATTACGGTGCATTCATTTCACAATTTGGCAACGATCCTGGGGTCGTTGTGAGGGCCATAATTTGCCTGTATTCATTTTTCTATGGCTAGTAGCAGATACTTAACAAAAACAAATCTAACGCTGGAACATGTATTCCTTCATCAAATTGCACGAAATGGAACTCTCTCAATCCAGCATTTACCCGTTGGTCTATGGATACAAACTCGGAGTGGCTCAAAATTCCCCATTCATTGGTGGTTTCAATGGGCTTTTCAAGCTCGCTTTGATTTGGGCACCAGATTTTTTGGTGGCTGAACCGATTGAAAATCAGCTGGGACCATCCCCTTTTTGCTTGTGAACTCCCACCATTCACCACTCGGCTAACCATTTAAGTCACATTCCAGCTACACGTGGATGATATCCACATGCTGGTGGTTTATGCCCCCATCATTTGTTGATGCCCAGGTTGTTTTTGCGACTTTAGAGCTCATCCCACTCTGTATTGCTCCAAAAAAAAACACATCATCTCGTAGATTTGGGATCCTTAAAAAAAAACATGGCTGAAAATGTCATTGCTTAAACTCTTCAGGTTTCAAACCAATCCCTTTCAAATGTGCTGAAAATAGTTCAGCCACCGCCCAGGTCATGGCCTGACTGCAGATCTGTAGTGTATCGACTGATCACCTGGCAAACCGATCGGCCGACAAAAGCCATCAGATGAAGTTGATGCGAATCCTCCCGTTCCCGTTTGGGTCGTCTGTTGGAGTTACTGTCACGTCTTATTTTTGGCTGATCATTTTTAGGTGTTCATGAATGTTGCAACCATTTATAATCTTATCTGGTGGGTGGTTTCAACCCCTCTGAAAAATATGAAAGTCAGTTGGGATTATGACATTCCGAATATATGGGGAAAAAAATCATATTCCAAACCACCAACCATTTATAATCTTATTTCTGGTTTTCATGAATGTTGCCATAGTTAACCCCCAGTTCTTGGCAACAGGCAACGGTGACATCCCCCTGTCTAAATCTGACCCATCTGGGCCTTAAAAAAAACTCAGCCCGGCCAGCACGTACAAAACCACGGCGTTCAATCAGTTTTTTTTAATATTGTGAGGAAAGGATTCATTATATCGTTTTACCCCTGGTTTTTGAAAAATTGTTGCTTCTCCATCGTCCCATTAATCTACCCTCTGGTAATTTAACATAGCTATTGAAAATGGTGATTTATAGTGGATTTTCCCATTGAAAAAGGTGATTTTCCAGTTCGCTATGTAAACGTTTACCAGAGGGTACATTCTTCTACATGTTGTAGATGTTATCCATGAAATCTCGCCCCTTTGCTCACGTTCCCCATGATTCCCCTCAGCAAGAGGAAGCCTATTGAATCACATCGAATCCCACCTAAATCACTGTTAAATCCTATTGAAACTCCAATCCCAAAAGCCTATTAAATCATTTTAGGACTCCATTAAATCCTATCAAATCCAAATAAATCTCCATGAAAGATATAATATATATATATGCAAATATATATATATATATATTTAATGTGAAATCCTCAGGGTGGAAATATCCTCCTGTTCCGGCTGGAGGACCTCGCTTTTTGTTTTTGAACCTTTGGTATGAACCAGTTATACATGGCCATATCGTATAAAAATTCATCATATACAACCACTATATGATATGGTCGATATGATTATGTCAACCATCTTATACATATGGCCCATATGACTATATAATGTTATATTAACCATGTTATATTAATAACGCTATAGCCATCATCATATAACCATGTATCATAAACATATAACATAACCATTCTCTCTATGACATTCTGATCAACTGACCCCCACTTGGGTCGCCCTTCCCCCTTTGCGACCACCTGTTCGATGCTATCTTCCGCATCGCGCTGGGCAATCTCTTCCGCTGTCGCCATTCGTCGCGCCCTGTTTTTTACTGTGGGGGTTTATTTTTTGCCCTGGGTCCCTGGGTCCCTGGGTCATTCTTCGAGATGTTCAATAAACATTGGGGATCATGGGACGTCAAATTGGGACGTGGATTTCAACCATTTTTCAGGAGATATGGCGCCATGGCACCTGAAAATTACTGGGGGAAACCGGAAAACCCAATGCCATCCACTGGTTAATCAGCACATTTTCCCTATATACATAAAAATTGCCATGAATCCTGGGTCAATCATCTATTTTCAGACGCACCCATACTGGTTGGTGGAGATTGGGATTTCCACTTTTGGGCGTCATAATCCTCAATAAGCCAATCAGTAATCAACCAGGATGATGTTCCCTATTAAAATTGCAATTCGTGGGTAAATCCTTCATTTTCAGCCATACCCAATATGGTTCTACTGTGGGAGAATCCCTGAAGTTGGCAAATTGTTTGCAACCTCAGGGACCCTCCTCATGACCAACTTAGCTCACGGTAAAAACGGGAACCAAGGGCAGACACATGAGTGTAATGCCCATCGACCATCAAAGTCAAGAGTCATACTGATCTGTCAGAATCTCCTGTGGGGTATCGCGCACATGATGCACTGTCCGAGTGTCGGTGTTTAACACCCTGCTGTGCAGTTGAGGTGTTCACAACAATTGCAACAACAATTGTGGGTTTTTCAGCCAGTCGTCTTGCAAAACTAAATTTGTCCATGAGAAAGCTGTGCAATGGGTACACTTCCCGACAACAATGCCCTCCCAAGAAAATATCAGGTGATAAGTGTTCAATCCATTGTAAGAACGACCTATGATCCTCTTCCCACCAGGCCGAACTAAAATAACATGTCTTTGCCACCGACAAAAATATTGAGTTTCAGGGAGTAAAACACCTGCGTTCCCATCATCTGCGTGGCTCCTCCGGTGTCCGAACTAGCCATGGAGGTTTATAGCTAGGAAAATCCTGGAATTAAAATGTTTCTTTTTCTCAGCAAGCCATGTTTGATTACCGGAGAATAAACATTTGTTGAACCATATATGAAGAATACTCATATGTTGGTACCTGGCATAGATATCGGACTTGTTCATTTCCATGTGTGGGTTTGTCTAACAACAGGATAACCCAAAATGTCTGAAATCGTCATTTCCCTCCTTGCATGTTGCCACAACCAGGATGTATGTTTCCGGTAATACAGCATTTTTGACCAGACTCACATTGTTATATTCATATATATATATATATTATAGACATATTATAGACACCATATCATGTATATATATACATATACACTCCATATATGATACATATGTATATATATGATATATATATATATAATTATATATTATAATTTATATATATATACCAATATAATGCCATTTATCTCTCCACGTTTCTTCTTTTTCTCCAGGTTTTATCTGGTTTTAAATCCCCCCCTGTGCCTCAAACAGCCGGTTCAGCTCCCAGAGATTTTCGAGTGAAAAATACGCTGCGGATGAGCGACTGGGGGTCACAAAAAAAAACTGAAGAATTTATAGTAACCCCGAAAAAAAGGATCGAAGTCGGTAAAATCCTAATAGTGATAAATTGCTGTTCTATTTTCTTGGGGGACTTTTTTGTAATGATATTAACGGCTCTGAATCTACACTTGAAAGTGGCATTTAGACAATAGATATTGAAAGTGTACTAGAAAGTTTGATAGATGTTCCGGGAGTCTCTGAAAATGGAGGACCCCATTTTTTGACCCCAAAAAATAGAAACATCCAAAAGGTTCGTTGATTTCTGCATCTTACCTCGAGAGGGGATTCAGCGAACACCTCAGGGTCATCCTTGATTTCCTTTTGAAAATCAGTGTCGTGTGGGACCTTAAAAAATTCTAAACATGGGATTTACCTCCAATTCATGGCAAGTTTGTATGGTGGGAAAATGATGATAAACCATGATAAACCATTGGTTTATGGGGTTTCCCCTAAACTTCAACTCATATCATATCCGGCCACGGCCACGGCTAGCGTGAAGCCCTAGGAGTATCCCAGGAACATGTTGATGACATCCAGCACAGGGATCTCCCAGCTAGTCATGTTTGATTATGGGATCTGCTCTCATCACCAGGAACTGTGACAATTCATGCTGGTGACATCTGGGACTGTAAGGACCAGAGATTTGATAAATATCTCAGCGTGTGTTCACTAAAAGTCATGCCCTGAACTGTTCCAAGATTTCACCACGAAACGCTTAGGGTGGAATCACTGACAGAACTGGTGTTTTTTTTATTTTGCTGTACACCCCCAGTTGGCAAGCTCTCGAATTTGGGGCCAAGCTGAATGACTGTAAGAATTCTGGGATGCTCATCAGGCGCTGATTTCCCGGAAATCCCAGTGCTAGATTTCCCACACAGGAATTAGTTGCGAGGCCCATTACCGAAAGCACCCCCATTCCCAAAATCGACAGACGTCAAGTGAGATCTTCAGACTCGGTCGTATTCAACATAAGAACCGGAACTGGTGGTAATTTCACCACCAAAGTTGGTCAATTATGTGGATGCAGCTCCAATTCTTGATATCTTGATATTGAAATCCTCATATCTTGTGATGGTGACATGTCAAAAAAATCTATCACCAACCCTGAATTAAGAATCTGGCTGATTGTATAAATTAGTGATTACATCAATCTGGCTGAATTAATTCACTTCCCCTGAAAATAGCTTTGATGATACAGCCATTCCGGGATGATTTCCGAATCCTAGCCACCATTCGAATGTGACATCACAACATCATTCGGTCACAACATCATCCAGATCTATATCCCCATGTCATACTCCAGTTGTATTGAAAAAAAAACAATGATAGTCCCAGATTTGGGGAGTTTTCGATATACATTCCCATATTCCCAGATATTGATATCCCCAGGATGGGGATATATTCCCATATAAATCCCTTGCTTAGAGATGGACAAAATCCCAGATTTCGACCGTGGTCCCCGTCCCCAAAAAACCGGTCCCCTCTCCCCAGGTGTCCCTGCTGTCATGGCGACGCGGCTGGTCCCAGGCAATGGGAGCCCCACAAGTTTTTCAGGCGACCTTGGAAATCAGATCCCTATTTTTTGGGGTAATTTGCAGGTCTAGGATAGTCTAACCATTATAATATATATATATATATTATTATATAACCAACATATATCATATATCAATATAACTAAGATAGTCTAAAAAATATCTAACTATCTTAGACCACACTGCACTTTTTCAGGTTTAAGATTGGGAATCCCACATTGCTGCGCGATACATGTGGATACCATCCCCCCAATTAACAAAAAAGACCTTGAAAGTTGGCAATGTTTGGAGGAATAGGTTCTTGCAAGACAACTCATGGCAGGGTCTAATTCTGTTAGTTGGGGGAATGGGACATGTCAATTCTTGTAGGATTTGTTTGAGGTATTACAAAACTAAAGGATGATAATCCAAAGGATGGAATGAGGTAATGCCAACCCCGGATTAATAAACCATGGTTTATTAATTAGGGTGGGTACAGTATTCCCCCAATAGTCATGATTTGATACTTCAATGGTACCTTCCCAATTAAATATCCTAGGGGTTTATTAATCCAGGGTTGACATAGTATTAAGTGGATATACTAATGGATGATTGTCAACGGGTATATCATGGCTATATCCATAGTTGGTTGATACTTGAGAAAATAATATGGGAAAATCAACTATGGATATAGCCATGATATAGTATATAAAACTATGGATATCATGTCAACTATCAACTATACTCATACTATGGATAAATCAACTATTTTGTCTTGAAAAATATGGTTTATCTTATTTCAAGACACTTCTTTTTATGGCCCAATCACCCCCTCCGTATCGCCTTGGAGACGTGTGATGTGACGAGACGTTCTGCAAAGGATGCAGAACAACGACGCTTCCCGACCTCGCCGGTGTCTTCCCGGTTCGCGATGCGAGGCTATCATCCGAACGGAAGTGATGAATCAACCATCATTTTTTTTGTTGAATCCAGGCTTGGGCCTAGGATTGGTTTAAACGGTTTAAAGAGTTTCTTGCTTAAACAATGTTTAAACCGAAAATGTTTAAACACATCCAGGGTAGTAGAGGACTAGTAAATTCATTTTAACACGGAACATGTTTAAACAACTGTTGAAACATGCTTAAACAAATTCCAAGAGATGGTGGACCAACCGCATGAGATCATGCGCACAGTGAATTCGTTTAAACATGTGAACATATTTAAACAAATGTTCTGTTTAAACATGGTTAAACGAATTCCGAGAGATTGAGGACCCAAGCGCATGAGATTGTGCGCACCTGCAGAATCAAGCACTGAGAGATCTGCTGCTAGTGACATCACCCTTGTTCTTCTCTCTCGCTCACCCATTCTTACTACTCAAATCACTTCAGTGTTCCCGGCCGCCAACTCTCACACGATGAATATGATTAGACAGTTTAAATATATATATATCGACCCGAGTTTTAAACGTGTTTAAACAGTTTGACGTTTAAAGGGTTTCATGTTTAAACATCTTTGGAACGACCTTAGAGGTGAATTTATCATTAAAAATCATGAAATTAGTAGTAACAACCATTCAAAACCTCCAAACCAATCAAAATATGATACCTGGTTGGTGGTATACCTACCCCCATGAAAAATATGAGTTCGTCAGTTGGGACTATGAAATTCCCATGTTTTTTGGAAAACCATAAAATTCCATGGTTCCAAACCACCAACCAGATCATTATAGTAATTATATCATCATTCATACTATATTGTGGTAAGTATCATTGACAATAGTATCCCATAATGATAGTCTAACATATTGTCAATGATGATAATTACTATAATTCCATGGTTCCAAACCACCAAACAGATTATTATTAACCATTATTAAAGATGATTAACCATCATTAACCACTATTAACCAATTATCTATAATTAGTTCCAAACCATCAACCAGAGAACTGACGATTCAA